ATTGCAGCTCTATAAAACCGCAATTCGCCAGGCAGCTACTCTCCCCACAGCATTACGTGCTTCACCATCAACTACAGAGTGGACTGAGCGAGCACTCTCCCATGCTGCACTCACGACATATCGATGCTGGTTGGAAAATAACTCTCCAGATATTCCTCTACCGCCAGCAACTGTTTGTCATACCACCCCACGGAAGCATGAGAAGCCCCGAGGCGAGTGGAAAACGGACTCAGAACAAGCGACACCATTATTAACACCCACTGTGGAGGATGCGGAATCAATACGTGCGGCGATCGAGAAGTCACAGGTCGATGAAGCAACTGTTTCGGGTGCATTCAAAGCGTTTCACAGATTCGTTTCCGATCTCCCTGGACAGAAGCAACCAACTCTCACATCCCCTAGCCAAGGAAGCGACCCGCTCAAAAATGCAGAAAGACGAGAAGTGTATCGCCATCACTTTCGTTTTCTTTCGGTGCTGTTATTACCACTCACCCATCCAGATGCACCTTATCCCAGAGTACCCCTCAACGGCTCTGAAAACGCCTCTACATTATCCCTAGCTCCTCCTCCTGCTCAACCAGCCGGCGCCCCTTCTCAGGTCCGCAATGAGTTGAATTTAGTACAAAACATCTATGAGGCCTACTTATTGAACACATATTCCTTTCCGGCTGCCGCCACCTTTCATCAACCCATTGGCGAGTTTGTCGATATTGTCTGCGAAAACTGGCGGGTCGCTGGGGGATCGGGTCTGGATGCCGAGGCTGTAAGTGAGTGTCTATACCGTGCCGCCACAAAGACGTTCCATTCGCCGCGAATTCTAAGGCACTTGTTTTACGTCCTCATATCGATGGGAAACTTGGCCGATGCTGTCCTTTCGCTCGAAACGTATCTGGATTTGAGCGAGAATGCGGCCGAGAGAATTGCGAAGGGAAAAATTGAGAAGGATATTGACTCCCCTGCTATGGTTCTTACGACTGCAGCCGACGGGATAAGAATGCTCACAAAGTATCTTGGAGAAGGCGCAAAGGCCTTGAAAATTGCGGGAAGGTGTGAGAAGTGGACACGCGATTGGAAGGTGAGGGATCCTTTGGTTCTTGGGATTGTGTATCGGGGTATTGGAACTGCGAATGCAGCGTGGGCGCGGCAGACAGTCATGGGCGAGGAAAGGAGCGAGATTCTTTTGTTCGCAAAGAAGGCTTTTGAGAAGAGCTTGAAAAGCGATCCTGAAGATGTGGACGCTTATTACGGTATCGCAACGGTTTATGCCGACCTTGGCGATGCCACTGCTGCAGTAAAAAATTTGCGAAAGGCTTTGAAACGAATTGGGAATACTAGAAGGGAGCGGGGGAGAAAAGCTGCCGTTGGTCATGCCCTTTCAGTTCTGCTCTCTGCGCAGGAAGGGTTCGAAGAGGCAGAAAAGATATGTGCGAAGGCTTTGGTTCTTCTGTCCCCGTCAGACCCTACCACATTAAGCGTAGACGAGAAAACGCTTGCACTGGAGCTACAAATGACAAGAATGGCACTCCAAGAAGCCACTTCAGGGCCATTGTCTGCTGTTGGGGGTGCTGAAGCTCTCTTGACACTTTATAACCGTCTTTTCCCACCACCTCTTGTTCCGCCGACATCCGAATTCTCCTCAGAGCCTCCGTCGACCGCTAAATCAAGCCGTAGACCCTCCACTGCTTCCCGCATCAGCAGAATATTCACCATGAAGCCCACATATGAGAAGCAGTATTCCATCTCTGCGAATGACCTCTCTACTACGCCAGCACCACTTGGATGCATCCCTCCAACACGCCCCGGGACTGGCAGGCCAGATTCCAGCAAATCGCAGTCCGTTCGCGTCCGCCAGAGATCTACATATCGCGGTGCGCCGCGAATTCGGGTTACAGCAACCGAGCCGATAGAAAGCATCCCACCGTCCTTGGCGGAGATCCAAGCTGCGGAAAGAAGCCGCAAGGGTAGGAGGTACTCGGTGAGTGGTGGAACCATCAGAAGGTCAAAAAGTGTCAAGAGTACATACTCGGTGGTTGGCACAAGCGTCGAAGATGAAATCCCCCCATTGCCTAGTAGCACCGATATTTCATCGCCGGCAACACCGACGACGAGTAGCGGCGGGGACGAAAAGAAGGAGGGCGCGATGTTCAGCGTGCTGAAGAGTAAGCTGCAGAGAGTCCACAGCAATGGCACCTTCTCTCCCAGCGGCAGCTTCACACCCAGTCGCAGTGGTACCAGCGGAACTTTCACTGGAAACGGGAGCGGGACATTCACGCCCAAGACAACAGGGACTGCCACGCCAGTCTCCGTCTATGACGAGAAACCGCAAAAGAACCTCCCAAACAACCTCCCCCGCTCCGCACTTCCAAATCCCATTGCACCAATCCCCGCCACAGAAACACCTACTCCTACTCGTAACATCTCTCGCCCCGTGTACCTCCCGGAGCCCATCCTCCAAGAAGCAGCTGAGCGCCACCGCTCAGAAGACACACTCCGAACTGTCTGGCTCTTCATGGCCGCCCTGTACCGCCGCTGCGGCTGGGCCAGTGACGCTCGGGATGCCGTTGAAGAGGCAGCCCTCATCGGCACTCCTTCCTCCAGCGATGCCCCAAAGGAAGGCGGCTTTGGCGCCCGCATCGGCACATGGGGTGGCTGGGGCGAGCTGCAAGGTGAAGGGGCTGTCAACGTGGAGAGAGCGCTACAAGCTCTCGAGAATAAAGATGTGTTCAACGCACAGCGCTACTTCGAGGCCGCGCTGGCGGCCGACATCAACTGTCCTGGCGCGATTGTTGGGCTCTCGCAGCTCCTGCTTGGGCTCATTCCTGCTGAAGAGGCGCCGGTGGGGAGGAAGGAGACGGTGCCGTTGAAGTCATTGAGGGAGCTGGAGGAGGAGGCGGTCATGAGGGCGGCGAAGCAGTCGAGGGCGGTGACGCTGTTGAGGGCGTGTACGGAGAGTCCGAGGGGGTGGGGGTGTGCGGAGGCGTGGTATTCTTTGGCGGAGGCACTGGAGAGGGAGGGGGATGTGGAGGGGGCGAAGAGGGCACTGTGGAGGGTGGTGGGGATTGAGGATGCGAGAGGCGTGAGGGATGGGAGGGTGGAGGTGCTGTAAAATGGGTGCTTGCATGGGTTTTGGGTTCGGGTTGGGAGTTTTAGATGGGTGGTGTTTTTTCATTTTATTTTTTCCTTTACTTTTTTTTTCTCTACCTCTTTTTTTCACCTTTTAGTAGTTTCCCTATAAGTTTTTTTTAGTTCTTTTCTTTATCTTTTTTTCTTTTGTACTGCAGGTAATTAGTTAGGTAATTACGGGAATAAATGGGTTAAAAAGGGTGATGCGCGCGGTATCTGTAGTTATGTGGCTTTTTTTGCTCTTTCTTCGTAAAGGTGTAAATATTATGGCATGGTGTGTAGAATAAGATAATAGAGCTCCTGTACTACCCTACCCTGGTCAATGAGATATTTGAGGTAACTCACGATCGGATTTCCCTCCCCCCCCCCCCCCCCCGCAGTTTCTAGTAATTGCTATTTACTTTGGTGCAATCGATCCTCGAGGCGCTCATGCTGACCATTCTGTGCATATATTAATACTGTACTAGATTCATTGAGCTAGTATAAGCAGAGCATATGTACTTAGATATAGAGGAAATACAAGCCGGCATTTATGTTCGCATTTTTGCCTATTCCAGAGCTAGAGAAAAAATCATTTTTATGTTTTTTTGATCACTGACGTCTCTAACATGATAACCAGGATTGTATTAGCGTCAAAGAACATTCTCGGTGATTCACAGGTCATCACTCGTATTTTAGCGTGATGTAATTTTCAGCATATTAACCATATCAACTACCGCTAACTAGATCCCTGGCTATATTGATCCCCAGACAGAACACTTGGTACCTAACTCGCTATTAACTACAGGTATTATTTCAACAGTGGGCGGAAATATCTGTATAGTTACGCCCTGAGAGATAATAATCGATTTTGGTTCCGGCCTGAAGGTCCAGGGGATCGATAGACATATGTAAAGAGCTATAGTTATATGAGAGAGTGGGTTGATGCGCGTTCCACTATATATACCAGACTGTGTCTATGCGAATTCCTAGTTGTCCTTATTCAAATCGAAGCCTCATAGTCAATACATTAACATCCACAAATACCGTTACTAAACTAATAATTTACAAGCGTATAGTAAATAGTTATAGTTATCTGTTAGGTTCGAAGGGTGAATCCCATGTTAATTCGACTTGATGGAGACTGCTCAGAAATCGATGATTTGGGGGGTGGGGTGGATGGAAGTAGGCGCATCACGCTCAATCACTCGCAACATACAGCTCCTGACGCTCCAGTAATCCATAATACTTGCGAACAAGTTCATACCATCCATCGCCGTAGCCTAGTGGTTACGGTATCGCCCAAAAGGGCAAAGGTCGGTCGTTTGACCCGGGATACCTCTCCTTTTGCTGCTCCGAGACTCAGAGGGTTGGTCGCGGCTACATAGGCGACCCCTACCACGCCCACCCCGTTGCTCTGCCCTACACTCTACCTGCCTGATTCCAAGAAAATCAACCAATCATAATACTTCCTGATCACAAGGAGGAAGATTATACTATTTAGACACCGTCAGTATCTCATCACTTCGCCAATATTACTAATTCGTACAGAACCAAACAAGGCGGCAAATGCGCTTCATTCAGCACCGTCGCCTCCAAAGCATAACCAGTACTACCCCTGGTAAGCGTACATAGTACATACGACACAAGCCACAACACCAGCCGCAAATACTTGGTAGCCGGGGAAACCAGCTTACACGCACCTCCACCTGAACACCTCCTCCGCAGAACAAGAAACTTAGGAAAACATCTTCGTTGTAACTCATCTCTTTACCTCTTTGATCGGCTTCACCCACCATTAACATCTGTTCGTGCGAGGGATGCGGGCAGAGCAGGCCTACATACAACAAAACTATCCAACCTCCATACCATTTGACAGATTTTCAGGGCCATAAGAAATGAAAAACTATCCTATACGTATACGTCCTGAGATTGCGCCCACGTCCGGGCTCGGTAATCCAGATGCAAATTCCCGAATTTCAGAGTCTGCATTTATGACTAGGTCTATGCGCAGCCTCCGTGATGGCACATGGAGTCTAAAAGAATCGTCATTAACAGAGGTACGTAAGCTTTATGAAGAAATTTTTAAAGTCTAAGCTCACCTAAAGTCTATTAGCCTAAGAATAGGCGTGCACTCCAAGTACTTCTAGAAGAACCATGGGTAGGTAAGCTTCGTAACCAAAATTTCCAAAGTCCAAACTCATCTAAAGTCTATCAGAATATGCCTCCATCTACATCTCTGCATGACCCCCCGGCGCGCCCAGACGAACCAACGCTGCACGAGCCACACAGGCTTGGTAACGAAAGTTTTCCATGCCAAAAATTATTGAATGATGCCCGCCCCCAGTGCCCTCCTGCTAAGGGATTTGATTATTACAAGTTAGAAACCGAGTTCTATGATGACCATGTGGTACAGAAGACGTATCGATGGGAAGTTGAAAGTAGTAAAAGAATTTGGGAAAAATGGACATGGAAGCGTCTCTGGGTCATTGGGGCTGGGGCAAGTGGTGAGATCTGGCTTGAGGAGGAACAGAAATTGGGGGGATTCAGGGCGGTCAAAAAAATGCCCCGGCGATTAAAACCGGATTTCACTCGAGAGCTGCTGGCCTTCGTTAAGTTAAGAGAGGTAAGTGTTCTTGCATGCGGGATCTATTCGCAGGTCTCAAAGGTCATGATTTTTCAACCGAAGGTAACCTGTATCACCTAGCACCCTCACCTATTCGTGCAATTTATTGGCTGGTACGAAAGTAGAGACACTATATTTCTCGCCATGGAATATATTGGGTACGGAAACTTGGCGGAATATATGAGGAGACAAAGCAAGATGGTAGATTTCGAAGTGAAGGAAATCACGAAACAAATCTTGGAGGGGCTGGAGGTCCTTCATGGGAAAGGAATTTGCCATCGTGATTTGAAGCCTGAGGTGTGTGATCATGACTCTGCCCTGAATAACTATAAACCTTTATCAAGGCTGGGTTACAACCTTATAGAGATGCTGATGTGAAGTTGATAGAATGTTCTGATGGCTTCTATTCATCCTATTTGGGTCAAAATTACCGACTTCGGGATATCGAAGCGGACAAAAGACACTCTCCTACGGACTAGTTGTGGAACCAGTGGATATCTTGCACCTGAACTCCTGGGGATATTTCCTGGAAAAAGAACATTCACCCACGCACTTGACATATGGTCATTAGGCACCATGGTCTACGAAATGTGCACTTCAATCAAGCCGTTTCATTGTTTGGAAGATTGTGCTGAGACTAACGCAAGTGTTGACACTGGCTTAGAGAATTTCATAGAAGAGCCCTTGATTGACATGGAGTCGCTTATCGAATATTGTAAAGGATCCATAGACCTTCCAAGTAAAGCCCTAGAAGAAGTTAAAATGAGTGTAGAAGGCATAAGCTTTATCAAAAGCCTTCTAACTGGAATACCGGAAGACCGAGCAACTGCAGACTGTGCCCTTAAAAGCCCATGGCTGAAGGGTTACACTGGTTATTGGCTGAAGCTCCTGGAAGCCGAATTTTCAAGTCTCGGTGCAAATTTGGATCCAGCGAGGAGAGAAGACCTACTATTACGGAAAGCCGGTAAAGTGGAAATCATGAAATATTTATCAACTACGCCGGTGAAGGTATTCCCAACATTGTTACGGGAAGCCGTAGGGAAGGGACATAACATAGCTACCACCTTGCTCCTGCGATCTCAAAGTTGCAAATCGATAGACCCATTAACCCGTGGAATATTATTCAGCTCAGCAGCAAAGGCGGGACATCTGGATGTAATGAATACGCTCGTGCATTACGGGATGGACATTGGTGCTCTTATTGGCGGTGAGACCGTTTTGGGTTGGTTATTTAGGTTCCGAAACAACAAAATGATCGAGATTCTTTTGAAAAACCAACGCGCAGGAGCTCGAACAATCTTGCAAGCCGCAGCCGAGGGCGGATTTATTGATTATGTCACATTTCTAATAGACGACTATTACGATGTGAATGAACCAGCTGCAGATAATGGAGGTCGAACAGCGCTACAGGCAGCTGCTGGAGCAGGACACATGGATATTGTGGAGATATTGCTGGATAGGCGTGCCGATATAAATGCTGCAGCAGCAGGAGAAAACGGGCGGACAGCGCTACAAGCGGCTGCGGAAGGTGGACATTTTAGTATTGTCAAGCTACTATTGAAAAAAGGGGCCATTGCGAATGCCCCACCTGGATCATATAAAGGCTTGGAAGCCCTCGAAGCGGCAAAGATTTGTGGGAATCCTCTGATTATTAAATTGATTCAAGGTAATCTATTTAGACTTTGAACTCTTTAACTCTTCGTGGTCGTTCTCTAACAACGGCGTTCAAGAGTCATATCCAAAGGACTCATATCCAAAGGACTCATATCCGAAGGACTCATATCCGAAGGACTCATATCTGAAGGACTCATATCCATATTACTGACCTTGAGCATGTTTGGTATCCTCCCAAATTCACCAAAAGTTAATTGTTATATTAGGAGATTTAAGGTCTAATACTTAATTACGGTAGGAAGGCTCCTCCTACTCCCGAGCATACACGTATATACACCAATACCAAGGCGACTGTATTCTGAACTCCTTGAATGGCTTGATGGAAATAATCATAAGTGCAGACAAGGAAGACCATTTTCCATTTTTCTTTTTTACGTTCTATCTTTTTTTCTTTCTTCTTTTTATTTCTCCTTCTTCCCCACCCCTCCCCAATTCTCCCCCTCTTTCCTTTCACATGCTATATATAAGTACCGTTTGGCTGCATGTTGGGGGAGGGGGTCCGGAATAAACTCGTGGTTTGAATTTCAAAACATTGAAATTCAATCTAGGGCCCATTCAGCGGTTCTTGCTATTTGGTTGACCGAAAACGGAGTTATGAAAAGCGAAACGGCCGGAGGTTATTCCATTAATGTCATACAACTTTACCCACCAAACTCCGTTTTAATTATAGAGATAAGTAGAAGAAGAAGCTCTCAGCTGAGTTGGTTATATATATTGCTTCTCAAGGCTATAGTACAGAGATTGTCTATCGAACGTAGGTACAAACCAAGTTAAGGGGAGTAGTCTTACTTAGATCAATCAACAATATGCATGCAACTTTAACGGCTTACCGGACGGCTACCTGAGCAAACCTCAAGACCAATGATATAGAAAGTAGTTTTCTTCACGAACAAAACGCAATTGCCATTTCATTATCTTCGCCGATCATATATATGCAACCCAAGAGCAGGCTTGAATGAAGAGATTTACTTTAATTTTGATCATTATGTACCGAGTTATTTTTTTCCCCACAGCTAGCTTCGTAAGACTCATTCCATCAGTCCCGCTCCACATAAAACCTCATTCACATCCCAACCAACCCCTAGCAAAGATGAACAAAATTAAGCAAAGAAGATGCCACAAGCAAGCCCACAAACTACAAGACAAACAAGGACGTTGACATCGTCTCAATAAACCAAAGTATGACGCCCGAAAAGAAGCTGGGTATGGCACTTAGGCCTTCTTCATCTGTCTCTTGGCGGCTTTTCTTCCCTCCTTTTCTCGCTCCTTCTCAAGGAACTTCTTCTGGTCCTCGGCGCTCATGTTCCTTAGCTTCTCCTCACGCTCCTTCTTCTTCCCCTCATCACGCTTCATCATGCGCTCCTCAGCCTTTTCCTCATCAGCGATCTTTTGGAGCTTACGAATCTCCTCGTCACGAACGGACTTGACCTTTCGGAGAACTTCAGGACGGAAATGGGCGGTAAGGACAAGGTGATCGACGAGACGGATAAAAGCGGATATAAGTGCAGGGATCGCAGCAGCAGACTTCTCAGAAGAGGGAAGAGTAAGCTTGAGGGAGATGCGCTTCTTGGGGACGGTTTCTTTGAGTCTATCGATATTGTTAGAATGATTATCCCGAAGTGCAGATTTTAGGAAAACTCACTCCATGGGCTTGTCAACAGGTTGGTCGGTGACGATCAAGTACTCCAAAACATCCTGGCAGTCAATGACGGCATCCTTAAGCTCCTTGAACAAAACAGTGTCGCCAATCTCCTTGCTCTCGCTCATAACCGCAAGCCAGCTCGGAAGACCTTCCCAATCCTTAGTAGTGGTCAAAGAGAGATCATAACGTTCGTCGCGCCATCTCTTCATGTCACGCTTGTTCACAAGGGCCCAGACGAAATTGTCAAATTTGCTGTTGTGTCCACCGCCCTGCTTGCCAGCATCCTGTCCGTCGAAGGGAGAGATCGTGATGGTAGCACTGTCAGTCGGGTCGGGGACGCTATCGAGGAAGAAGGAAAACAACAGTTCGCCGATCCAGGCAACGGGGTTGTTACGGCGCTGAAGCTTGATGGTGGTGTGCATAAAGGCGATGTTCTGACGTCCGGAGGCATATGAGATGAACTCGAGCGCATGGTTTTCCTTGATGGCCAACTCGGGGTTGAAATCCTTTGCGACACCCAATTCACCGGTAGGACTAGTGTTGATCGTGTTCGCCCTTGGGATCTGGTTGAACCCAACGTATGCGAACTCTTGTGTCAGGACCGGCGTGATTGAAGAAATAAATTTCTTTGCAATTGCTCGGTTGCGGCGGGTACCCCAGACATGAGTACCAATGACGAAGAGCAACAGCAGCGCAACGTAGCCTTCAAACTTGAAGTCGCTGAGCTCAGCACGCTCCCACACTACGTACCAAGGGCCATTGGACACCGGGAGACCAGTTGGCGAAGATGCAATTGATGACACAGGAGATACCGATGCGGCAGCAACTGGTGAGGGTGTTGCCACAGATGGGGTTGCGAAGTCTGCGAAGTCTAATGTGGGGTTAGCTTAAGGCCAGATTGCGATGCACGAAACAAAATCCACGGCGAATTGAAGAGTAGAACGACACCTCCCCCATCAAATTGAATTGCTAGAGTAAGGAATTTAAACATACCGTCATCAGACGCAACCACAGGAGCCTGATCCTTTCCACCTCCGAAGAGTGAACCAACGAATTCCGCCATGATTAAAAAGTACCAATTGCGATGAAGAACAGAAAAGAGCCTCTATCGAGGAAAGAAGAAAGAAGGGGATGAAGGACAGAGGAGAGGGAGAAAAAGGGAGTTGTTGTTGAGTTGGCGTCGAATAGAGGTGGAAGATAGAAGAAGGCAGAGTGGCAGGGATTCCGCCCAGGTAGGTAAACGTCGTTCTAACCAGGAGGTGAGGTCTGTCCTTTCCCCGGGTTCACAGTTTTAACCGGGGGAAGAAGTGTTGAGCCGCCAACCCTTCTCCACGCCTACGCCCCACGTGCAGGGACTAGACAACCGAGTGAGAGGGTGTGTGTGGCGCAACCCAACCCACCGGCCATCACCTCAAATTGCGTGCACCAGAGACATGGTCCATGCATAGATCCACTTTCAACGACCGCAGATGTCAAAGGGTTCTAAACAAAGTGTTTGGGGGCGCACAATATAGAAACAGTTTGGTCAGAAAATCTACCTGCCAACTGCCCGGGCATCCTGTGACATGCGCAGTGTGACCTGTTGGATTTCTCTCCATCTTTGAACATACAGCTTAAAAAGAAAGAAATGACATGGGTGCTCGATTGATTTGAGACCTTATTACGCTTTATATACTCATATAGCTTCTTGATGATACTCAATTTCAATCAATGCTACCATTTGACCAAACACACAGCCCAAACCTCGAACTTCTTCAACCCCCCCCGTCCAGGCCAGACAGCTCAAATAAGGAATTCCAAACTTTCCATTCTCTCTCAACACCTTATTTTAATCAATTCTCAGTCCACATTCATGGAAATCCAGTCCCACAAGCCAAGAAACGCAGGCATTGAGACCTTATATCAAATATCTATTCCGACGACCCACTCGCCAAGCACAATATCAAAAAGCCATCTACACCAAGTATCGGATTTAAAACCGCTTCTATTCACCTAAGTACTCACTGCTATACAGAACGCCCCCCCTCTCTAACCCCCTTACCCCTTACCCCCTCCCTCCCCCATGTTCTTTCCGCCATCCCTCTAGAAAAAGGTCTTCTTTCCCTACACCCGCAATCCCCCATCAGCGCCCATCCCCCCCCCCCCCGAAACAACCACCCCACGAGTAAGGGACAACTTACAGCAACCATCCTCGACATGCCCCACACACTGCCGGTGACGCCGAGGCCCATCATGATGAAGTACGGGGTGAGCAAGTACTTGCTCCTCGGGGTCTACACAACCACCACCCATCACCACACCCATTAGCCCACACCCTCACACACCTCACACCTCACACACCCATACACCACAGGCAGAAGGAAGGGTAGAACGAACCTTAACCCACTGGCGCAACCCGTCGTGTCTCTGGAACAGGCGCTGGTAGTGCGTCACGCGGTTCTCGCGGTAGAGGAAACTTTTTTTTTACCCGCCCGAAAGTTAGCCGACTGCTCCGCAGCAACAAGGGGGGAGGGCGGGGAATGCGTACGCCATTGCGAATAAGTGTGTGTTTTTTGGTGAGCGGAGAGGTTGTATGTGCGGGTTGCGATGATGATGATGGAAGTGAAGGCGAGTGGTTGTAGTGGTTGTGGGGGTTGCGGGAATGGTTCGATCAGGAATCGGATGGTTCGGTCGGATTCTCCCACTCCACTCCACTCCACATGCCCGGGGGTGGTGGGTAGGGCTCGTTGCTGAGTCAGCATTGCTACTAACTAGCACTTATCAGATCTCAACACTACCTACCACAGACCGACCGACCGAACACAGTCTACAGATCTACAGAGAGAGAGCTTGCTTCCGGCCCGCAGCAGCAGCACCACAGAAAAGATGAGTTTCTACTTCGCCATCGTCGGCACAAAGGACAACCCGCTGTACGAAGCCGAGTTCGGCACGTCCAAGCAAGGCGGTGACGGGGTCGCACGCGTATGTCCCCGCCCCCTCCCTTCCCCCAAACCCCTCCAGTGGAATAGTAGAAGAGGAGGAGTGGAAGATGCTAATGGCGGGAGGTCTACAGTTCCGCGAAGAGCAACGCCCAATGAACCAGTTCATCGTGCACTCCTCGCTCGACATCATCGAGGAGGTGCAGTGGGCCAGCAGCACCATGTATATGAAGTGCGTCGACCGCTTCAACAACCTGTTTGTGTCGTGCTTTTTGACCGCTGGCAGTACGTTTCCCCAGAAAGAGGTCTGATAGGAGAGGGAGGGGGAGGCTAATTGGGGATGATGTGTGTGTGTGTGCACACAGATATCAAGTTCCTCCTGCTGCACGACACAAAGGCCGACGACGCCATCCGCCAGTTCTTCACGGACGCCTACGAGCTGTACGCAAAGACGCTCATGAACCCGTTCTATGAAGTCGACATGCGCATCGTGAGCTTGGTCTTTGATGCGCGCATCAGGAATGCGGCGAGGAAGTATCTGTAGGCTACTTGTTTACTCTAGATTAGGAGGGGTTTGGGGGGGGGGGGGGGGAGGGAGGCAGAGGGCAGAGGGCAATTGCTGGCTGTATGTGTGTAGGCAGGCGTTATGGGTGCTTGTTATTTTATTGGATTTTTTACTTTTGCTGTTGGCTTTTGAACCTTGCGCTTCTATAGTACATAGGAATTTTTTACTCTAATACAGTGCAATTATATCGTATCATATGGCGGTTTTTTTTTTCTTCTTTCTTTTTCTTTTTCTTCTTTTCTTTTCTTTTTTCTTCTTTTTCTATTGTGCGCTGATATTTATGCGTGTGTAATGATTCCTTCACCGGTTTTTCGGATAGGTAGAGGGGGAGAGAGGGGGAGGGGTTGAACTGGGGGCGGGGCTTGTTGGGGTTTGATATCATGGGCAGGGCAGGACAGGGCAGGCAGCGAGCGGCCCTTGCATGACATCTTCTGCCTAGCTAGAATGACAGCCCATGTGTATCTCACCTGGCTAGTATACCTGGATACCTCTTCCTCCAACGTGGGCTCCCTCACCAGGTCACAAAGGAAGGGCCCTCCCCTACATTGGTATAGTAGTAGTACAATCGGAAAGTAGAACGTGGCTGGGTGGGTCACCGCGAATCAAGCCACGGCCGTCACGGCGGCCGTCACGCTACATCCAACATGATCTGTAGCTGTGCCTTGGAAATTTCGCATACAGACGGCCGTTCTCGGGAGTCTGAAGCCTCAGTTTTTTAGGTTTCAGATAATCTGGCGTCCCTCCCCTTCACATTTCTGCGTTGACGTAGGGAGGCGGTGAGCGAGCGAGCGTGCCCTCGGTACCGTAGGTGTGGTTGTTTCAAAGGTTCCCCCTCCCTGGGTCGAGTATGCCGTCATTTCATCGGAGAGAGGGAGGGGAAGGGGGAATCCTATCGATTGCGTGGTGGTGCCCGTCAGGTACCCAACCCTTTATGCGAGTGGGTCCGAGGAGAGGAGGGTCACGATCGAGGACGGACGAACGAACGTGCAGAGGCTCATGCTGTGCAGCTGGATGCTTTTTTTTTCTCACATCGTGCGCAGTGGATCAATCATAGCAAGGGAGGGAGAGGGGGGGGGGTTTCACGAATCACAGCCATCTATGTATGTATTTTACGAGGAACCCTCTAGAGTAGAGCAGAGAGAGAAAAGCTACATGTATTGTATGCTCCTCCACACAACACCCCCCAGAGACCTTTCTCTCTCTCTCTCTCCGCCAGTGTTTGGGCGATACGTCACACACCCCTGCCAAGGGCCCTGTGCCACCCGTCACCGCAGCAACCATCAACAAACAACGACTCGCAACAACAACCACACGTTAACCGCCGACTGCCAACCTCCTGCATTTGGATTGACTGACACTCACTCACTTCACTACGACAACACGAGTGTCTGTCTGTCTGCATTCCTCTACCTAACTCACTCACTCTCACTCACTCACCTACTCGCCCACCCCGACCCCCACCCCCACCCCGACCCCTCATTCTTCACGATATCACGATAACGAATTCTTTTCACGCACCTAAGACAACTCTCTCCCCCACCCTCCCAGCTGCATTTCGCCAATCATGGCACCCGTAGTCTCCACCCTATCCGGTCGTGCAGACAGCTCCCTCCACGAGCTCCTGGCCCGTATCGACGGCGATGTCTCCACTCTCACGGCCCGTGCCCTCTCGGCCTTCAACGAGCTCCTCTCACACGACAGCCCCCTCTCCGCCCGTTCCGACCTCGCCCCCGCTCCAACCTTGAGCCCCGCAACAACGGCCCCTATGTCCACCCTAAATCCATGAGCGCCGGCGTCCTCGTCATCTTCTCTCTCCTTGGCGCCTCCATCGGCCTCCTCGTGCTCTGGCTCTTCGTCATGAAGGGCGGCTTCATCTGGAAGCCCACCGACTGGGAAGACTACAAGTCGTCCGTGCTCCGCCGCCCCGGTGAGCGTCCCGACGACGCAATCACCGTCTTCTCCGATGGCTCGACGCGCCGTGCTGGCGGCAGCACAGCTGGCGCACGAACGGTCGTCCTCGGCGAGCTCGACACAACATACACAAAGTCGCACGTCCACAAGACCTTTGGCCCGCGCCCAATGGGAAAGAAGAAGACATCGGTGTGGGGCAGGGGCGAAGGAAGTATCTGGGGGCGCCTGCGCGGTGGTGGCCTGAACGACAACGATACGGTGGTTATGCGTGAGAAGGAGATGCGACAGGTTAGTGGTGGTGGGCACAGCTTCGTGGATAAGCAGGAGCCTGCGAGGCCGAGGGGTTGGAAGCCGGAGGACTCGGATCTCTCGGGATATCCAGACCTGGGACGCGGCGAGACGACAGTGCGCCATCCGGCAAAGGTGCGGCACTCGAAGTCAAGGGCGGCGGCGTCGGCGGCGCCTGCGAGCAGGCCGGGTCGGGTCAAGTCGACAAGGACACAGAAGCCTCCGCCTCAGCCAAAGAGGATCCCATCGCCAGAGGAGGAATATACAAGCTCGGATACCGATACGGAGAGTGACACCGAGAGCGAGTCTGACAGCGACGATGACAGCATTGACCAGAGTCAGCTCGGGATGGCGAAAGGAAACAAGACCTACGCTCACCCGCTGCCGATGGAGAACATTCTTGCTGGGAGGTCGCAGGCGCCGATTGAGCGCAATGGAGGTGGCGCAGGCGGGACCTATGGTAGTGGTGTACCGGTTGGCCATTTGGTGCCTATTGGTCCTAGAGCGCTTGTGCATGGTGGTAGTAGGGAGGTCGTGAGAGCTGGTAGGGGATACAGGAAGGGGAGCGAGGGGAGCTTGTCGAGCATGGATAGCATTGGCAGCAGCAGGGTTTAGGCAGCTAGATAAACGCCTTATGATTAATGAGGGAATGGGTTTCTTTTGTATGGCGAGATTGATATCCTCTTGTGCTTTTGCTTCTTTCTCTCTTATTGGGTTTTGCTCTGTATGTGTGAACATGTCGGCTTGGCATTTATACCTTTTTTTATATTTTTTCTTTGTGTCTTTCCTTCGGGCTTATGGGCAGGCGGGTTTATTTTTCTTATCTGGCAGCGGGGGTTGACACCAAAAAAAAATTAGCATACATATGTATGATTCCAAGTGCATTATTATGTTTTGCGGAAGGTTTGGCACGGTTGGTCCCAGGATCCCTGCAGGGTGATTTGGTTAGCGTAGACCGAGTGAGAAACTATGAAGAAGGGTCTCTCCAATGATAAATGCCTACCCGAAAATAAAGAGTGGTCTCAAAATAAACTAAAAGTCGAATCGTTTCGAATAAAGTGAGATTATAACGAAGGCTAATGCTCATATGAATCGACTCATGTAATTTGAACCCTCTCGTAGAACCCGAGTTATGTGGCGGCGAGTACCGTTAAAGTCTGGAATACCCTGAGACCACTAGATGGACAATACAAGGAACAACCAATAGCGTGTAAAAGAAACATGGCGCCTAGAGATAAACCACAGAGTGAAAACCACAGAACAACAAACCAGATGGAGTTGTTCCTCCTCGTAGCCCTGGGGTGTGGTGGTACGGCCGTGCACGAGTGTACTAGATCAATTCGTGGTATCTGGTACTGCATGATTGATTGATAAATGCTGGGTCTGTATCGGATCAGATACCAAATAAAACGATAGAGGTACAGGAGAGAATTTGACTTTAAATAGTAGATCTACCACGCTAGTGGTGGATGACAACTGGTCTCTCTCCCTACAAACACCGTGGTATCTCTCGGAGTGGATGCCTTAACTTGGAAGGCCAGCGTTGATCATGACGTTGGCTTTTTCCAAACAGAAGACGTATATGTGCCAGTTCCTCTCTTTCTTCATCGGAATACCTTCGTGCCCCTGAAGAAACTACATGTACATGTAGCCTCTTGTTTTGTTTGATGCATAAAAAAAAAAAAAAGAATAACTCTCCTGAGGGTTGATTTGACTGACTGACAAGGACATCCTAGTTATAATTATTGCTGGTGCGGTCTGCCCGGAGGTAGTGGCCCCCGAGCCAATTATCACTTGTCCTAAGAAAAACAAGTCACATACTACACCACTTTAATTCCATACCGTCTTTCTCGCCTTGATTGCTTTGTATAGTGTGTACGGCTCCTAGACGGCTGACTCATGTGTGTACCTGTCGGGGGGCCCTATCAATCGAGTTACATCCTGGCCAGAATGTGCAGGGTGTATTTTAAAGGTCGCATCAGGCCTTCTAGCGGCATTTGATACGTACATGGCCTCTCCATCCGTGTTTAGTGGGCCCAATTCGCCGATCTTTTTGGTGTTTAATTGAAAATATGCACGTATCTCTTTCCCTTATCTAAGAACTTATGTATCTATATCTGGCCTGAGTGCATATATCATATCATGTGATTTCTAGACTCAGGTAACTGAGCTGTACGGTACATGTATGCAGCCCATTTGGCCTGTGCCGGTGAACAGCCACCTTACGAATAAGGCGGACCAGTGGAGCCAGATGGGCAGATTCTCCTACCGAATTGTGGGGTAATGCAGGGGCGCGGCTCGCTGCATTTACCGATCATGCAGTTGATGGAACCGATGAGTGTAGAAAGAGATTGTGATGAGCCAAAGCTTACTTTTTTTTAGCCTTGTACGCTCTCAGCGGTAGATGTTAGAAACGGAAACAAGGCTGAACATCGGGATCCGGAGGGCATGTCTTACGTTCCTAACATGCTGTCCTACACTTCCTCACAGGTGAAATTCAGCTTACACTGACCTTGATCCTCCAAACAACATCCAATTGGTCCTGAAAACAAAGGGACGCGACATCTTTCATGGTGAATTTCACAACTCAGCGGACGATATCCAAGCCCCAGCAATCAAGCCTCCATCCTTCTTTCTGATGGAAAGTTACCCACTTCATCGGTGCCAGCAGTGAGTATCCTCATCATAGGGATCCCACGTACACGAAGTCTGCCCTAGAGTATATGATTGAACACACACCCACATAACAAACGCAATAAACCATCGACATTCGAGTATAGCTAGACCCCAGGCCTGTGCTTGGGCTGGATGACCGGTGCACCTGGCAACGGCTAGCACGGCCACCGAATCCGCACTGCATGTGAAATTGAAGATCTCCTATACGCATATGTGAGTTAGCTCTGGGATGACACGGTGAGTACGCTGGGGAGAGAGTATTCACTGGCCTGATGTTCTATGCATCGAATCGCCAACACTGCAACGGTCTGCTCCCCAACAAACAATCATGTTTAAATGGCTTGCGCCATCACAGCTAAAGAATATTGAGGCTTGGACTTAGGTAATTGGTTCTATCGATACTCCAGGCGAATATATGGTGTTGTACTTCACATGGTATCACTCGCTATCAAAATATTCGTTATCCTTTCTTCTACGGCGGGGTACCTGGATCACATAGCTGGGTGATACTCACTACACACCTGTATAACTAATTCTCCACTAGCCCACGACTGATTACGTGTAGCTCTACAAACTTACAGTCCAGGTGTCAATGTTACCCCCAACGGAAGTTCTTCGCTGGCTGATCTGCTCGCATCAGGGGAGCGTGCATATTGTTTTTTTCTCAGTCCTGATGCACAAAAACAGGATTCAACTCATATTTTTCGATACAGGGGTCAACTACATACCCTCGATAGGCACCGTTACACTTGAATAAAAAAGCAATTAACGTATTTCAAAACTGAAGGGGTAGCAGAGTTAACACTTATAGTTTCAACACTGCGCATTGCATATATCAGCTTGACAACTCATGACTATGTATTCAACAATTTTTCTACGCGTCTTATTACTTGGCCCTATGAGTAGTTGTTTATGGTGCATTCTGCCGTGTGCAACCCCCCCCCCCCCCAATCCGTCTCTCCCGAGCACATAAAATTTATACTGATGCTGACATTTAGTGATATTTACTGAACTGATAGCCGCGCGGCGCGAACTGTTAAAATTATTTCATAAAACCTATAATATGGAAACACACTGTCCAGAATCCTTTCCCTAAAAGGGGTATAGCTATCTCTCTAACAGCATTATTTCTTTTATCCGGAAATGCAAAAAACATTGTTTCGGGCGAAATCAAAACAAATATCTTACCAAGTCCTCATAAATTCCTCCTATCAAACGACCTTCTAGCGGATTCACAGGACACAGGTACAATGAATTGACTCTAGATGGCTGCACCCGGCCGGCGCTTCCCTCAAAGATTGATACACACTAGTGATAATACCTTCACTCTTAAGTCCGATGGCAGTACCTACGTAAACTGAGCGTGTTCTTGGCAATCAGAGAAGCTGGGGCTGACGACTAGCGCGTATGAAACATCTGGAGTATCAGCATCTTGACTGCATACTACTTACTTAAGGCCAGTAGAGTACGGCTCTTTGGGCGATAAGCTAATACAGATGCGCTCGTATTCTGGGGTGGGTGATGCATGCAAGTCAAGGGGGAGCGATTTTTGAACAGATGCTCTAGATTTACTCTTTACTCAGGCATCAACATCATCATCATCATCATCATCATAGTTCGAGTTATCTGATGGAGACAAGCACGGTGGCAAACAAAATGGGGTTAAAGAAAGGTACCTAAGTACTCATCCTGCAGGGGTTCACCAAGCGCGGCAGTCAATCTGGCATCATCTAGAGTATGTATTCTGGTACTAGAGCACCTAGAATCATTAGTTGTTGTTTTTCATTGCGAAAAAAGAGCTTGTCTGCATCTTATATTTGAGTGCTCTACTTGTTTACCACGAAAAGAACCAGAAAATGCAGTTGCTCAGGGCAAGGATTATTTGTATGGAGTGGCCGTCACTTGCATTTTCTGGTTCTTTTCGTACTCTATGCGTTGGGAATAAGCAAGTTCTCAACTTTTTCAACCTCGGCTCAGCCAGCTCCGCTGCTTCAGCCCCCAGCTTCGGTACCAGGTGCAAAGAGCTCGGTCGTACTACTACCTTTGAACCAGCGAACTCAAGTATGGTAGCGTAAAAAAAATAAAAAAAGAGAGGGAGCAACGAGGAGATCAGGTGCCCACCCTTTCCTGCAAGGGTACCTCTATCCAACAGTAGAGGTTAAAACGTCAAAATGGTACATACCGTTGGAGAATTAAAATGCTGGATCGCTAGAGGGTGTATGACCCAATTAACCTATCATGGAAAACAACGGGTGCTTGTCGAATCCTGCACGATTATCGTGCCGGATCCAAGGCAAGAGCCGGTGAAGTGAGTAGTGATGGGGGTTGAATTTAGAACACGCGGCACAGGGATCAGAGGAGCCTCAAGATCGTTGTTCCTCCCCTACTCGCTGCTGTGTTGAACGTATCAAAAGAGATTCACAGGCTGGACGCAGAGGAGGGGAGATGCAGCAGAGGATGAGAAAAAAGACATTGGCCCGAATTGAAAGGATCGCGGACACTCTTTAATTTACACGAGTTATCGAGTTCCCAGCAGCATGTATGATGTGCAACGTGGAAGTGTTTCGTTTTAGGTATGTCCGTCCGGGACCTCTCGACTGCTCATTCTCCAGATAGGTACCATGGTATCTACGTCGGTGCCTCAATTCAATTGAATCGAGATTTTGACCCGCGACAACTGTATTTCCGGCGTCCTGCTTAGACCTCATGCGGTTAATCCTAGGCAGGTACTTTTGAGCACAGGAGTAGGATTCAGAGAGGCTCATGGAACTTGGATCTTTGGCGAGAAAGTCGTGCAAGCAATCAAAACTTTTCGGGGTTCACAACATATCATGCAGTGAAATCAGATTCAAGGTCACTGGTGCGGCTGGAGCGCATGAAATTTTCCATGACTTGCGGCTCTGCGAGTACAATACCAAAGTAGGTACTTCAATATCAGTTCCCTTTTCAATAATATATTTTCACGCAGGATTAGAGTAGGTAACCCAATCTATCCTCACAGCGCATCTGGTGTTGAGTCAGAAATCCTTGAACGGAGCTTGTCACGCTGCAGGTTGCTGTACTGTCACGCCGGATAGTACCTAATAGGTACTTACCATATCCATACATGTTTGTGCGAATACCTAGACACTCTCTACGTAAATACATTTACATACATACCTAAACGACGATGGAATCCTATTTTGAAATTAACGGCCTCTCCTCGAACCAGATCCTCAATTCCAAGCAAATGGTTCAATTGAGTTTGTTTCACTTGTCCACGCCGCACACGAGCAATCAGTTACATAACGTTGATTCTAGCCGATGAAGCAATGATAAGCAAATTCACACCGGTCATCCCACTCTATCTGGTGTTGAACCCCAGATAGGGACTGATGTCACACACACTGCACTGAAGATGTTTCTTTTTCAGAGTTTTCAGCCTTGCGCTATCCAATAGTCAAATGGGGACTAGTCTAGACAAGGATATGGATATACTACATTGCGTGAGTCACTCTTTACTCTACATGAGCACTCAGATGCATGTGGGTAGGTACTTTATGTACTGACCTTAATAAAGTACATACCAAGTGTCCCATGGACTTCTTGGCTCGGATATGGGCAAGTATTCTCTCCCTGTGTCTTTATTTTAGCAGAATAAGAAGGTAGTAGTGTGTTGAGTGGAGTGTGGTGATTGACCCGGTCTATCCAGTAACCCTGCCAAACTCAATCTATTCGCTGGCTTCCAGAAGGATTCCATCATAGGCAATAAGTAAAGTGAGAGGCCTTAAAAATAGGTAGGGGAGTATGTAATATTATGCTTGTCTGGGGACTAGCTGTGCATAAGTCGCACTTATCTAAGGTCACGGCAATGAGTGTGGGAGCTAACAATTAATCACAAGGCAAATCACCGGAGAATATTGGCACCCCTCCCCCATGATACGAGAGGCCCGGACAGAGCTGGCAATCAGTATAATAACTTCGGCCTCTCCCCTCCCCCAAACCGTTTTTATCCTCATATCACTACAACTCAATCAACTTACCAACTCCTCAGTTCCGAGCTATCAATTCGAAAAGAAACACTCAAACGTTCTCAACCTCCTCTCCCAAACCAAACCAAAACCAATAACCAGCAATGCCTGCCTCTACTACCTCCTCCCAGCCAATGCCACTTGCCCCAATCAACACCACTGGGCTCAGGACACGTTCAGATTCAAACGGCATGGGGTCTCCCACATCCCTCATGTCTAACTTCTCCTCTGGCTCTCCTCTCACAACGGTCTTCACGGAAAGCTCCCAGATCTCCGGCGAAGAGCCCTCCTCAATAGCCGCCTCAATCGCTCCCCTCCTCACCTCGAGCGAAGCGCCAAAGACTACCCGCCCTCACACTCTCCACCACACCCAGACAACCGAGTCCCGCAGAAGCACCGAGTCTGTCGACTCTCAGGCAAGATCCCTAAGGTTCAACGACTTCAGCCGTGGACGTCACAGCAACTTGTGGCTCTTCCGCGGTTTGTCGGTGAGAGGAACATTGAGGAAGATCGTTTCGAAGAATTAAAACAAAAAAACAAAAAACAAAAGCACCTTTCTTTTGGTTGCTTTGCGCGAGACGATACGATAAGATACGACACGATACGACACGATGAGCACTTGTAACGATAAGACGACGATGCCAACGGCCGTTTGACCACGGTTCTGCTACTACATTGCGTGGAGTTTTTTGCGATTTTTTGGGTTTAATTCTTTTTTTTTACTACTTATTTTTACGATCGCTTTTGGTTTCGAGCTTTTCCTTTTTAGTTTTGTTCTCGCGCTAGGGTTTTCCGCTTGAGTTTGAAGATACCTTGTAGTATTATTGTCATGATATGGGTTATTTAGGGTGTGGAGTTTTTCGTTTTTTTTTACCTTCCTTTTCGTCATGTGGCCCCCTGGGAAAGGGCACGATGCCTACGCAGTTTCTTTTGTCCGTTTATGAGTTGGGGGGGAAGACCTACGAGCGTGGGTGGGTGGCCGGAGGATGGAGGGGCGGACTGATAAAGCTTAATTGGCTAGAATCGGGTTATAGCACAGGGTTAAACTGTAGCTTCTCGCTAGGAATTCAATTAAAACATTTTCTTACTGCACTCATAACCAGTTCATCTGTATGCGTGTCCAAATCCAAGAAGACCCTCCCAAAAACCCAAGATCCAGCACACCACGGACACACACTCACACACACACCTATATCCACATCATATCACCCCTCCTCATAAATAATACTCACCCACCACCACCATATGGCCATACTTACACTACATCATGTATTATGCAGCTCCCCTGCAAGCTCTGCATAAGTTAACTTAGAGTAACTTGTGCGCACTCTGTTAACATGTCGATAAAGTACATGTACTTAATGCAATTCGCACCAACAACTACCACGCTGCCTGCACATATACCGCCAAAACTCGAATAATTCGTTATCTCCTGACAGGGCTTTATCTCCGTATTTGGGCTCGGCGGACCGAAAAAGGGCATATATGTGCGGATCGTAATGCATGATCCACAGAGGCTTCTAGAAATCAGTTGCACTTTCAAAAGGGACCCGTTCAAGAACTTCTGTTCCCGCTGAGGATCTATCAAGTGAGTCCATTCAAAAACCGCTATGGAGAAGTCTTCAACTAATGTTTTGCATCCGTTGTCTTCTAAAATACAAAATACCAAACCCGGCCCGAAACCAAAACCCATTCAACAACGAAAGTTGACAACAAAGGACTTGAAGACGATAGTACGACCTGAGAGGAGTTGGAGTCAAAAGCAAAAAATCCGAGTGTTGGTCTTCCTTAGCCATCACCGTATCCCTTTAAGCAATGGGGAATACAGAAGGCCGACCCAACAGGAGGCATCAGATGTATATGGTGTACCTCAAACAACTATTAGCGAGTGGGTGAGGAAGCAAGGGGGTATTGAGAAACTTGGTGGCACGAGTATTATACGAAGTGCCCGTACTCTTGAGGGAGTGATATGTAGGTGGCCTGAACTTGAAAGCCGTCTATATAATCTGTTCCTAGAGAAGCGAGCAGTAGGACAACCTATCCGCCGTGGTTGGTTCAGGTTACACGCCAATGTTCTATTTAGAGAGATTTATCCTAACGCTAGTACCTCCATTTTCCGATTTTCGAATGGATGGTTTGAAGCGTTCCTAGGCCGGTACCGCATTAGTCTTCGGTGCATAACTAAGAAAGCTCAAAAGGTACCTGAAGACTATAGACGGCTTATAGTCAGTTGGCTTCAATTCAACCGGCGTAACTCTCAACTTCTTGGGGGTTCATGGATGGAGACTGTTCTAAATAGAGAACTTGGCCGTTTCCAGCTCAGCAATATCTGCAACCTCGATGAAACGCCTCTACCCTTCGAGTATCTTAGCGGTAAAACGTATAATCCAGTCGGTGATCGTACAGTTTGGGTAAAAGAAACAAGGAATGGTTGGGACAAGCGGCAAGCTAGTCTGGTATTATGCATCTTTGCAGACGGGGTGAATAGAATTCCTCCTATGATCATCTTTCACGGTAAAGGCATAAGTCAACGTTTAATCAACGAATCCAAAGAGTACCATCCGGGTGTGATTGTAGAGTTTAATCAAGAAGCATATATTACAGACACTTTATTCCTCAAATACATTGACACCTACTTATTACCAGCACTAGAAGGTAGGCCATCGTTATTCGCTCTCGATATGTGTAAATCCCACAAAACTACGGCAGTACTCGATAAGCTACATCAAAACAATATTGTACCCAGCATAATTCCAGCCGGGTGCACTAGCTTAGTGCAACCCCTTGATGTCTCCATCAACAAACCGTTAAAAGACAAAATCCGGGATTTGACAGACGAAGCGATCATTGAACACAGTTCCACTTTTGAGAAATGGACTACAGCACAAAGACGTGTTCTCACTACATGGTGTGTAGGCGATGCGTGGTATGGGTTCTGTATTGAAAAACAACAGTTAGTAAAAAAAGTATTTAGGAAGGTTGGGCTATCACTCCCGGTTGATGGCAGTGCAGATCACGAACTTGACATCAAAGGGTTCGCTGGTCTTGAAATAGGTGACTGTAGAAGGTCTTATACTAATACAGTAAAAGAATGTACATATGCGGAAGTTAGTAGACAGTATGATGATAGTGAAGCCATTGAATTCATTGCGGATGGGGAATAACATGTACCTACATACATTGATCAGCTATAAAGATCGTCATTTATACCCTTTTTCGGTCCGCCGAGCCTAGATGCGGAGATAACGAATTATTCGAGTTTTGGCGGTACTTACAGTACCGCCGACTGATCGACCGCCCACTCTACTGCGCCATATACCTGTGATATTGCACTTTGTACCACCCACCAATAACCACCACAACAGCCTTACAGCCTTACAGCACTCAGCTACCTACCTACCTAGCTAGGCAGCAGCAGCAGAGAACACGCATAATATGTCAATAGTGATAGATATCGGTGTAATATAAAAAAATTATATATAGCATTTGATAAATCTTTTTTATCCCTCATTCACTACAACCCACAGCCCACATGCACAACCTGAGTCGAAAGAAAAAACGTTCAAAATCCTTACAGTACCCCCCCCCCCCCAATACCGCCGGGTGGGGGGGCTCTATATATTCAATAAAATAAAAATAAAAAAAGGGAATTCCCTATGTGCATACCGCGCACAAAAAAACACAGAAACACAGAAACGCAAAAGTGAAGAAGTGAAGAAGTAGAAGAAGGAGAGAAAGAAAGAAAAAGAATGCCGCAATCAACCGTAAAAGTGTATATTTACGATTCCACAACAATAACGACTCGAGGCAGAGAGATCGAGAGGGGGGGGGGGGGGGAGGCATCAAACGCTCGGAACCCCAACAACATCTCTAATCTGCGGCTGAGTCTTGAGCGCCCAAACATACACGATGCACCACTGCACCATCGACACGATCCACCCCGTCAACTGCACCAAGTCAGCACTCACTCACTCACCCCCCAACCAAAGCCAAAACAAAGGGCAAAAAACCCAAAGGGCAAAAGAAAAAAAACATACCTTCTCCCTCCACGTATGAAAGTACACCCCGTCATCAACAACATCCACCACCACACGGCCAACAACCCCACCACACCCCCCGTCCGCCACCCCCTCCACCCACGCACCCCACGCAGCACCGGCATCACCTCACTCCACAGAAACAAACTCGCATGCGTCAGCAGGAACGTATGCCCACTCAGATCATGGCCGCCGCGCCACCGCCCGCCCGCCAGCTTACACGCCGCGCTCGTCGCGGCAAGCACCTTCTCGCCCAGCACCTCCTTCACGGCGCCGGGGTCGCGCATGACGGCGCGGCACGCCCCGCCCGTGAGCGTGAAGGTGCGGTCCATGATTGGCGCGCCAAAGAACCACTGCGTGACGGCCACCCACCAGAGTGTGCGAGGGCGTAGCGCAGCAGGGCTTGTGGCCGCGAGGGGGAGCGCAGCCGCGTGAGGTGCAGGGCAAAGACGAGGGTGGTCCAGAGCCAGCCGTATTTGACGAAGAAGATGTTTGCAAAGTTGGATTTGCGCGAGAAGTAGGAGTCGGTTGAGGCGGTGTCGGGGGAGAGGGTGCTGTAGACGGAGCCGAGGAGAAGGGTGGCGGGGTAGACGGATGCGGTGAAGAGGTCGATGCCTGTGGGGATGAGGGAGCGCCATGCTGGCGGGGTGGGGGGGTGGTGTTGTAGCCGTTGGGCTCGCTGTGGCCGTTGGATCGTTGTATCCGTTGGAGTCGTGTTTCTCCTTGGGCAGGTGCGGGGCGGAGGGCGTGGGGGGCGGGGGGTCCATGGTTGTTTGTATTCTATGCTGCTATATTGCTATGCTGGGGCCGTGGGCATGAACGGTGATCTCTACGGCTGTGTTATACTGCTGATGCTGTAGATGCGTAGCTGCGTAGACGAAGGTGTAGATGTAGATGTGCGGTGAGTTGGAATTGATGGAGAGGTCAGAAGGGGATGATGACCTCTATCAGTCCTCAGTCAGTCAGTCAGTCTGTCTGTCTGTCTGCTCAGTCGTCGTCGAGGTCACGTCAAGCTTGGTATTGACGAACGAAGAAAGACACCACGGGGAACCTTACGTCAGGGGCTGTGGCTTGAGTCAGAGACAACCAACCAGGCTGTCTGTGGCGGTGCGTTACACGAACCGGGCACCGAACAGCACGGCCCCACGTTCTAGAATGCTACCCAATCAACCAATCAATATAAACCCCCAACCAGCCCAGCTAGGTAGCTACCTAGCTACTATGGCTAGCCGTGTGTGGAGAGGATAGGATATCAATTTATCCCAGAGATCCACCCAAGCAAAGGGAGGAAGATGGGTGTGGGGGGGGGAAAGGGAGGGAGGGATCGTTCCAAGATCGTGCTCCGATACAGAAGCACAGTTCAGTACGTACATTCGTCGGGTACTTGGTCCATACTCGCGATAACTACTCCCTATCACTCAGTACTCAGTCTGTCACTCGCACGCTCACTCGCTCACTCTGCCGTGACGGTGTACATACTCTAAGTCTAGAGGACGCCCTTTTAAAAGGCTCTTCTTCGCGCTGCACCACACAGTAAACTGCTCCCAGCCAGACCCCCAGATCCCGTTCGTTCTCTTCTCCCCGCTGCTGCTGCGACAGACAGACAACGTGGTTCCTCTGTCTACATGTACCTACCTACACAGCTTCTAGACTTCAATTCCACTCTGCCCAGGAGTCCTCGTAGCCAGAGCTAGCTAGCTGTATCCCGATCATTACCAACAATCTACAAATAACAATTCCAAATCTCCCCCGCTCCCCTCTCTTTTTTATTAGTGCGTGCATTGTTGGAAGCCCCCCCCCCCCCCCCAAGGGCCAAAGAACCGCACACCATTCGGTATTGCCGTTGTTGCTCCACGATAGGCGCAGACGACAAGAGAGTTTACGCTGCGCCTCCCCAGAAAAAAAAAAAAAAAAGCAAGAAGCCCTGCATTCTATGCGCCAACCAACTAGAGTAGATGACGAAGAGATGATTGGGCGTCCTTGAGAATAGCCGGCAGCGTGTCTATAAACATTCGCAATGCCCATCATGTTCTGTTAAAATAAACGAGAAACTATCATTGACCTTGGCGCGCGCGCACATCAACAAGTCGACATCAACACAAGTATTTATTTGCATATCATCATCATAGAATCATTTCCCCCGTGAGAAACCTGAAGCATACATCATATATAATCTACATTGCTTCCTACCGCTATTGGCCGACATCGATCCTCCTCCTGCCCTGATTATTTACTTAGGTCTCTCTTCCCCTTAAACGCTTCACCGAAACCGTTAGCGCAGTGACGTTTACTTTTTTCTCTGGCCGGTAACGATACCGATACGGAAAAACCCTTCTTCACAACGCTCCCTTCCCTTCCCCCTGCCGTTGATCGATTAGGAGTGACCGACACCCCCGGTAGCAATAATAATAATAATACCCCCGACTTACCTGTATCACGTCCTATCCTACTCCTCATAACCTCACAACCCCCCCCCCCCCACAACCAACCCCATCCACCCTATCATTCACTCATACTTCTACTGAAAATCTATCTTTAAATCCGAAACTTTATTTTTTTTTCTTCTACCCTATTTCACGCACTTTACCCTTGTGCGCGCGTGCGATAGCCAGACGTACTCACCCCGGCCCCCCTTCACAACAAACATGTCAAATCTCGCCGTAATACCGCGGACGCTCCGGCACTGCCGCAGTTCACCACTCGTCACAGCACGGCCCGGAGCCGTCCTGGCAGCACGTCGATTCCCGCAGCTGCAGCAGCAGAATAGATGGCTGGCCTCTAACACTGGCGCTGTAACAGGAGGTGGGAGTGACTACCAGCTCGGCCCCGCAAACACTGTACAGCCGCAGCCCGGCACCCAAGTTGTTGGCGCGATTAATGATAGTGGTAGAGGTGGTAGTGGGAGTGGCGGTGGTGATGGTGGTGGGAGCAGTGGGAGCAGTGGGAGCAGTGGGAGCAGTGGGAGCGGTGGGAACGGTGGGAACGGTGGGAGCGGCGGACAGAAACATAAAGGACATGATTGGAGCGGTACGGCGTGGAAGGTCTTTGAGGCCGCGGCAACCACAGGAATGAGTCTGGGTGTTTTGGGGTGAGTGGGATATAGATGGTGGAGCGAATGGTATGGGGGCGGTTTTACTGACAGAGCGGATCGATCGACTACAGACTCGCAGGATACGGCTACCACAGGTACTACAAGAGTATCGTGCTCCAGAAGATTGATACGCGTTCAACCTGGGCCATGACCCAGCACTGAGTATGGCAACGGCGTGCGCAGACAAGGATGATGAACAACCTTGGTAATATATTGAGATATCCTATTCCCACCTTGAAGCGGGCTAACAAGCCCGGCCATAGGATCGTGCTCCCGCAGCAGAAAAAGATCAACAGGATCATAGGCGGTGACCCACGCGGACGCTATTACCTCCTCGTCGGAGAAAAGGTGAGACGCGCCCCAGCCCCAGAAAACCCACATTTCGCCGGGACCTCCCTCCGGTGAGATATAAAAAACTATGCAACTAACACATGTGCCCCAGGGGACCGGAAAAACATCCATGCTCCTCGCGGCCATGCACAAAGTCGAAGGCGATTCCTGCTCCATGATGGAAGCCCACGCCGACCCCGAAATTTTCCGTCTGCGCCTCGGAAAGGCCCTCGATTTCGAATTCCACGAGGACTATATCGGCTCCCTCTTCTCCATCCGCGGCCCCGCGACACCACCGCTCTCCTCGACATTGAGCGCGCGCTCAACAAGCTTGAGAAGGTGGCCATCAACCGGCGCAAGGCCGAGGGTGAAAAGTCAAAGCCGCTGGTCATGATCATAAACAGCATGCCATCTGCTGCGCAATGACGAGAACGGGCGAGACTTGCTGGAGCTTCTGCAGCAGAAGGCGGAGGCATGGGCGGCGAGTCAGCTGATCACGATGATATTGAACAGTGATGATTACTGGGTGTATGAGAGGCTGAAGCAGTACGGGTCGCGGATGGAGCTGATCTCGGTCAAGGATCTACCGAGATCGCAGGCGATCGCGGCACTCAAGAATTATAGGATGAAATATAGGAAGGAGGAGCCGCCGAAGCAGGATATCTCGAGCAGGTGTATGATCTTGTCGGCGGGCGTCTTGCCTTTCTGAATAAGGTTGCTAGGGAACGCGATATGATTGCAAAGTGCAAAGAAATCTGCCAGGACGAGAAGACGTGGCTGTTGAACAAGTGTGGTCTGCTTGGGATGGACATGGACGATGATGTGATGGACCACAGAAGTTTGCGTCCCTCAGCCATGGTGCTTGTGAGGCATTTGGTGGAGAAGGAGAAGGAGGACGCGAAGAAGGCGGAGAACGCTGGACATGATCATGGAATACATGGGCATAAGCTGCCGGAGTTGGAGCTGTATAAAGCCAGGCAGGTCATGACAAGGGCCGAGTTTATCGAAGAGTTTGACCACATCAACATCTTCACCATCGACTGCGACAGCAAGGTTAGGGCCGATAGCGTACCCATGATGAATGCGTTTAGAGAGGTGGTGGCCGAAGAGGGATTTGATGAGTACTTGGAAGATACGCTGCAGAGAATCAGTGATATCGAGAGTTTGGGCAGAACGAGGGAGATCACAATAAAGGTAAGACTGAACCCCAATTTGGTATTATACAACTATGCGAGACCGGGGACTGACCTGGGTTATTTTAGGATCTTTGGCATGGCGGGAAGTACAATATGACGGTTAAGAACCATAAGGGCCAAACTGAAAAGACCATTTCCTGGGACGTGACACCCGGTGACAGAGACGCGGAAAATCGGATGATTAGTTCTCTGGTTAACTTGATTTCTATCTCGCCGACAAGCTCGCGGCGGTTGTAAATATATCCCTCCCACCTGCACATACCACGCATTTGGAGAAACTGGTTCTGTTTCTTGTATTATCTTTCCCGGCTTACATTTTATTTTTATTTCCGTACGGCACTCACTGGACTCTGGCTGTCCATTTTCCTTTTTCCATTTATCATATATATCAAAATACCTGGGGCGCTTTGATTGTTTTTTTTTATTCTCCTGATTTGATTTGGAACCATGGATAGTCTACCCGATCCAGAAATTTCCTTTGTCCTTTGTTATCTGCATTGCGACGGTATGGTGGTGGCTGTCATCGTCTTTTTATATCTTTCCTTTATTTTTATTTTGTCTAGGGTTCTTTTTTTGTCTTGTACTCTACTTTAGAGGTGGTTGGCGGTGATAAGTAGACACCGCAGTATTGGCTATCAAATTTATCGACTTAGAGCCCGGACGGACGGTGTAGGAGTTAATTCGACGGGGGTGTCTTTGGTGTTGATTCCATGAGGAGGTTCGGAGGGGACAGCCTTAAATACTCCCCTAGCTTCCCCTTAGTGCCATGCTGTTATCACGTCTTCGCCACGATATCCTTAACCTCTTTTACACACATAACTATAACTACATACATGTAGGCAGAAGCTGAGAGATTTTTTACTTAAACTAAGTATATTTCTACTCATCACAATTGTAAGATATCTACAGCCTTGAAATGAGATAGACACTACACTGTTGGTTGGTTACCAGCGGTCCCAGATTCTCCTGGCCTAGTCGTTACGCCCCAAACATGTTGCTTCAGGATGTATCACTCGGCCGCCAAGACATCTTCGTTGCAGCCCATAGCGACCTAGAATAGAACTCAACTTCTCGCGAATGAAGTTTATAATCCGCTTCTTTGAGTAAACAGATTTAGAGAAACGAAGGCTATATTTCTTTTCGCAATTGAACAACTTTGACGGCTGTCATCGTGGTTGTAATTAGTGCTAACAGTACCATAGGATGATAGAGGGTTTTTAGCTTTTTAGCTGTACGAATTGGACAAAACACGCGCTCCCGATTGGTTGAACAGTGCATGGGTTTCTGTTCAGAGTGCTCGAATTCGTTCAGCTAAAATCCTCTAATGTCAATGCCGCCTCTAAGCACTATAATACTGAGTACTCTGGTCGTAAGAAAACAAACTGGTATGCCATTTGTCAGTAAGGTGTTTTTATTATTAGAAGTATCGTACAACAGTGCAGTTTTATAATTTCTACAAGAACTCCGATCCAAACTAGAGCCATAGCTTCGATTTTACTTTCTATCTTTACTTCAGCAAGAGAGACCTTCTCTATCTATGGTTATGATGATATCCAGCGGTGTAATTTGTATAAACAATTGCTGTTGAGTTGAACTCAGTACTCACCGAGTCTTCTTCTCTGGTTCATCCTGAATAGGCAGCTAGAGGCTTCTCCGAGTGAAATGGTTCAATTAGGAATGGGCCGCAGTTAATCTTTGCCGATAAGTTATGGCTTTGATGAGGCAGAATTCTAGAAGATATTGATGTTATTTATTGTCCGACGCATATCAGTTGACGTCTTGCGCAATTGCCTGCAGGTGCAGTATGTATGCATTGACGACTCGCATCCCATCCACGAAATCTGTAGGGTACCGTACCTACTCTAAGTAGAGTAGAGTATGGCACACCCCCAATTTTTGGTGGGGCAACTCAAAAAGATCCGGATCCCGTTTTGGTTTTTCCGCTTTTGGATCCCCGCTGTGCTCGCCGGGCAATTGAATTACCGAACTCTCGGTAATTCTCGCGGGGGAGAGGAGAAGAGAGCCGGATGTTTTTTTTTTTCCTTGGTGCATCTTTCGCCCGACCATGGCCCTAAAAAGTGTGCGAAAAAAAAGTCTTTGGAAGGTTGCCATGCATGGATGGGTGTTGCCGGTTGCCCCACAGAACGGAAAAAAAAAAAAATCTCACTTCTATCATCATCTCAACACCCCCTCGTCATCCATCCCGAGGAAACCTTTTTTTTTCAAAACATTCACGAGGCAAACAATAGATTTTTGTTTTTTCTTCGAATTTCCTTTTTTTCTTAATTTTTCCCCCTTACTTCACCCACCAGACGGCTCTGATAAGCTTCAGTTAGTCGCTTGTTTGTGGAAAGAATCTCATCCGGTCGTGCCATTCCTGGTTTACTGTAAATTTGACAACCATCAGTCATCATGGCTCCCTCAAAGGATCCCGTTGCTGAGATTCGTGAGTATTCTTTTATTCTATGACTTTGAAAATAAGATATAGATTATGCCTGACAAATTGGGGGTGCCTGTGCTAATTGTGGGATGTTGTCATCATTGCGGGATAGAAAATGAAGTCGCCAACGAGACCACTGCTGAAGTTATCCAGCAGGAGACCGAAAATGTTCAGGAGGAGGCCGCGGCGGAGGAGCAGTCTCAGGATTGTAAGATTCCAACCTCCTATTCGTGATTGAAATATCTCTCCCCATCACTCAATTGCTCGCCAAGTTTGTGGGGTTCATAGAGTGTCAAGTTCAAGTGGGGGTGCTAGGCATTGTGCACGGATGATACTTCTCTTTTCAATAGGGTATTTTCTTGCAAGATTGCTAATTTTGCGATGACGGTAGTGTTTCAATTAACGGTTAAGCTTCCGCACAAGCCTCATAAGATCAACATCATGGTACGTCATTGACATTTGGGCTCAAGAGATTTATCACTCCCAAATATTATATTTACAAAGATTCCTAACTGCGAATGCTTCTATTATCGTTCAGGTCTCCCCCTCAGAGCAAGTCCAGGATATCCGACAGACTATTGTTGAGCTCCAGGGACATTCCAATACACTTGCTTCCATCTTGAACACAATGGCACCAGAATCAGCGACTTCGTTGAGCTCACCGATGTCCCTGGCATTGGGCCCGACTCTGAGCTCGTTCTCGTTGAGGACCCATACACCGAAAAGGAGGCTAGGATGCATATTCTGCGGATACGGGAATTGATCGGTGCAGCTGCCCCCCGTGTAGACGTTGTTCACGGCATCCAGGCAGGGCTTTCTCTATTCGACGGGCTCAGCCAAGGCGAAGATGCGCAGGATGCAAAGGGCAAGAAGGCCGAGGACGCTCGTCACCCAATGTCCGACTACGATTTCGATGCTCCGGCTTCTCTAGACCACTTTCTCCCTAAAGTCGACCCTACCCCTCCACTAAAGTGCATTAAGGGTATGTGCCTTTCATCGTGGAACCCTCCACCACACAACCTTAGACAGCGCGGCCACCTCTTGTACCTTCAGGTAACCACAAATGAGGGAGAGCAATTCCAGATTTCCGCCCATGTTTCTGGGTTCTACGTAAACAAATGCACAAACAACAAGTTTGACCCTACACCAAAGACTTCCCCGAAGTTGCAAAGCGCCCATTCGCTCATCACCCTCTTGAGCATGATTTCCCCATCTTTTGAGAAGGATTTCGCTACGTTTCAAGAGTGGAACAGCCGTAAGGACCCATTAATCACATACCCTCCCACCAATGCCATCCCAGCTTCTCCGTGGTTGGTTCCGGGGCAAAACACATCCAGCCACCAGGCCGACCAAGCCCGCCCACAAGAGACATACCTCATCTCAGGAACCGAGAGCGGCGACTCCCTCCGCGATTTCAACGAGGAGTTCCAGTCGACCCGTGAACTGCCCCGTGAGACCGTCCAGGACCGTGTTTTCCGCGAGCGCCTTCTCTCAAAGTTGTTCGCCGACTATACAGATGCTGCCGTCCGCGGCGCAGTTGCGATCGCAAGGGGAGAGCTTGCGCCATTGAACCCAACGGAAGGAAGGGATGCGCAGATCTACGTCCATAACAACATCTTCTTCTCCCACGGTAGTGATGGAGTCGGCACTTTTGCCAGCGAGGGTGGTGATGAGGCAGCAAGAGTTGCGACTGGAAAGGATGTTATGGGTGTTAAGGCTGTTAATGGACTCGACATCCCCGGCCTGCAGACCCCCGGAACTGTTGTTGTTGACTACATGGGACGCCGATTGGTGGCCCAGAGCATTGTTCCCGGTATCTTCCGCCCCAGGGAAGAGGGACAGTCGCAGATCGATTACGGTGGTGTAGAGGGTAAGGACGTTGTTGCGTCTAATGAGATCTTTGTCCCGTTGTTTGAGAAGATGAGCCAGGCTATGCGGGTGAAGAAGCACACTGTTTGGGATAAGGAGCAGAAGAGCCATGAGCTTGTCGCTTCCGTGGAGACCAAGGGATTGTTGGGAACTGATGGAAGGAAATACGTGCTCGATTTGTACAGGATTACCCCGTTGGATATCGACTTTATTGAAAAGTATTGGAAGGGCGTTGAGGGCGTTACTGAGGGTGGCTACCCGCACAGAATGGCCGTACTGAGGCCGGAGCTTGTGGAGGCTTTCTGGAAGGTGAAGATGAGAGAGTATGTCTCAGCAGAGTTGGAGAAGCGAAAGAAGACCAAGGAAGATGCTACCGCAGTTGAGGGAGCCGCCAAGGAAGAGGCCAAGCAGGAGGCCAAGGAGCCATCTGGAGAGGCTGCAAAGGAGGAGGCCAAGGAGGAGACTCCCGTAGAGGGCGAGGTCAGTGACCGGAATGCAAGAAATGATCAAAATCAAGGCTAACGGACATAAGCAGGCCGCCAAGGAAGGCGAGGAGGAATCCAAGGAGGTTGCGGAGAAGAAGCCCGAGGAGGCTCAGGAAACCATTGACATCTCTGGTTTTGACTTCGCGCTTAACCCTGATGTCATGTCCGGACAGGTTCCCCAGACCGATGAGGAGAAGGCGCAGATGGAGAAGGATGAGAAGGATGTCCGAGACGCATGCGCATTCTTGCAGGAGAAGATCATCCCACGCCTGGTATACCCCCAAATACACGACCATCAAAATCCCACTGCTAATCTTCCATAGATTGAGGACCTCAAGGAAGGCGAGGTCGGCTCCCCCATGGACGGTCACTCGCTCACCCGCCTTATGCACAAGCGCGGTATCAACGTCCGCTACCTTGGAACTATTGCCAAGCTCGCGCTTGAACAGGGCAACAAGCTTATCTCTATCCAAATCATTTCCATCCAGGAAATGGTTGCTAGAGCTTGCAAGTACATTCTCAACGGTCTCCTCCGTGGCCTGCCTAACCCTCTTGCACCTTTCTGCATTTCTCACTTCCTCAACTGCCTTCTCGGAGCTGAGCACAACCCTAACCCTAAGGTTGTTAAGGATGATGGTCTATGGAAATTGTACCATGATGCCGATTTCAGCTTTGAGCAGCTTAACATCCAGGATCTCCGTGCCTCAATTGAGAAGGAGGTTCAGAAGAGGTACCGCTTTGAACTTGAGGCAGGATGGGAAACCAAGATTAAGCCTCTCCAAATGCTCCGTGAAATTGCTCTCAAGTTGGGTCTTCAGATGAGAATTAAAGACTACCAGTTTGGCTCCGTAAAGGAAGGCGAGGCTGCTAAGCCTAAAGAGGAGCCTACTCCTACAAATGGCAATGGAAAGTCTGGCAAGGGCAAGAAGAAGTCTCCCGCAGCATCGGTTGCCGACTTTACTGAGGTTTCGAAGAGTGGATCAACCTTCGAGCCTGATGACTTGATGAACATTGTCCCAATTGTTAAAGACTCTGCGTCCAAGAGCCAGTTGGCTGAGGAGGCCCTTGAAGCCGGCCGTATCTCTCTCATCCAGGACCACAAGGACATTGGTCAGGAATTGCTTCTTGAGTCGCTCTCTCTACATGAGCAAATCTATGGAGTTTTGCACCCTGAGGTCGCCCGTGTATACAACACTCTCTCAATGCTGTACTACCAGCTCGATGAGAAGGCCGCTGCCGTAGAGCTTGCAAGGAAGGCAGTCATTGTTTCTGAGCGCACTCTTGGTGTCGATTCAGCAGAGACTATCCTCAACTACCTCAACTTGGGATTGTTCGAGCATGCCAGCGGTAACACTAAGACCGCTCTGGCCTACATCAAGCACGCCTTTGGATTCTGGAGAGTCATCTATGGCGATTCCCACCCAGACTCTGTCACCACCATGAACAATGTCGCTGTCATGCTCCAAGCTCTCAAGTACTACACCGATTCCCGCAAGTGGTTCGAGGCATCACTCAAGGTCTGCGAAAACATCTTCGGAAAGTCTTCACCGCACACTGCCACTCTTTGCTTCCAGCTTGCCCAAGCTCTTGCCCTCGACAACGACTCCAAGGGTGCTGTCAGCAAGATGCGTGATGCCTACAACGTCTTCCTCGCACAGCTCGGACCTAAGGACCGCAACACAAAGGAGGCTGAGAACTGGCTCGAGCAACTCACACAGAACGCTGTGACTCTTGCGAGACAGGCGAAGGATCTTCAGGAACGCCGCAAACGTATGTTGCAGATGACACCACGCGTCACGATGTCTGCAAAGCCCCAGCCACAGGTTGGCCAGAGCTCTCTGGGGATGCCGGAATCGACCACCACCGCGACCAGCAGGTCAGGAATGGACTCGAGGAGTATTGACGATTTGTTGAAGTTCATTGAGGGTTCTGAGGGCCCGAAGCAGAAGAAGAGACAGGGCAAGACCAACCCTAAGAGGCGCGGGGGTGGTGGAGGCAGTGCTTCTAGAACATGATAAGTAGCTTTTTCTTTTATTTCGATATCTTTCATCTATGTTATTTTCTTTGCTCGGCGAAACCAAAATAAATCTTTCTTTTGTTTTGTTTTTCTTTAATCGGATCTGATGGATGGTGACGGATGGGTTTTGACTGTAATTTTATTTCTTTACGGATAAAAGTTGCAAACGAAAAGCATGCTTTAACGGAGGGGGGAAATTTATACGGGACCGTTCGTTGGGCTTGTAAGTTCTTGTCACTGTAGGAAACTCTCTGTATGGGTGAGAATTTACAGGGCAATTGATTTTTATGTTTTCTGTTGGTTTTCTGTTTCCCTTTTTTTGTTTCTTGTTTCTTGTTTCTTATCCCTTTCGAGTTGATTTTGGCATCTCTTCTCAACCCGCTTTCCTACTGTAAATAGATGTACAAAAAGTTATCATACTAGGGAATTTGAAGAGGGAGACAATACGGGAAAATATCTACCGACAGAGGTGCAGATCCAGCAGTAGTAACTCCATTTGAAATACGGATGGTATCAATTGGGACGCGTATCCGAGACCTCCTTTCTTTCTCGAGAGCCGTGTAAAAGTTTTTTTGATGACTTTACATCTCTTGCAATTGATTGCGCATGCGCTGTACAGGGAGGAGATGTAGATGTATTTCTAACCGCCCATATTCACTCTTCCAGAACGTCCATCGCTCGCACAGCTCTCCTTCCCCCCCTTGAGATCAATTTGCCAAGGGTATCGTTTAGGCATAGGCATAGCTACTGTAGATAGCTCTAGAAAGTAGCTTCCTTCCCTTCAGCTTCAGCTTCAGCTACAGCTTCGAAAAATTACCTGTTGTATACAGTCGACGAGTAGCTGCCGTACCGCGTATACTCCACAAGCCCAGCCAGGGTAGGGGTTCCGTTCGTTCGTTCGTTCGTTCGCTCGCTGTGCCACCCGAATTGCAGTCTCCGTCGTCGGTCTGTCCATCTAGCGACTTTCCTGTTTTGCACATGCACGGACAGACGCTCTCGTCTCCGGTCCCTGAGAAGGACTGGTGAAACCCATTTCATCACGGCCGACGCCGGAGAGAACTTAGAGAAGTGGTAAACTACATGATCATGCAGGCACCGTAAAAAAAAAAAAAAAAAGTTCCGCTTGGATCCGTTCAAAGCAGCTACTATATTGCATGCACGCGCGGGGGGCGGTCGTGTCGTCGGTTGGTTCCCCGGTAAAATCCCTAGAAACTAGAGTGGAGGTTGAATTCAGGTACCACCGTACCACAGATGAATATGGAGAAATCAGCAAGGGCGATCAGGAACGGCATATGGAGCACATGATCCAGGGGAACCTAAGTGGCTGCGCTGGCAGATAGATAGAGTAGGTGATTATGAGATGAGATGGGATATTGTTTTTGTTTTTGAATCCAGTAGGATCCTCGGCCCCGATGGGACAATCTGCCTGAGGGGCAGATCTATTCTATCGTTACCAGGTATATGGACGTTGGAAGTAACTTTTATTTTTGTTGCCTCTCGATCTCGCAACACATGCAATTGAAACTTGAAACCCCATTGGATTGCCACATGTATGTAGGGTAGGGTACACGGTCTTCCCTATCTCATATCATGATCTTAACGAAACGAAATAACGGTCGCTTCAGATTGCACCTGCAAAGGGGGCTCGGTGCATGATAGATGCCTATCAAAAACCCACAATACACCCACACAGATATAAAAAGTGTGGCTGCAGAGAGGGGCGGCATACTGGGCGTAATTTAACGTGTTGATGATGCAGGGGAAGCTCTATCACACCGCTCCGCTCACCTGGCACTGGGACTTGGCGGCTTTTTGGTTGCTGTTTAGCGCTGCTATGTATGTACCTCTCAAGTACCTGTATGGATGGGCAACAATAACGAGTTCTATTTCTGCTCTTTTGTTTGGACAAGGGACCAAATTGCCCGTATCCTTAGGGTCTGCTTCCAATCTCGGCTTCCATGTTTTTTCCTCAGTGTATAGCTCGTAGTTGAAGGTACTTCATGTACCCTACTCAAAAATAGAGTAGAATGGCAGGCAAGAGCTAGAGAGGAACCTCGAAGCAGGCAGGCAGGTGTGAAAGGAAACCTTGGTATTGTTCAGGGTATTCAGCGAGGTCCTCAGCACGGACGAGGGGCTCTTCCCGAAATTGTTCAAGAGTGTGCCTGATACTTGTTGATCTAGGAGGTGAATAGATGAACCAACTGCGCACAGCGTGGATGTTCATTAAGGATGGACATTAAACTACTCCCGGAATGGAAACATCCCCCTTTCTCACCAAGAGCCCACCAAGAACCCATGTCGGCGGGCACGTTGGAGAGACACTGTGGAATTGGTGGAGTTGTGTAGTGTGCAGAGAATGGTATAAGGAGCCGCTGTTTCCCCCTCCATAAATGACTTCCTTTCTTCTTTACCCACAGCATCCTATCTTGCATAGTCATTCATTCCAGTCGCTCTTTTAGCACACACGATCATTACCACGTTTTTCGCACCTTATCCTACTTAATTACCACTTCACTTTTTAAAGAATCTATTTACCTTTTTAAAGAACCAAATCAATAAACATGCGTTTCTCCGCCATTGCCGTTTCCGCCGCCGTCTTCGGTGTTGCCATGGCTGTCCCCGCCGTTGTCTACGAGACTGAGGTCGTCACCATCACCTCTTGCGCTCCCGAGAAGACCAACTGCCCGCTCGTGCTACCGCCACCTCCGCCGAGGTTGTCCCGACCGTTGCCCCCGTCGAGTCCGTCCCGGTCTACACCTCGGCCCCGGTTCGCCTCCTCCCCAGCTGTCGAGCCTGTCGCATCTGTCCCAGCTGCCGGATCATCTGCCCCAGTTGAGTCCGTCACCATCCCGGCCAGCTCCACCGTCGCTGCCGTTGAGACCCCCGCTGTCAGCTCCCCAGCTGCCGGAACCGGCTCTGTCTCTGCCCCGGCTGCTGTCCCCACCTCTGCCACCGGAACCGTCAAGGCCCACGAGTCAATTCCCTCCCGTTCCCTTGAGCACTGGTGTCTACTCATGGACCCCCTCAGCCTCTGCTGGCCTTCCTTCAGCTGCCCTCAACACCTCAACCCCGGTTGTTCCTTCATCTCCTAGCGCCAGCGCTGTCCAGGACACCTTCGAGGGCGCTGCTGCCGCCAAGGGCTTCTCCTTCGCTGCTGTGGCCCTCGCCGCCGCTGCCTACGTCCTTGTTTAAAGAGATAGAGAGCTTTTTTCCGTCTACCGTTCTGACGATGGATTGATGACTTTTCTTCTGTAGCATAGCAAGAGATGACTGGAAAAAAAATACACTTTTTTTTAGTCCTGCCTGGTGTAATCTCTAATTCTATATTTTTCATGTGGCGGCGTTGTACTTCATTGTTTTCCTCCCCCTAGGTGGGAAGTGGTGGCGTGTTTGTACATGTGTTCTTTTTTATTTTTCTCTAGATTCTTTTTGTGAAAGGGTTTTTTTTATAGGTTGCTGGTGTAGTTCGGTGGAAATCATAAACTTTATCAAACTATTAGAGCCTGTACCTACCTGCTTGCTTGTGGCTGTGAATAAGCATATCCTCCTGTGGAGTGAATTGTTTTACCAACTTGATGTTGACCAATTGATTGATTAACTCTGTGAATAGGGAGCTTAAGGAACTGCTTAGCTAGTTGCCAGAGATATCCGCTGTACTAGCAACTACTAGCAAGCAACTGATTGATCGCCCGACAAGTTCCCAGTCCGGCGCGTGCCGTTTGTTTGAGGTTTACTAGCCGGATCCCAGTCGGTGTGCCTTAATATCGAACCCTTGTTGTTACGCGTCACCGTTTATCACTCTTGGCGAAGGACGGGTAAGGACAACAGCGGATTGGCGTGTCACGTTTGGAAGGTGCATCCTGAGCAATGGCGATTCGCAAAGGGTCCCAGGACCGAATCTCGGGGCATTGGAGCGTATGGGTACTCGATTGTGTGTATATGTGCTCAAGGGATGGGGAAACACAGGCCTGGCCAGCTTGGTTGTTGTTGTGCGATGGGAGTGCATATGTTCGATTTCCTCTCGTAAACAAAACGGATCCACGACCCGGATCCTCCGTCAAGGGTGGTGGTGCCTCCAGAATTACTGATGATGAGAGAAACTGGCCCCAGGGGCGCATATCCAGCCAATTCTTTGGAAGCAGTCTGGAAAAAAAAATTTGCAAAGTCAGCAAAATCAACAGGACACAGCGTTAAACGTCCTGCAAAGTAAGCAAAGTGTACTTGGGAATACGGATACTAAAGCCATACCAATTATAAACCGAGATGAAAAAGTGGTGATCACTGATCAAAATGGACAAATCAATTAATGTATTACCTCAGGGTGAGCACTTCATGGTGATGCCTTTCTGGTCCTTCTCCCGGTGCCTTTCCTCTATGATGACCTCTCGATTCTGATGTTGCTTCAACCATTGAGATGCCCTTTTTTGTGATGATGTTGATGAGTTGTACTACATTTCATCGGGCCATGGATTAAGACTTTCGGAATCAGACCTCCTTAAGCTTAGATGCCTCTGCGTTGCAAAGAAGAGATCTCTCCTGAGATTTCACCGTGCATATGATGTTTGCTCGAAGGTATTTCAGAAACGCGTAGCAGTCATGATGTATAGGTATACGTAGCTCATCAAACGAAACAGAATACATATACGCAAGCCTCCACTAATCCCCACGGGCCATATGGGCCACCTAATCAATCAAGCCCAAGTCATGTGATGTAAAGCCACAGCCTGAAACATCATATCCTCTGTAGAAACACATATGCACATACATGTATGCATTGCGCAACAAGGCCTCGAGAATGTGCCTACATGAACGATTGGGGAGGTGGAGCTTATCTCACCACGAACCTCACTCAGCACTACCAGTCCCTTCCACACAGCTCCAAAACAAGCTTATCGCCAAATTTGATAATGGTTTTGTGTGATTTTACAATCACCGGCAGTCAGTTTCGTGTGGTCCATGCACGAGCTGCCGAGACGAGACGACTGAAAGATTCCCGTGCCTTAATTAAGTAAGCTCTAGACCTAGGTCCTTTTCTACTTTCAACTCCGAAATCTCCAAAAGGTCCTCCCCTTCACAAGCTGCCCTCCCCACGTCCCCACCCCCTCCAGCCAGCCGAGGAGTTACAAGCCGAGCAGTTTGTGTTCCCCGGGCGCGCGCGTGCGTGCGTGGTGATCAGGTTATAAAACTTTTCACGGGAAGCTAGGCCATGGCCATGAGCCAACCATAGCTACATATATGTATACGAGACCTCTAGGTAGGTTTTTCAAACATTTTGTGCGGAACTATTGGGCGGGGGGTGGTAGATTAGTTAGTGATACGCGGGTGTGGGGGTACGTTACCTTCTTAACTTTTCGTTGTTAGCTGAGATCAGCGTTACAACAAAAAATGAAGTGCCCTCTTTTTTTTTTTTTTTTTTTTCCTCGTACGTCGTCGGTGAGGAATTATGTATTAGCTGACACTAAAAGCAAAAAAAAAAAAAAAGGGTTTAAGTGCGCGTCGAGTGATATCTCATGCTTCTCATTCATGGCCACTCACTGCCGCTTAATTACAATATTATATCCAGTTCCTAGTTTGACCAAAAAGTATGGTACGTATTAACACATATCTATCAGAGTAATGAGCGTGTAGATCACATACAAGTGGTTACCTATCTACAACAATAAACTGCGTATCTGCAATTACCCCCCCACCTCCACCCCCCCCCCCCCCGGGGGGGGGGGGGGGTGTGCAGCGGGTGAAAAAACGAAACAATGTCCACAACCGGTGATTAAATAGTATCTTATATCTACACATTACTACAGCTAACTATAATATTTATATTACATATCTCCGAAGCTTGAAACTGGATGTAATGCGGTCCTCTCATTTGGGTGGGAGGGGGGGCCAAATCCCACATTTCTCTGGGGTCGAGAATGTTCTTGATCTCAGAGACGAGATAGGACGGCTGTGTGCATATGTACATAGGATCGTTGAATGCGGTGAGCACCCGGGCGGAAGCAGTTGCAATCTAAATATACAAATCTAGGTAGTTATGGGCGTTGGACGTGGATTGGCTGTATATGTAGTTGAAAAGAGAATACGAGATTGAAGGTCAACTCATTTACAGTAGTGTAAAGTTATATAGCCCATGATGATAACCCCAAATAGGTTTAAGATGAGTTCAGGCAGTCGACTTTCAGCTGGATCTGTCGCGGAGCATAATGGGATTTAATCGACGGCAATTTTGACCAAAGAGGGGAGAATACATTGATCTCAAGACGCTTTATTCCTATTATTCAAGACGAAAGGTCCAAGGCAGTGACATGTAGGTAGACAAATTTCCTTTGAGATAACGATCACAGGTTATCACTCGGACAGTAAATGACTGCGTGACATTGTAGTAGTAAGCGCCCTGTAAACGCCCTCACACCCCTTGAGAAAGATCCAACAACAGACTGCCACAAAAACAAGATCACCCACCTCGGCGCTTCTAGAAAAGCCAATCATCTTCTCCTGCTATGAAATATGATGTTCTCGTCCCGGAGGTCGTTCTACGCATTACCAATCGCCGGAATGACATAGTTCCGTGATTGATAGTTTGAAACCGAACTCTCCGCGGGAGATCATCTATGTAGTAATCCTGGAGTACATGTGCGTACATGAACGGGATGTTTACCAAAACCGGGTGGGTGGGGGTTAGGGTTAATTCAGTATGCATATTCCACTCTGGTATGAGTTCCACCAGTGCATGGTGAATGAATACGCATCACGAAGCACCGCCCCCCACTCCTCCCGGGCCTGCCTCAAACGGCTATCGTCGTGGAAAGGATGGAGTTTTCGTGGGACGAGTTGTAAGTCCAGGAAGAAGAGATTTACTGGGCTGGTCACGGGTTATTCGCCACCGCCATGCCTGCACCCCGCTCTCTTTTTTATTTATTTGATTTAATATTTTGTCGTAACGGCGATGACAGCAGCGAGTTATTTTGAGGCGTCTAATATAACTCCACTTCTACCCCCACAAGCCTGAAGATTTTTTTTTGATGAGAAAAACCACGACAGTAGCCGAGAGCTTTGGCTGTTGGGGGTTGATCTCGCACAAGGCTACCACCAATTTAAGACTTTTTGCAACGATACGCAATCCCGCGCAAATTTCAAAGGGGAATAGCCTTGTTTCTCAAAATATATCAGACTCAAAAACATGTTTGTCCAATTAAAGCGGTATCAAGATGTATCATGGCATTTACCAGAGCCAGGACGACCGTGCATGAATCCTTGTGTAGATAGATGTAAGTCAGTTGAATGATAGGCGGCCTATTCTTCCGTTTCTTTCTTTCTTTTCTTCTTTTTTTATAAAGCGGAACATTTAGAGTTTCATTGGAAGTTTACGTATTAACCGTTTGGGCGTTGCCGGTCTTTCCTTACCCTGGGTCGTGGGGAGGGCCCTTGACGAAGAAGCGGGTTACCTAATCGTCAGACTCAAACCTGTATTCTCGGCTGATCTCATGGATGATAAGCTTTTATTGCTGAAGGCAGGTGTGCGGTCGAATGTAGGCCTCCTCTCTTGCCTTTTCTGGAGCATGCAACTCTAAATATGCGAGCGAGGTAACACGTGCGAAGTGCGGCCAACAAGAAGGCTCTGGATCCCCCACGAAGCAATTGAGAGTATATGGAGATTGACGTGTAGCTAGAAGCAATCAGGCTCTAGGTAGATAGGCGGAAACAATGATAGTAGCTCAACTGCGAATTTGTGATTGGAGCTCCAGTTCATGAACACTGATTTGAAGATGATGATGAAGAGAAAGCAAATGATGATGGGGTGGGGTGCGTATACCGTGTGGAGTAGGACACTGTGAAGGGTTGGTTAAGGGTATGTGTCACAAACGATCTACTAACATAGAGTTGTCAGAGGAATACTCCAATCAGAATTAATCCATACCCGCTCCTCGAGGTTAACCCCGAGAGTCGGAGTATCAACAGTACCTGAGAAGCCAATCCTTCATGAGAGGAATGTAGCCTACAGCTACATGCCGGCAGATACTTTGATTTGTTCAATTGCATGGGGATTCTTGAACATGAACCGCGGGGGGTGTCAGGTAGGCAGACAAACAAATAAACATGTTTCCTTTCCTTTCCTTTCCTTTCCTGCCTTTCCTTTCTTTTTTCTTCTGCCCCCCCCCCCCCCAAAAAAAAAAAAAATAATACGTGAATGACATGCTAACGTGAAAAACCAACCAGTAATTCTGCTCTCTGTTCATTCTACATGAACAGCTGATCATGCTATATCCCGTTGGGATACGCTTTTGAATAGTAAAGTTCATTGGCAATTCTCACAACTCTCTCCGTTGGGCGTCTGTGCAGTATCATGTCCAACGCAGGTTATGTTAGGGCTCGGCTCATTCAACTCCTACCCTCTAATTTCAGATAGTCATGTTTTTTAGATATCTATCCGCTCGAAAATACCGGTGGAGCGGAGGCGAGTACGGCTGTGGGCTAGACCTGTATATTGCGGTCAACATAAATGCCGACAGTGGGGTGTTACCTGGTAGTCACACGAAATCACTCGCCGTGTAGTAACCCCATCGGCCCAACATGTCACCCCACAAGCCGAGGCCAATGGATGAATACGTCACAAAGGCCGGGTTTCTGTTGGTAGCCAGCCGACAACTAGCACAAAGCTTCACCCTTTCTAGACATTTCACTACCCCCAAACTCTTGCGGAAGCAAAAGAAAATAAAGACTATTTCTTTTGCAAGGACAGGGAAGCGAGGGGGGGAAACTCGCGGTACGAAAGGAGGTGAACGGACGGTACGGGAGGACAATTCGAAGGTGTGCCGGCTGACGTGCAGGTCTTTCTTCTTTCTTTTTTGCTTCTATGTTTCTTCCCTTCATCCCTTTGACCATCTCTCGCGCGTATGAGATAGGTACCTTCTTTGCAGCCACCGAGACATCCAACAATGAGGATTATGGGACCCCTTGCGCCTTCTCTTGGACGAGAGATCGGGTGTGGTGGGTGTTTATCGTACTGATCGGATTAGATCGGACTTTTAAACTGGACGGAAAGACCATGTGGCCAGGCGAAGTTTAATGTTACTATTTTCTTTTCTTTCTGCCCTGAAGAGCTACAGGTCAAGTGCCCGCTGACTACTGCTTTATATCGGAATCTCTAATGATTTGCCATGATCATTCAGCTAGACAGTTCGGGAACTGAAATAATTAACATAGAGTAGTTTGAAGATGATGTCATCGGGGCTTCTAAACTGCCACCCATCTAACTATATCGGTCCTAGATCTAAGGTTTTGTGTTAATTGATTCCTTCCTAGTCGGATCCAAGGTGGGCGACAATTGAAATCCGACGACGAGCTGGCCAGAATTCAGATGAATTGGGGTTATACCAGTCGAGGTCGTCATACAAATACGTACTCGTACTACATCTCTGCATTGTATTGGCCCCCCTCGTCCAGCGCCCCACGCCGTTTTACACCCGTTGTTTGCTTGTGGGTACATGTAGTTTAAGGATCAGGCTATTTATCTTCAAGATAAGATGGTATGCCCCATTTGGTTTCTATCCCTGTGGCAACCCGTTAAACTCCCACGCACTGGTCTCAAGGATCGGGGAATCGCAGAGCGCACATACGCAAGTGAGGGTACCCCCAAACAATTATCCGAGTCCTTCTTTCCTCCTTATTCTAGGACCGGGTATCCGAGTGAACATTATTCTAATTCCAATTCCAATCTGACACGAACAGGATCGAAGCAATGGTACACTTGGTATAATTTCTGTCCAAAATATAACCTACATGTATCCAAATAGTAGTTGGATGCCGATAATTTCGACAAATGAGATCAAGCAGTTGTTTGCATATGCGTCCCGGAGACATTTCTGTGTATGCGCGAGCCAATTGGCCCAAGATATGACTACAGTCTTTCACCTAGGACAAAGCTGGATACACAAAGACTCAAGGAACTTCATCGCGCTCTATGTGAGTAGAATGTACGAGATCCCACGGCACATATTTTCATCCCCTTCACAGATCCTGCCCAAAGCACACCCTTCATTTCCTTCGTCTACGTTTCTTTTTGCACGTTTCTCTTATTCCAAGTAATATAGAGTATATAGCCGTTTCTAACCACCAAGTCGCGTGCTCTAGAAAGTCGACATGAAGCTCGCTTTTGAGAACTTCCGACTTTCTCCCCGTTGCTCGTAATCTCATCCCTGACCGGACCCTAACAAGGTTCCAACGTCAACAACCCCCATTTTTTTCCCCCCTACTAATCCAACGGCGTCCCTTGAAGATCCCCCACACAACACAACAATTCTAGTCGGTAACCGTTTTCAGTTAGAGGTGCAAGGTCCAAACTTTCCCCAGCAAGCCGACTGGCGGAGCGGGCGAACCACCCACTGGTGAATAAATAAATTATTATTTGAGCCACCCCCCCCAAGAAAAAAAGAATATGGGGTGAGAAAGATAGATCCAACGACGGAAACGAAGATTCTAGGGGTCTCATATCTAGGTGCCTACCAGCGCACACGCCGATACGTTAGGAGAATTACAGTGCGGTTTTAGTAATCAATCAATCTCCACGATGTATCTGGCGGGTATGCTACTCTAAAAGTGGGCTCCCCATGTACGTATGTACGATGGGACAACTCTGTTGAATCGAGCATTCGGTTGCATGCATTCATTTCTGCGGCCACGCGAGAACTGGGAGGGACTCCTTGTGGATTGTGTTGTAGGGGGGGAGGGGGCATGCAGAGACAAGCACCTATTTGAGATTGAGGTTGATTTGGTGATCCCAAAAGTAACCCAATTGTTTCCATAGTGGTAGTTGCGCCAGTCGATCATAGGTTGATTCGTACTCTTAGCAACTGTTGATTCGCACAGTCCATGTACCACCGTTTTTCCTTTTCCTTCTACCTACGGGATATTTTTTTCCTGCTCACCTCCCGAACAAAGGAATCCAGCCAGGATGAAGAGAGAAGGGAACGGAAGAGAGAGAGGGGGGGGGGGGGGGGGGGGTGGAGAAAGAGGGAGATCATGGATGGGGGACCTCTCCCCCAATCTTTCTTTTCCCTTATCGCAGCCAATCCAATACGGCAGTTGTGGGAAAAGGGAAGGAGACCGCACCCCCCCAAGTACCATTATGTATGTATATGTAGGTACCTAGAGTATTCTCTCATGTAGGTAGGTACTCACCTCGAACTTATGTAACCTAACCTTCCACGTACGTACGCATCGAGGGAAGGAGAGATCATAACGACTTGATCTAATCTGAGATCCTTCCCGGGCCCGCCTCTTGGCTGCCAGAGATGTTTACATCATTAGGCAGGTTGGAGATTGGTTATTTGGGGTGTCGGGTTGGGGAAATGGGTTAGGTTACATGTAACTAGTTAGTTGGGTCTGGATACTGTGTAGAGAGACGAGCCCACAGCGAAGAAAGGAAGTGGAAGCAAAAAAGCAAAAGTCGAGCCCGACAAACTCAGGTTTTAACGTGGGATGAGTCCTCCTAGGTACTCTATGTACTCTCGCCGCTCCCTTGCCTTAGCTAGCCCCATCCTGAGCTTCTGTCTCGTTCTTGTTTTTTTTCTCACTGCTCTTTTCTGTGGTCGCCCCACGGGTCATCCCGTTACGGTGGTGGGTGGTTGTGCGCATGGGGGTCACTCCCACATTCTTTTACGACATTCCGAATAGCAGGCGGAAAAGAAAATAAACAGCCCGAGGGGGGGTCCAGTCCAGTTCTGGCTGGTCTTTTTCTTTGCTTCTACTGCATGATGATAATATTCATACTCTCGGCTTATGGGATTTGCATTTTGTCGCCCACCATCATCTACATAGAGTATGTGACATTTTTCCCCACGCTAGGATAGATGATGCTGTAGTACTCGCGGCAGGCATGAAGAACCTGAACATAAAAACGCGCTAGCAGGGGTCAAAGTGGTTGTTACCAGAAAAACGATGTTCAGGTTCTTCATGCCTACCGCGAGTAGTATGTACCCTATGGAGTGTAGGGTGGTGGCAGATGCTGTAACTGTAGGTAGTACCCACCATTTTCCGAGAGTACTACACACCTACCTTCCTACCTAGCCTATCTTCCGTGATCTAAGAAGGGGTCCCCACTTCTTCCCATCCTATCCAATCCTAATGTAATTGTAGGTGGGGAAAGAGGGAGAGTAAGTATTATTATATCTTACCTCCCTCTCCCTCCCCGCCTCTCATCCCTTGTTTTTTGGTTTTTTGGTTTTCAAGACCTGGTTGGCGCTATCTATCAGTTTGCTCAGCCCAAAGCAAGGGAGATAAAGACCTAGAGTTCCAAGATAAATACCCGGAGGAAGGAACCCTGAGCCTGAACCCGAGATCGAGGAGATAAATATTACATCAAAATACCAACTCGAGTCAGTCAGTCAGTTATTCAGTCGAGTCAGTATAATACCATTATCCTGTATTTGGATATATATATATCGACCTCATATCGATAAATATAAGAACTGGCCTCCACCCACCCACCCACCTACCTGGATACGCATTGCCATACCTACCTCATCTCACATACTCATATATCTACCTACCTGCAACACATTAGCACTTTACTTCACTTCACTTAAGCTTCACAATACATACTCACCGCAAAGATGAACACTCTAAATACAATCAATCCCCATTACCACATGCCGCACCGCGCACCGGTGCCCGCACCCTTCCCGGCCTACCCAATCACCCACATGCCACGCCGTATGCTTCCCACTGGTGACTGCGGCTTTGTTGTCTACTGCGCGGACCCTCTCCCACCTTTCGTCTTCAACGCGGCCCAATCAGTGCGCTGCCAGTGCCGTAGTTACTGGCCAAACCCGCACACACCCGACCTGTGCGCTTGTGGGCATCACGCTTGTTATCACTCAAATACACAGCAGCAGAGTACTACTACAGTCCCTCCAGCACCAACCCCAGCACCTCCAGCACCTAGCAGCCCGAGCAGCGTGTTAACAATGGGCGCAGTTGCAAACCTGATGAAGCGGATATCGCGGCTAGAGCAGGAGCTCGAGGCACAGCGGGAGCGAGAGTTGAAGAGGGATTCGCAGTCACGGTCACGGTCGGGGCCCGAGATGAAAGAGGTTGTATGTGGGCTGCGCGGTATCGACGAGAAAGTTGATGAGCTGCTGGAGCGGATGGACGAAGCCGAAGAGCGTTTGAGCGGCACAGAACGGATTGGGGTTGAGTTTGAGGGGAGATTAAATGAATTGGAGGTTAGGGCAGACGAGATTGAGGATGATGTTACAGGTTTAGTGAGGCAGGATGAGGAGGATGAGGAGGATGAAGAGCGAGAAAGGTTGGAGAAGAAGGAAACGAGGAGAAATATGGAAATAGATGCAGAGTCAGAGTCGGACTCGGAGTCAGAGACTGGAAGGAATGCGGCGGTAAAGGTGGAGCCAGTGACCGCAACGTCGACTGGGGGGAGGATTGCTGAGAAGATTGCCGAGAAGATTGTTGATACAAAGGCGGCGGCGGCGGCGACAACAGCAGCCAAGGGTGCGGCGATAACAACCGCGTGCATTATCCTGGCACAGCCGCCATTCAACAAGACATTCTCCCTGAAGCGCCGGAGTTCTGACAGTAACCTCCTTCTCGTCGAGCACTCGAGCCATCCGGCGGCCAAACGGATACGGTGCCAGTCTAGCGGCGGCAGTATTTCCGCGTAGGCTCTCTCGCCTTCTTCCTCATTGTTTTTTTTTATATTTCTTTATGGAGTCGTGAAATGTAAACCAGGGCAGGCGTTTTGTTTTTGGTGTATTTTTTTTTTTTTTTTTTTAGCTAGCCTACTATTTACCATATCATTGTGTATTTTATCTTTATGGAGTAGGGGGGGCGTTTCTTATGGGAGCGTGGGTTTTTTGTTTTTTTGTTTACATTTTTTTATAAGCTTGTGTAGCTTTCAGATTACCTGTTATCACTCGGAGTTTGAATAGGTGGTAGTGGTCTATTTTTTTTTGGTTCCATGATGATCCATGATTTTTGTATCTATCTCATTGTTACCACCCCCCTCCTCGATCACATCATCATCCACAGTAGCAATATCGGGAGATAGAGAAAGGAAAGGAATCCAAAGATAATTGCTTTTGAGAGCCTTGAAGAAAGAAATAAAGCAAATCCCTTGGCCATGATGGTTCCGTATCAGGTGTGGTGTGATGTGGTGTGGTGTGGTAAGGTATTCCGTCCCCCCCTCCGCCCCTTCCCAGAAAAGAAGGAAAGAAAGGTTCACCCCCAAGGTGCTGCTTTGCGGGTGTGCAGCGATAGGGCAATCAGTCAGAGTGAGGGTGATGAGCAGTGAAGGGCTGAAAAGGCCCGAAGTGAAGTTATGATGGCAGTTGGACAAAATACATGTAAGGCCACATGCCAGCCAGGGCAAAGTGTCCAGACGTGCGTGTTGACACGGTTTCGCCATTCTTCGTGAGTGACGGCGGTGTCGATTATTTGGCATCTCTTGATCAACACAGCAACATCAACCAGCAACGCAAATATTGGTAACGAGTGATACCCCATGATCCGCAACACCATCCCCGTGTTTGTCTCACATTGCCGCCCACGCGCCAGGTAATTTTCCGGAACTACGTTGGCTGTCTACCTACTCTAGATCAACAAAGCAAAGCAAAGCGTCTGTCAGAGATATCGATTCCGGGCTCTGAAACCGACCTTCGGGATTTGGGTATTATATTAATTGCAACATCGACCCCCCCCCCCCCCAACCCGCGCCGGCCGGCCGTCCAACCCTTCTTCACGTGTATGTGTGTAAAAAGTACCATAGGTAGATAATAGCTAGGTTGAAATAAACCCCGCGGTATTTCGTAAATTTTATTCTAGCTTCTGGCTCTTTTTATTATTCCATTGTGATATAGGTATTAACCCGTGGTTTTCGTTTCGTAATCTACCAGCAAGGGGGGGGTGAATACAACAATGGGGGTGGTACATAGCTGGTACAAGTAGGTGAGTAGAGAAGGACTGTAGGAAATACAGATATATGGTTTTGGGGGCTAGCGTAACGTTGTGGTTACGTTACAAAGTAGATACAGAGTAGAGCAGATCAGCATGCGCAGGCAGTGAGGTAAGTGAGTACCAGCCAGCTAGAACAGAGAGAGAGAGAGACAGACGGCGCCAGATTGAAATCAAGCATTCACAGCCCGTCCCCATCGCACGCCCCCTTCCCTAACCACATGTAGCCACACCCCCCATCGTCTTGCACTTCACCTCCTCCACAACCACAATTGGACCACAACCACTCACTAAAAACACAAGCATCAGCCAAACCCGCACCCGCACTCACTAGACAGCACCCCAAAATATCCCCCACCACCACCTCCCACAACCAACACCAAAAAATAACCCACGTTTTCTTACCACCAGCGAGTAATTCCGGCCCCAGTTCCCCGGTCTTAGAGGGAGCCGGGGGGGGGGGGGGGGGGGTGGGGGGGTGGTTGTTCTAGTTCTAGAGTAAGATGTAAGTACTTCCATGTAGGTAGTCGTAGAGAGAGAAGATCTGAGAGTCCACAAGCGCCCGGAATTCCTATTCTAGAGCTAGTTGTTCCCCCCACTGAACTGGACTGATCAGTGGTCTAAGCTTTCACACAGATACACACATCCAGAGACACACGCACAAATATTCACAACCCCCCCCCCCCCCCCCTCTTAACCCTCTCTCTCCCCCCCACTTGTTTCTCCGTGCTTGCGCCGAACGGTAGATGATAGGTATTGCCAGACCCCCTGAAACTTCCACTGGCTGAACTGGAACTACACGTGCAAAAAGCACAGACTAACTCTGCCCTCACCTACTCTATGACCGCGGTCCATCGATATGATCCTCTCACGCCCACCCTCACCCTCGCTCATCAGCGGTATCAGTATCAGCCTCACCCGGCCGCTCCAAAATAGACAAACAACCTCGAGCTCCCTCACTAGCCAGCAAGCCAAAATAAGGAAAAATAAAATATCAAAAAACCACAGACCCGATTCTCTGGCCTCTCTCACTCCACGATGTCCACCCGCCCGTCCGTCCGGGGTACTCCAACCCACAATCACCCCCCCCCCCTTCCTCCTATCCCCGGCGGAGATAAAGAAGTACCTAACTACCTGTCACGCTACGAGCTAATCTAAAAGTCCTCCGGTTCGATTTGCAATCGGGCCGGGTGGATGGGGGAGAACAATTGATATCATTACTATCCCGGCCCGGGGGGCGGAGGTGGGAGGTGAGGGAAATAACGCAGGTTTTTTTTTTCCTTTCTGTGCGGAGTCTATGTAGGTATCTACATACATGGGATGAACCTTTAACTTGTCGATAAACCAAATAGCCAGAAATATGGGGTGCGCGTAGATGTGGTAAGTGGTGATGTGTTGAAGTGGCCCCCCGGCTGGCCCGGGCGGAAATACATACGGTTCTAGTAGGGAGAGGTCACATCTCAAAGTGCAAAGACCATCTTGACAGTGGATAGAGCAGACAGGTACACGCATATATCGAGGTGATATATCGAGGTGAGGTAGAGTACATAATCCACTCACTCGTCGCCCTTCCATCATGCATAGCACTCTGCTCTAATCCCTTCTATATACACATATGCGTAATTAACTACCAAGGGAAGGGGCAAGAACAGACGTTCAGCAGAAGAAAAGCAGTTGTGTCACATCGCACAAACTGTATGCTATCTAGATAACCAGATGATCTTGACGAAAAAAAATAAAAAACCGCTCTCCCTCGATCCAATCAGAACCAACAGCTACAGACGACAAGTGCTGATATCACATCGTCATCCAGGCTCCTGGTCACATCATATCACTTCCATCTGCTTGCTCCACCTAAATACTCTACCATGGGCATGTTCTGTTTTGTGCCTACATACATTCTACATACATCCTACATACATTCTACATCGTATCTCGCATCCCCACCCCCCATTTCCTCATATCCGGAAAAACTCCCCACCCCACTAAATTCGCTGCATATGCACCCCATGGTTGTTATTTTTACATACTTCACTAAAGAATTCGTTTTTTGTTTTATTTTTCTTGCTAGACGAGACGGGACGAGACGAGACGATGAATTGATTGAAACGAGACGGTAGAGTTCCCTGGAACTTTTACCCACCCACTCCCGGAAACTCAAACAGAGGCAGCCAGAGGTAGGCAACCCCTGGGATTTTTCCTTTTCCATTTCCTTTTTTCCCCAGAGATACACGGGCAGACAAGAAAAAGAAGACAAAAAGATAGAAGACCCAATACCCATGCAACCCCGGTCCCCTGAAACCCCCAAAACAAACCGTAGGTACCGATAAAAAGATAGAGAATGATCATGGGGCAAAAAATTCCCCGAAACAAAGGTTATCCATACAATCGTTAACTGGTTGAGTAGAAGGAAGCGTAAGTAGAAGAACCAGAGACTATATGGTCAATAGTTAAAGCCTACCACCGAGTAAAGATATAAAAGAAAGTAAGTAAGGAAAGAACTGTGGTATAGTAAGGAAAGAACTGCGGCATGGTAAGGAATGGACAGTGGTATAAGTTAACTTGAAATCGACTAGAAGAGAAACCAGCACAAAATTGGAACGGTATGACAGACAACAAACCCGTTTTGTTTTTTTCCATTCCCCCCGCATGATAACGCCATATTCAACCCTACTCAGAATAAAGAAGGAAAATGTTCAGAAGGAAGGACCAAACTACAACCTACATAAATAGGCATGAATAAGTAAAAATATATAATCCCCCAACTCTAAGAAAGAGCGGAGGTAAGAAAGCGGTTTTCTACGCCTTTCCTTGGATAGCTATATGAACCGCTAAGCCGTGAGAATGGGTAGGGAGGCTCGAGAAGCAATGAACATCCACCGGATATTTTGTTACGATGCCCGATTGCGGTAAATGTTCACGATCTCTCGAGGAACACCAACTGTTAATGCGTTTAACAATATAGGCCACCACAAATCATTTAAGATCTGTCAGTTTTCTATGCGCCCCAATCACTCTCGGCTATTCGCCCGTTCATGTGGAATTTGCCAATCTTTTCAAAACCTCTGTACGTACGTAATATCCCACTGATCAGTTTTGCTATCCATCGGGGTCTGTGCCAAAAAATACGAAGACTCGCAACATACCGTGTCAAATCAATGCCGTGCAGATCACCCATGCCATCTTCATCTTCATCCTCTTCCCTCAAATCAGGTACAAGCTGGGGTCCAGCTCCCAGCCGGAATCCTTTTCCCCTTTCCTTCAACGGACTTGCCAGTTCCCTAACACGATGCTCCTTATCATCCCGCCCAACAGCAGGCGGCGGCGAGGAACTGTGCAGGTCCTTCAGAGGACTATAGTCGCTGGGTTTAGCTGGCGTCGACCCGAAATGTATATACTTCCAGAACGGCGCCGGAGAGCTCGTGGGCAGGTATGAACTGGGAAGCTGTCCAGTAGAAGGCGGTGCGAGACGTGGGTGCTGCCTCTGAGGTGCGGGAGTCATAGCGGTCACTGCTGGATTATCATCGGCATATTGAGAGTTTTGTGATGGAGAAGGTGGTATATAATTGATGTCCCCGCGAACTGGTGAATCATGATGATGATGGTTTTGCACTGATGAAATCATCTCGTTTATGTTTGCGGGCTGTATAAGACTTGCACGGCGGGCATGATGTGAGTCTTTGGTGTCAACTAGTGGCTTATCAAGACTGCGAAGAGCCGGAAGAGTTGGCAGCCTGGACCCACGATCGGGGGTATACGCCTCAAGTGGTGCAACACGATATGAGGTGATGGGCGGAGGCGTGACAGATCGTGGAGATCGTTTGATAGTGGGGTACTTCATATTAAGATCCTGGGAGTCTTCAAGTCTCAATCCTTGGGAGGAACTCTGGGCAGGCGGCTGCCCTATTGATTGCTGCAATTGCGACGAGGCGGTCTTTACATTTAGATTGGGTTTAGGAGAGGATGGTGAATTTGGAACAGAATTCTGGCGACCAGGCCCAGCTTTAGGTGGTTTTTGGAGCTTCTTTATATATTCATCACGATGTTCTGGGAGAAGCTCCCATTTCATCCCTTTGCCCGGCTCATCGGTACGACGAGGGATTTTCCTAAAGGCTTTGTTGAGTGATAGATTATGACGAATTGAATTCTATATAATTATATTTAGTACGCTAACTTTATTGGGGATATGATATAACTTACCTGCCAACCCGTATTTGAATGACGATAAAATGCATACTTATCCTGAATATGGTGGTAAATACTCGACAAAGTCAATTGTTCCCCCTCACTTGAGAGGATCGCTTGTGCAATCATTAAAGCATAACTAAAGGGCGGCTTAACATCTTTCATCGCGTCACTTGCATAATCGACATCTTCAGTACTCTCGAGAACAAGGCCGCGATGGTATGATGGAATATTCTCCCGCTTGACCGCAACATCAGGCATCGAGACTGGATCAGTCGAAATTGACGGCAAGACCAGCTGGGATGATGAAGGTCTAGCATTTTGGGAAGAAGATAAAGCTGAAGTGTCATAACAGGATTCACCTGTCTGTGTTGGAAGGGGTGTTGGATCGTCCTCGAGGGGGAATTGCAACACTTTTAAACGACGGAGAACTGATGGGGCGATATTGATAGCAGTGTCCGGAAGAACAAACATCATCTGCACACCACCAATTTCGATGATATTTCCACTGCGGAGTACTATCGTCGAGTCCTTTTTGTAACACTCGTCATCCACTTTAAGTCCATTCCTTCCAATTACTTGCAATCGCCAGCTATATCCGTTTTGATCATAGCTAATTGTAGCGTGGTTTCTTGATACCAACTTGCTTGGTCCCAAGTCGATATGGACAACCTCATCAGGTTTCGCATGAGGGGGGGGTGTAGGTGACCCAGCGGCGCCAGCACCGATGGCACGAACATCTGGCGGACGGCCAATGCGGATAACCAATTCCTTTACATAGTAGGTCCACGTAGCACCAGCAACTTTTGCGTACGCAGTTATTCCTTGAGTATTTTGGCGGAAGTTCTCATCATTGGCGTATTGGAGAGCCACCATTGGATTGGGATCTGGCATCGCTAAAGATGCAATAACGGCATTCACATGGTCGGTTTGTAAGAGAGGGGTGGTTTCCTGGATCTCTTGCGGTTCCTGAACCTATGGGTAGATTGTCAGTCAATATGAACCAGTACGTCATAATCATTGTCTCACACCAGGTTACAGGTATTTTGTTTGTTTGAGGATGAAGATCATGATGATCCGTCTAGTTTGATCGGCAGGTTGAAACGTGGGGTAATGAAAGTGAATACCTTGCGTCTCTTGTTCCGCGGTCGCGATGGAGAAGAATCTGGCATTTCATGATCTGGCGTAGAACCGGCGCGCCGAGCCCGAGTCCGACGGTTAGTCGAAGGTGGCATCGCAGGTACGCAACCTTTGCCTATTGATGGGAGAGGGGAGGGGAAGAAGTTGATGCTTCTTGGGGGGCTCAACGTGTGTCTCTGTAGTCGTAGTGCATGGGTTAGTGGGCTTTGCATAACTCGTGACATTCAATTCATAGCCAGGATAAGTCGATAACGTTGCCACTTTATGCGAAGGGATGCAGACCAAGTGCAGTAGCACCGATATCGGCAGCAATAGCAGAAGCACGGCGACATCAAATGAGTACCACGAGGTAGTGAATGACGATAAGGGATAAGAAAAGTGTATGTGCGTACATACCGACGAGGTTTATCTTTATATTATTTATATGCTAGTTATCTTGAAGTGGGGGAGGGGTTGTGGGGTTGTGGGATCCACAGCTTGGTGCAGCAGAGTGTCAAAGCGGGCGATGAGATGAGGTGCGCGAGTGTGCTGTTTTCGGGCGGCGGCGGGGAGTTGGTGGTGGTGGTGGTGGTGGTGGTGGTAGTGATGGTGGTGGTGGTTGAGTAGTCGTTGTCGTCTTGTGTACCGTCGTAGGTGGGCAAAGGCTGACTGCACAGTATTACACCGTGATGGGCGGCGGACGCGGTGTTTGAAGTGGGCGAGTCGATGCGGCGAGTGGCGTCGCAGCTGGCTGCCACAAAAATGTTCCGCAACGCCAAGACTCCTTGTCAATTATTATAATTATGGAGCTTTCTTTTACTCACTAACTTGGTACTTTACAATCTTCTCAGAGGAAATGAGAATAGTTGTTCTTGGAGGTTATTTCCATGTCTTGTTCAGGCAATTAGTTGTACAATTGTATAGCATCCCTATTTTTAGCTTGGAGCGTTATGTTACGATATGTTACGTAGTGTCTGTACCTACGCTCCAACAACTACATAACTGTACCTACTGCTGTGCTGCGAAGAACCCCCAAGCCGAAAACTGCGCGCAAATTCCAGACCTTGCGCATTCCGCACTTAATACAAGCACTCCTTTGCCTTGCTCCATGCCCATCGCCCCCCAAGAATCCACACAACACACAACTCAACGGAAAAAAAGAAAGGAAGGAGAAACAAACGACAAATTGCGTCATTCGAACTGCGCCGCCCATAACGGCATAGCGTGGAGCGTGGTTACGCCAACCGAAACGATTGACAGGCGTGTCACGGGTATGTACGGATCATCCGCTGGTGGAAAAAAGATTTTCCACCCCACAAGGGCACGGACTTCTTGACTCTTGAGGTGCAAAACAAAGCAAAAAAACGTTCACCAAAACGTTTGTTGACCCTGTTAGTGACATGTGGCCAAGCTTGAAAGCGTGCTAACTGAGACTAGGATGTGTATAAGTGTTTTCAGGTGAACTTTTTAGGTCTTCAAAGGGCTTTTGACCAGTGCACCTACAACACTTTACTCCTCCAGCCTCCCCACAGAATTTACGGCTGTTCCCCTAATATCAAGAGACCAGCTGTAAACCGCCAGGTTCAAAGCGAATATTAAGCTGAAGTTGCAATGTCTTTCACGTTTCTTCTCTAGCGTCGGCTCGGCTTAGGCTCTGTTCGAACGGGCGTGGTATTCAATACTGTGGTAAATCCGGTTGCATGGAATTATGCTTTGAGATAAAACCAAGTATTCGCCAAAGACAAAAGTGTTCGGATGGAGCTGAGGTATTATTAGGCAGAGGCATGAATAGACGAGAGATGCAACGGGAAATAAATACCTTCAGAGGTATTTGTTAAACCATGGTATTTTGTGATGTATTCATGGTATCAAAACCAATAATTTTGGCCATCCGAACACTCAAATACTACGTTGATTTACACCTTCCTACACCATGGTATTGACGTCCGTCCGAACAGAGCAAATTTATCGATACTTTATTGGCCACAAGCTTCGTTGGAAAGGAAATCAGCATCACAAAAGCCAGGGGCGTACATACTCTAGATCTTTCTATCTATAGCCTTTCTATCGACTGTCAATAAAGATTCGTCGCTGGAATGGGAAATCAGTCACAGAGATGGAGATCTTGCAAAGGGAAGAAAAGAGAAAAAGAAAGAAAGAAAGAAAAAAGAGAAAGAGAAAAAAAGAAAAAGGGGGGGGGGATTCTTTGGTTTCTATCCAGGCATGAAGGTCGATTATAATGGAAATTGTGGATTTAGCGGATGATGAACTGAATCACAGAGCCCTTGATCTCCGAGCATCAGTAGAAACTCCTTACTAGGTTAGGGGCTGATGGTCTTTTGAATCCTAGGAAGAATGACTACGAGCACTGGTGCTCCCCATGAGAATAAGAACGAGATTGTTTTCATCGAATTCAACACTTACTATCATTTCAACAATGCTTTTTATCAAACTTGAGTCATCAGAATTACTCATCTCTATAGATCTAGCTATTTATATACTACCTGCATCGAAACGTCGCACAGAACAGAAACGGTGCTTCAAGCTGTTGCTTCTCGCGGTGGTTTCGGGGGTGTTATGCTATAGGTACTGTTTAAAAGATAGATTCTAAAGAGGGCTAGAGTTGGGAAAGATTGCACGGCTTGTTTGTCGCGTCCTCGATCCCGCGACCTCTGCTTCAAAGAATCGGGGGGTATTCAGAAAACATGCACATTAAATTGAGAAAATTATCGTCCGAGTGCAGGCACTAAAACGAATGTCGATCATAGCCTATCACTCACATAAAGGTTGCGGCCTATAGGAACAAATATTACGAGTTTGGGCTCAAAACATGATGCAAGACGAGCACATTCCTTGGGATCGCTTTCAAAAGGAATAGGAACACACTAAATGTATGTGGGCCCTCGACGAGCTCTCTGCCCTTCAGTCAAATTTCACCTCAGTCAACGAAATACTTTTATTTGGCCAACATTGTTCTTATGCCAACTAAAATTTTTAGGTTAGCCTCCTACTTTCCTTGTAAAAATAGTTTTCCTATATGTCGATCCTTTCTCTTTTACATTTACTTAGGGCCCGTCGGCCCGTATACACGCACTCTTAAATATGACTGGATAGATTTAATTACGGACCGTTTACTGAATATATATAGACGTCCCCTTAGATTTTATCCGTACACCGCTACCGAGAAGAAGAGCAAATACACATACCTACCATACCTATCATACTTAATAATATCTCGGTCAACATCGAGACTACTCTAATTCTAGAGAATCCCGAGATTCTGGTTCTGGTTCTGTCCCTGCGGGCTGCGCGGTTCCGGAAGTGGCAGTATCATATTTAAGAGAGAAACCAATCGCCGATTGGTCTCGTCATAGCACATACCTGAGTGAGTGAATGTGTGTGCTCTAGCTATATTGATGGGAATATATTAGGAACTTGGCCCCTCGCACTGACACTCCAGCCTTGATAAGGAGTCGATACGCGCCAATAAAGTTCTTAGAATCATAGCTGGTCTATTCGTGCAAAGATTCTATCGTGTGGCGGTAGTAAATATTGAGGAAAATTATTTCCAAGGCCAGATAAACAAGAATATTTTTCATGGGACGCACAATGCCGCCACTATTCTTCGTTATTGGTACTCGATGCAGGAGCTGAATTTTACTGCACACACGAGTTGCTATATACTGACTCGTGGTCAGCCATTCACCACTTTCAATCTCTGGGCACAGATATGCATGTCGTGAAGATGATGTTATTATGTGTCGAGTCTAACACAAATAATAAAACAAGCCAGATTTTAGATCACAAATATCTCGTTTACAACTCCAATATCTGATTACTACATTCAGCTCAGAGTCTCGATCCGATCGACACCCGCCCTCTCTTTCGCTCTCTAAAGCTTACCATTCTTATAAACTTCTAATCTGAAAACCAGCCGTACGGTAACTAATAAAAGAAAAGGTTCGGGACACCTGGCCAATGAAGAGAAGCTTCAAAGTCGGTAACGCGTTCAAATACTACAGAGGAAGGTGTAATGACATTTGGGAAATAGCCGAGACAAGTGTGTATACGTACTCAGTTGCTACCCCCGGTAATTATCTACTAATGCCAGGCGTGATAGTCAGAGGACTAAATTGTTGACTTGACCTCTCCCGACCTCTTACATTCCATGCCTTCTTCGCTGGCAAAGACGACTTCGAGTTGGTCGACATGCACGGCATAGCCTCCTTGACAGAAACGCAATACATATGGGAGTGTTGGCCAAGGAAAGTCATTAAATTGGTAGAGTAATAGGCGAAATGTTACTGCATGATCCAAGTTGTCTTGGTGCCAACACAGAATTTCTTTTTTAAAAGAAAAAGCGTACGTACTCCCAAGTGTGTACGCTTGATAGGACCCCCACTCACTGTTACCTAAGTCGCCAAAAGGAATTGACCTGGGTCAGTGAGTTACTATATTCCTCGCTATCGATCAATGCAGCATTGTGGCGTTTACAGAAAGATCCCCAGGGTGGTGGAAATTAAGAAATGGCAGAGGAAGGTGGGGGCAGAAGGTAAAATCAGATGCCGGTACATGATTGGATTGGACTGGATATTCCTCCGGAATCTCGGAGATCTCGGGCCTTCAATTGTGTGTCGATCAAAATGTTCACGACGGTTCTTCTGCATAAATCCGACTAGGGAGGAAGTCGACTTAGAGAGCACCAAAAAAATCTTTTGGGGGATACTGGCGTGATGATCCTTTCCTTGAGGGAGAGTGATAGATGGAGTAGGAGCTTCCATGCGTATGTATATGCACCGGTTGTCAAATCCGGTACACATGAGGGTATCCACCGGTTGAGGTTAAGATATTGGGTACATGTGGTGTCAGAGAGGCACTTTGAGCTTGCTCCATTTTCATTGACATGCAGGTATGAAGGCGGGTAGATGGTAGATCGACACGGAAGTCTAGACATCCTACGTTCTCTGCCGGTTTACGTTTGTTCTGTATGGGGTCTATCAAGTGCATAACAAGTACTCGCGTGTAGGGGAAAGAACTAGAAAATGCAAATGCGTATTTTGTATGGCAGATCAGCGCCACTCCATATAAATAATCCCTGTTTCGTCACTTGCATTTTCTGGTTCTTTATGCTGTACGCGAGTACATGTACTAAAGGCATGTGGCTAGGTACCAGCTGTTATATACATCTACTGATGTGTTATGTATTTAAAGATCACATGAGCTATATACGATGTAAGCAACTAACGATTTGGAGGTCTGCGTGTTTTATTACAAGGCGTTGTGAAAAGTCATTCAGCTTAGTACCTGAACAAGCTGTACTCACTCGGAAGAAATTTTCCGTTTGTCATGGAGTAGTAAGAAAGCCACAGTGTTTCTCAGAGGTTTTGCTTACTCTAAGTATCAAATTACAAAGTTAAGACTCCATTAAGAGGATACTCCCGTAACAGATATCGTAAACCGCCCCGAAGTGAAACCTTCATGGTTTCCTCCCCCGCAAAAGTATTTATCCGGGGAAGGAGAAACTAGCCTAGCGTCGGGAACGTAGCTGTCTCATATACAGATTATCTGATAGCCGGACGACGTCCGTAACTTGAGACACGAACGGGTGTCCCGAGTGTATTTCGCATGTATACCTAACTCAGGGCCGAATCATTGTTCTCCGGGTTGATCATCTAGTTTTTCCTACAATGGGTCAAGAGACAAAATGCTTCGCATAAGCACCCCTACATGCAGCTGTGCTCCTCCGGATGAACAGAAAAACACGTCAATCCGTCCTGCAGAGCTCGGAATAACCTTAACTCATGCGCATGGTTTTTCCGAGCCGGGTATCGCAAGACATGTTGTCTCTTCTGTTTTGGAACAGAAGGCGTTTCCGAGATGAAAGGTCGTATGTAGCAGGGGTTGACGTTTTGAGGCTGAGTACATCTTCTAGTAGAGGGATGATGACGAAAGAGAGCATATATGGGTACCGTGGGATTCTGTTTTGCAGCTACAGGGTTACTCACTGTATCCGCTGGTTCAGGTATCGTTTGAGTATAGCTTGCAAGGTTAGCCACGGATGGGTGTGTTTGTGCACCGCGGTTGAACTTGAGTTAAAGTGCCTCCGCCGTAGGGTAACTTGTATAACCACGAGTAGAGCTGCGCCAATGTTCTGTTCTACATGATAAGCGCAATATAACCCCCCCCCCCCCCTCTGTGACGTAGCAGCGGCAGTGGTTTAATCAAAAGTAGGTAAAGCCACCAGCTACAGTGATTCCCTGGTATGTATCAGGATATTATATGCCAAGTATGTATGCCTAGAAAAGTAGAGTAGAGCAAACGCAGAGAGATCACCCGCCCCCGGTACACTTCATGCACTCCTCAGTCGATGAATTCAGTGACCTACATGCAAATCGAGTCTTCCTCCTCGCCCATATGAACTGGTTCAAGTCACGGAAAAGTGTGTCCTCGCACATCTCCGAGAAGAACTCCGTACTGGTACATGCAGGGGACTGTTAGCTCCAACGCCAAAAAAAACCCAACATCTACCGTACACGGTACACACTTAGCTGGCATGTGAGACATCGCCAGATACCTTAGTAGTCTGGTTAACGTTCTTCTTTCTTGGCCTTCTGGAAGCAAGGGTACGGGGAATGGTCGGGAAAACCAGCAGATCCGGCGTGTTCCGGGATCGTGAAGACGTTGGGTTGAAAAGGCTTGGCTTAGCTGCATTGGAGAGTGTGATCCCTGCAAGCTAGTATGATCCCAGGAACGTGGGGGCTGCTAAACCCTAACCTAGAAGACGATTGTTTTATGCCTACATATATTTTAGATGCATGGGTTTTTCTTGCTCAAGCGTTTCTAAATGTTCTTGTAGGCAACTGAGTAATTTCAGATGTATTTACAAAGATAGTGCCACCCTGAAAAGCCACCTCCCCATGGGTCCATCCGAAACAGAACCATCCTAACAATCTTATATGAGGGACCACTCGTTGAATGTGGACCCTTCTTTGGTTGCCAAGCGACAGTCTAGCCGATATCAGGAGGCATCAGGTATTAATAATTATGACGAGTGATATCTCATGATACAGTTCCCTTGGCAATCTCGCCAGGCTCCATACATGGACTTGGCAACAATTTAGCGAGCTTTAATATCCCGAGATTGATAATTACCCCTCAAGCGGTTCAGCGCGGGGAATAATCATCGAGATCATAGCATTTTGTCCTCGTATCGTGCGAGTCACATCGGCCGAGAAATGGGTTCCTGCGCACTTCTTCTGTTTATTACACTGCATCTCCCTATTCAACCATTGAACTAAAGGGGAGCCAAGGTGATAATATATTATCAATCGTATGATGGTGATGCCGCCCAGGAAAGTACTTTTAGATAAATCAAAATCTCTTAAGCCGTATTTGTTACCCGTTGCATGTAGCCGTACGTCTATTTCAGGAGAGAACCCGCATGTCTTGACGGCTTGGGGCATACGCGTCCCAAATTTTGCTTTTTTCCCCTCCTTCTCTTCACTTTACTCGTCGCGATATCGGTCCGCGATTTCGCATTTGTTTTGAGACCCTGAATTTCTAAGTGAGGTAGTACGGCATAATTTTTGGCTAGACCGAAGAGGGTGATTTTTGCCCGCGCCAGTGCCTATGAGGTCAACATGCTGCTAATGGAATTGCTTTTTTTCTATTTCATGCTGATTATGTGAGAATTTGAAAGGACCGCCAACTTCTAGTGATTGGATGAACAAGATGGCATCGATAATTATGTTGGTGATCGCGAGCAAGACAAACATGTGCATAGCCTCGGGAGTCGGACTCGGCAGTGGGATCACCGGTCGGGATTTCGGCGTGGGGTATGAATTTGCGAGACCTGTGGCAGAGGTTGAAGAGAGTTACCCGTTTGGCTTGGCATGTGCACTTCTCTAACACCAGTCAACACTTTGAAGGTATGAAAAAAGACAGATAAGATAACTAACACGCATGATTTATTGCCAGTTTTCGTCCTGATCGATTGCGGACTTTGAACCATTGTTAACGACCGACGAAGTGATAGAGACATGAGTTGTGGAGCTACTAAGAGGGTGAAAGTCGAGATGGAAGTCTTAGACTCGTGAGGGACGGTGAAGTGTAGTCATGACGAAGAGGTATTATTTGTGAGGACAGGTGTCCCGTGGGTTTAATTAGCTTATGCCTCGTTGTCGATTGTCTGGGGCCAAAGATGAGAAACACGAAGGCCTTTGAGACTCGCATGGACATGTCACCTCATATCAGCGCTAGTGTTCCACATATATATAACGCTCATTTGGCAAACAAGCATCGAGTCACTAATGGCATGTCAGGGCGTGTCAATCCCCCTCATCCCTTTTAGTTTTAGTAACCAGTCATAATATCACAGAACGCCAAAGTAGCTCCTTGATTATTGATATCGAGGCATGTAGGCACCTTTCCTATAGGCCTAGCGGATATCACTTCTAATGGCGATTATAAGATCTAAGACAGAACAAGCCGAGTATGGGTACCATTGCATGATCGGATAGTAACTGGCCGACATCAGAGATATTTTTTGGGATACGGAAGAGGGTCTCGATGCTCCGCCCCCCTCTTTCGTCCTTTGTGGTTAGGCGTAGGGGGCTCGTACACCCAAGTGGTCAATGTCAGGCTTCATTTGAGACTAACGGGCCGGTGGGCAAAAGCTTAGCCAACACAAGCGAAGGGCCAAGCAACCCGTCTAAACATGGAAAAGGTCCCAGTAGAGTGGAACCATGTGCGGAGTGAAGTGGAGGGGTGAGCAAAAGGGCTCGGAGGATCATTACAGCCTACAGGAGCTGAGCTGAAAGTCGTCGTAATGTGATGCTGTGATGACGAGGCCTGTCCAAATACCAGGTCCTTGAAACTGCTCACTGCTCATATTATTTAGACACTTAGGCAGAGTTTTATTGCTCCCTGAATTGGCCAACTACATTAAGTGTTTTAAGGGAAACGACCACTGATGTTTTGGAGATCGGTCGGTAGTACTTGGATGGATATGGCGGTTTCAATACCCGAGACCGAGGTTTGGATCAAATACCGCTTCGCCCCAATACTTAGGGGGTATAAATGCGCATTGTTATATTACTTGGGCACACGCAGAAGGCTTGTTTGATACCAGATCTGCGGTCGGTGTGTTTAACCATACCGCATTGATCCATGCTCGTGTGATGTGAAAAAGCTTGACTTTCTTATCAACTGCAGACTGCATGAAAGTGCAGAAACGGCTGCGAGTGACTCTCATGGGTTGTCTGATGAGCACACTCTACAACAAGTAATTGGGACACCTGTACCATATACTATTCTAATAATGTCAATAGATCATTTTTGTATCTCTAGAGGTGCAAGTACATACGGTAATATTAACATCACCATTCACGCATCGCCTAGGGGTGATCTGTCTGGCGTAGTAGTGAAAGATATTGGGCGCTAGTTCGGCCAGAACACCGTCCTGGACCTGAGAAGTTGCGTGTCACACCCACTAGACTACTGCAAACCCAGCAAAAAAAATGAGGGACTTTCCTGCTTTGCCAATTAGGCACTTGAGACGAGACTAAACTGCCGTCTCACATCGGTGGTCTTCCACATTTTAGGTTTTCTCGATTCAAAAACCCCGCAGGACGCGCGCAGGTGGCCCTTACATGCCCTTCTTTCCACTGGGCTCCTGAGATACACGTATTTACACACAGTGCACAGTAGGTGACGGCCGTGATTTTGTTGACCTATTTGCATCAGCCCTGAACCAACTACCAACTTTGAAGCAACATTCTCCAAAAGAAATTAGAGCCCGGGGTTAAGAGCACACGCCGGCCGAAGGTGATCGGGGTTTGGAGCTTACCGAACGGTGACAAAGACGGTCGATATTGTTTTAGGCTGATCCGCTGTATCAGCCGTAGATTACATGCAGCTACAGTCGCGGCAGGCGTTGACAAGCTTTCAGGCGCAGCGGTTTTCTCGCGTGGGGCATGGGTTCCCCCCATGCCATGGAAACGGGATACCTCCTCAAATCGATTAATCGGTTCTTGGGACTCACAACGATCCCAAGTAACTCCTGTTCATCAATGAGACATAGACGAAATCTTAGATGTTTATCGAGAGGGTCGATTGACTTTCAAACTGTACCTGCAACTCTTACTGATGCAACCATAATTGACATCTTAAACGCCACACGTGATGGACACTGTTCACTGCATTGTGCCCTCCATATGCTGTGTGATGTGATGTCATGACCTCCGTAAAATAGACCAAACGGCGGAAGAAATGTTCCTTTGCGTAACCCCAATTATATCGCCAGGTAAATTACGTCAAAGAATTTCCTTTTCGCCGGGAGGAACTAGGATTTAAAAGCTTACTTGGAGGAAATTTTTCTGATTCGGGGAAGTTTGCGAGAAAAGAGATTATTCCTGCTTGTTTCCAATACGAGATTTACGGAGATGCCCTAAGCGGGAGAAACCGATGCGTTCTGAGTTCTATTGCCGTTATGGGGACCTCAACGAGGTACAAGGTTCTTCTGTTTAGAAATCCGCCAGACGCCACCATTTAGTGCTGCATTCACACCCTTTGGTGGAACTACAATCGACGAAGTCCTGTGGTTGGGAGGGTCGAAGCGAAAATTACGCACTGGAAAGGGTTGCAGAAAGGCTCTCTTCTTGGTTCCCCCCATCCCCCCTCTCAGTTGCATCAAAAGGGGGCAGATGACTGGATTCATAAGTGAGTTTTCTTTCATTTCTTGCTGAATTCAAGCTTTTATTTCTTGGGAGCTTTCCAGAACATAACGAAGCAATTTTCATAGACATGGCGAAGGTAATGATCCAATTCTTTGCATGCCGTGAGACTTCCCTTCGCGGGAGGGGTTGCCACATCTATCGATGGGCGATAAGATTGATTGCCGCTTGTCACTTGGAACATGCATGGTCTCCAACCGGACCTGTTGTGACAAGCTCTAGAAAGTAAGAAAGACAAGACTTCTGTACGGTACTGTAGTCTTTCTCTACTTTACCTTATCCTATTATAAGGTAAAGACCCCTGTAACCACTATGAATCGCTTGGTGGTCGACCGATGGATGGCGGAGGTATTCTAATCCCAAATCTGCCTTGTGGGTCCCTTCTTTTTCCACTTCGAGACAAAATAGTGAGAACCTCCAAGACGCCATGGAGGTTCAGTGGATAACCTGTCCTGTCCATCAGGTTCAGTGGATGACCTGTCCTGTCATCAAAGGTGTGACCCAAGGCCAGATTGAAAAAAGACCCTCGTTCAGACTCTCCAGACATCACGAATTCAGTCTTGGGTTTGTCTCTATTTTCCGACCGCAGCACTGGGCACGGCTACCTAGGGAGGGCAAAAAAAAAAAAAAAAAAAAAAAAAAAAAAAGGATAGCGTACGTCAGAATCCGGGATTTGAATTATTGCTCCCTACACTTTGACTTACCTGCACACAGAAAGGTCGTACATACATAGACCAACAGCAGAAGGGCATAATAATAGTCAAGCTTTTGATCTGACGCAAAACAAAGCCCGCCAGAGAAAAAGGCACTGCCACCCCACCATACCTTCCAGAGCATTATCCCCTGCTCTCTTCCTAGTACTCAACTCTTCACAAAACCCCCCTCTTTTCGAACAATATCCCTTTGTCTGTGAAGATACATCCAGGACAATCGGTTTTCGTTGCTTTTATCACTCTCGTTATTGTTGCTGGTGCTGGATGCAAATCAATTTGGACGAGCTGAGCGCGAGAAAGCTGTTCGTTATGGATATGTCTTCGACTTCACATTTGGGATCCACCCACTCGTCGCCCGAGTCCTTTGACGATGATACTGCAATGATGGGAACTGCCAATTGGCAACATATGCCCCCTCCTCCACAAACGGCGCCGCCTTCAGTGGCAGGAAGCAGTGCGACATCATCGGTACCTACCAAGGCGCCACTACCATTACAGAAACGTAGAAGGGTTACTCGAGCATGCGATGAGTGTCGGCGGAAGAAGATTAAGTGCGACGGGAAACAGCCATGTACACACTGTACGGTCTACAGCTATGGTTTGTGAATTTTCCTATGTTGCCCCCCGTTTCCGGGACGAAGTAGAGCAAGAACTCCTGTTTGACCTGTCATACAACCTTGACCCTTAGCTGTACTGGCAAACTGGCAGCCGCAAAAGAACCCTCCACTGATTCTTGCTTCTTGGTACCTTTTAGAATGCACATATGACCAACCCTCAAACCGGAGACGAAACCCCGCTCCACAGTACATCGAGGCATTAGAGAACCGACTTCAACGGACCGAAGCACTGTTGAAGGCAGTACTGCCAGACATCGATGTGAACCACCCAAACTTCGATCTCAATAAGGTTCTACCGCAAATACAGGAGGCCGCAACGGTCCGCACAGCAAGACTCGGAATCAATAACAGCACAAATGATAACGGCATCGGGACAGAAAAGGATTCTCTTCTTGAATCTATGGTAGAAGCAGCAGGGCGTTTAGATATCGATGAGAGTGGACATATGGACTTCCATGGTCACTCATCGGGTATGGCCTTCCTGGCACATTTAAATAACCAATTCGGCGATCTACTAGGCGAGGATGTCAAAGCCTTGAAAAAGATGCGCTCTACTGCTTTCCCCGCATTTTTTGATTCCCCGCAATCATCTATCAGCTCATCCCCAGAGGCAAGCGCGGCAATAACAGCTATGTTGCCAAAGAAGGAGGTTGCTCTTGTTTTGGTGGATACATGTCTAGACGATGCTTGTATTCTTATGCGATTTGTCCACAGGCCGACATTCAATGAACTGATGGACCAAATTTACCAGACAGAACCTGGAAATTACACTGAAAACCAACTTAGCTTTCTACCATTACTATATTTGACATTGGCGGTAGGATGTATCTTTGTCAACGACATGTCTATATACGGGGTTGAGAGCCCGGTTGCTGAAGGGTGAGTCAATTCCGAAACCAGCAATGCACATGTTTTCTAATCAAGCTATTTTTTTCATACAGAACCAAATATTTTAGTGCTGGTCGCCGTATGATTGAAATAACTGATTGTCGCGATATCCATTCCATCCAGACCGTCCTCATGATGGTTGTGTTTCTGCAATCATCTGCTAGGATGTCAACATGTTATTCTTTTGTCGGCATTGCGCTTTCCGCTTCTGTAAGGCTAGGCCTTCATCGATCTTTACCAGGAACAAGCTTTAGTCCTATAGAAAGGGAAATCCGTAAAAGAATATTCTGGACTGTACGGAAAATGGATACATATGTCGGAGCTCTGCTGGGGCTTCCGAAAGGTATTGCAGACGAGGATATAGATCAAGAAATGCCCGCTGAAGTGGATGACGAGTATATTACCGAGAAGGAAATATTACCACAGCCAGAAGGAGTTATGCCTGCGATGGCTGCTGCAAATGCTCATGCTAAATTACTGAAGATTATGGGAAAATTGGTTAAATATATTTATCCCTTGAAGGGAGTTGAGGCTAGCGTGACTGGTAGAAGATTTGGATACAGTGTTAGCTACTCAAAAGTTCATGAAATTGAAAAGGACCTTGGGGATTGGCTAGACGCTCTTCCGATGCAACTAAGACCCGGAGGGGATACGCCGCAAAGTCTACTTAAGTAAGTAATCGCTTTTTTACTAATGACTCATCAATCTAATAACTCTCTCTAGGGCCCAATTTCTTCTTAAGATGGCATTTGCTCACGTGCAAATGATGCTATATCGCCCGTTTTTGCACTATATCTCTCGACCAAAGAACAGAGGTTGCGATGAGCGACCTTACGCCAGTGCCGCCGCATGCGTTAATGTTTCGCGCAAAATTGTTCACACAGCAGATGAAATGAGAAAAAAGGGCATCTTGAATGGCGCTTATTGGTTCAGCATGTACACCACTTTCTTTTCCGTCATCACAATGCTGTACTACGTCCTTGAAAATTCCACCGATGTAACATCGTTGGCAATACTGAGGGATGCGGAGATTGGACGAGATTTATTATTAGGTCTTAAGGAACGAAGCCTAGCTGCAAAGAGGTGTTCGATTGCTCTACAAGTATGTGACGTCCTTTAATGTGCATGATTCAAGTACTGACATTTTCTAGCCTTTATTTGACAAAGTCCCCCAAAAGATCAAACCAGATCTAGAAAAAGCGAGCCTAGCCAAGAAAAAGCGGGCTAGAGCGGGGTCAAAATCTGGGGATGCCGATCAGTCTACCACTTGGAGCAATACCTCCCGGACGGTCTCGCCTGACGTTTCGGATTCACCTCAAAGCAGGCGCTCAAGAACCTTTCCCGGATCCCCGGATATAGACATGAGACGCCAAACGACACCTATGCAAATTCAACGAACAGCGGCTCTAACTCAGACTCCAGAAGACTTAAATCGTCGAAGCTCATATGAAGTATTTACAACTGCCGAGACTTTCCCTTCTACTCATAGCACTCCAGATCCACAGCCAGTGTCTTTCCAGGCACATCTTTCCGGGAGTGGACTGCCAGATCTCAACGCTTTAATGTTTCCCTCGCCGGACCCTTTTAACTATAACTACGCACACACTATGGGCCAGCAACAGTATACAAAGACGGAACGTATGCAGCAAGACAGCCCTTCATCCCCTGAAAGCATGTTTGGTGCAAACGGGTCACAGGGAAACCCATACGACAGTTTAGAGGTCCAACTGTTTGGCCCTTTACCCCCATACCTTCTACAGGGTCAACCCCAATCAGTTTCGTCGGATGTTCCGACGACAGGGGGTGAACGACCAACACAACACATTGAAGTTGGTGATAGCCGCCCAGTACCAAATAGCGGTATTCCAGGACAGGCTTTCATGTCAGGAACTGCGGGAGGTGCTATGAATCTGGATAGTTTTTTTGGCGACGAGTATGAGTGGGATGATGTCCTAATGCAGCAATCAACATATCGTGTGCAACCAGACTTGAAGGAGCAATATTAAAGGTCGTGACTGGATTCTCGGCATATGCATTGGATGATTGAGCACTTTCCTTTCATTTTCCACGTGGGCTTAGTTGCTTTGGCATTGTACTCTCATTTGTTTATTTCCTCTCAGGATCTTACCATTTGCATTATAACGGGTCACTGGCGCTATTTGGATTGAGATTTCTTATGGGGCGAGGTGTACCCCATCAACGTTACATTCCACCTTTTTTTGGTTTCATTATCTTTTCTCTTGCTGATTTGGAAATTTCCAAACGGTGGTACTATATTGCTTTCTTTTCTCGGTTTGTTTTGTTTCTTCTTTTAAACTCACTACTCACTATTAGGGCGACATACTAAATATTTGGGGAAAGGGTTTTTCGTCATTTTTTCTTTCTTTCTGAATATCGCTACATTAATGCCTTTTTTTCCTTTTCTTTCGTTTTCGGGGTCATAAATGGGTTTTCTTCGTTGTTGATAGTTTACAGATGTGGCTACAGAGAGGCTTGTTTCCTCCATCGTTTATTTATTTTTATTTTTATTTGTCTTAAAATCTATGCATGGTGCTTGTTTGATATGGGGTTGGTTGTATGAGTTACAGAATCATGTTTTGCATGGAAGGTCAAAACGGAAATAAAAGAACTTTGTTTGAAAGCATCTATCACTACAGATGTGTATGTACTGCCTATAGCTTAATTCGAGTACATATAACTAGTTATGCGAGGTTCGGCTCCCATTTGGTACGATTACAAATGCAAACATGGATGGCGAAAATTTGAGCTTTTTTTACGAAGGTGGCAGGCAAGTAGTATACGCGTGGGGGCGGTGAGCCTCTAAGGCAATTGCAAATAGGCTGGTCAAAATCGTGTGACATCGTTCGTATATCACAAACACTAATAAATAAGCGTCTATTATAATAGCCATCTACCGCATTACCATGCCGAGGCCTGATCAAGTAAATAGTTGATTAGTAGCAAACGATTCACGCAGCTCCTAGGTTAGCAGCCTATGTACGTTAGTTAGTACACAACTTACCCCAAAGCTGTCCTGTTACCGAGTGCCTGGGAGTACATGTAACCATTCCTCCCCAAAAGAGCAAACGTAACAAAGGGCACTATGATGTGATACATATTGAGTCAGCTAAAAATCACTCGGCAGCTTTAGGTCCCGAAGATTCCCAGGCCCAATAATAGTTAGTATTGAGAAACAGTTCCTGGGTGATACAAACGCATAGACATTCTGCGTGATTTAACTGATAGCGGGCTCGTCTAACGCCTCGACCTCAGCCTGCAAAGGCTCCAAATTGGCAGAAGCAAGCATCCCGAACCGGATTTCGGACTCCCCAGGTCCGAGTTGTCGGTAATTGGGTTAGGGTTACTTATTAAGGACTATCCCTGAACATCAAATCTTGGCAGGGGCCTTTTCCTTAGGTAAGCCATACGCCAGAAACCGAGTGATCGATAGTGCGAATAATCCTACCGCTGTATACAGTAAGTTTAATTATCAAAACTTACTAGATACGAGAACAGACTATTCTAATCTAGGGAACGGGGTTGGTAAGGCCTCTTGAGGTAGAAGCAAGGTGCTAGGTGCGTAGGACGGCACCTGTATTTTATGAGCAAACGCCTTCACGGGGGTATGGCTGTCGTGTGGGGGTATGGCTGTCGTGTGGGGTTATGGGTTAACTAGATACAAGTATGTGGGGGATAAAAAGTCTTACACTATCTTAGCTTTCTTTGAAAATGCATACCCCCCGAAACTTTACTTTATTCATCTGGCCAGTTTCTCATTAGAATTGCAAACAGCTTCAATACACCCACTAATACAGATGTATTTGCCCTACTTGAGCATTTCGGGTATCTTGAATTAATGCACACACCCCGCCTTCTCGTTGCTCCACCCTCGCTTTCGCCTATCCTAAGAATTCTGAACAAAAAGGGCTAAAAGTAGAGATGCCTCGTAATCATCATACTCGTTCCACTACATCACAAAGAAAAGCAATGAATAGAGAGAAGAATCCCAGGAAATAGAGAAAGAAAGAAAATATTGCAGCTAAACGTACAGTTACCCTCGAATGACCCAGTGATTCAGCGCGCAAACAAAATGTTGCAAATTTGGAATAAAACAGAAATCAAAAGAAAAGAAAAGAAAAGAAAAGAAAAGAAAGAATGAAGAAATACCACCGTTAGTCCTAATCACTTCACATCATCTCCACTTCCACAGGTGTTCTTCTCCTTTCACTTGTTGAATCAGATCTTGCAGGTGAGATGCTCAATCCTTTAACTCCTTCAACGACGCCACCTAAACGTCCTGCAACTCCCGTAACGCCCACACCTATTCCGGCTGCAAGTCCACTACTCGTCGCAACTCCAGAATCCGCAGCTCCACCGATCGAACCTGCACTCCCTGCTGTACCAGCTGCAGCTCCCGTACCTGCCTCACCAGGTGATATAGGAGTACGAGACCTCTCCTCCATTCCCATAACTCCAATATTCAGCGCGTTCTCACTACCATTCATTTCCCCATTATCTCTACCCCACACCTCTTCCCACCATCTAACCGCTCCTCCACTTCTTGGAAACAACACCCTCCCACCACCGACATCTCGCTCTCTCTCAACCCCATCAGCACCGGGATCATAAAGAGGGTTAGCAAACTGGTTCCGTCTCGCCAGAAAGTAATCCCAAACACTTCTAGTACGCTCCTTAACCCGTGCATCAGCGCGTTCCTTATCGCTGTTGAACAAAAACGTTCCATATTGACACGAGTAAAGGTGGTACAATAACCGTCGGAGGAATCGCTCATTGTATTCAAATCTGGTTGGATTTTGATACAGAAGTTGATAGGTTGCATCCAAGAACTGCTGAAACATTGGAGATACCTCTTTTGGCTTTGTAACGTGTATAGGGGTGGATGCAAGGTTTGCAAGTTTGGTCTTACGATCAATGTTTAAAGAATCAGGATCACTGTCGTTATTATCGGTAGCAGAGGAAGAAGAACGGTTGACGGTATTAAAGAAGTTTTTGGCCTGCCCAAAGCCCTTTTCGAGAGCTTCTCCGAACCCCCCAGTAGGGGTGAAAGAACCGATGCTGGTAGTGCGCTGGAGCGGGTCCTCATCGGCAAGAGAGCCCTCTTCAACTGTGGGTGGTGCATTTCGGTTGGTTTCGACAAACCATTTATCACATCCAAGGAAGCCGCAACGGTCACGGAAACGATGACCAAAACTAACCCAATCCTTCTCCACAAGAGCGATAAAGCCATCGATGGTACGAAAATAGGGGTCTAAGCATATCTGTGCGAGTGAGCTTAGTTGAGAGGTTCGATCCCACCCATCGGAACAGTGAATAAGAACATGGCTATGCTCGACTGCAATCTGACGGACAATAATTGAAGTCCCATCAAGCATAAGACCGATATGTTTAAGCCAACCGGATCGCACGAGGAGCTCCTTATTAGGGCTTAGTGGGGATATATCAAAATCCTTGATCGCATCTACAACTCTTGCTAGTGAATCTCGCATAACATGTATATTGTCGATACCGAGATAAGTTTTGGTACAGGGAGGCGAGGAGCAATGTCGGTAATTGTCCATATTTTCACTACCCATTCCAACGGCTTGCATGGCGTAGGCGTTAACTGTTGGGCGAGCATCGACTATGAGGTTGTGTTGCTGTGCTCCGTAAACACGTCCTTCTGCAACTACCGGCTCCGAAGTTATGGAATCCACACCATTATCTACGGAGGATGAGCTGGAGAGGTTGGTCGAGGAACCGTTGGGGGATGGGGTAGACGTGGTGAGGTATGCGGGGGTTTGTGACGCATTTTGAGGCTGCGACGACGCGAATATAGCTGCGACAAGCTTTTCATCTTGAATGCTGCGATTTCCGCGGACTCCAGTCAAGGGCTGTGCACAACGAGTTATTGAGCAGTTATTGAGGGGATGCAGGTATCTATGCCCTTATTTGTTAGTCTTCTGTTCGCTCCAAGTGATAGAAGAAAAGAGGTATAAATACGTTAGTACGGGTATCCGGGCACGAGATCGATAGTTTTTGGCGTGAGACAGTGTCGTATCACTTATAGTTGCTGGGACTACCAATAATTGAGGATATGTCGGTGAAAACTATAGATGTTAAACCATAAGCTAGCTGGTGGGTTGAGAGGCTAGGAAGTATAGTAAAATATCGATAGCAACAAAGCTTACGATTGAAGCCCCGGGGGGGGGGGGGGCGTTACTCACAGCGTAGTCTTTATTAATCCTTGAGATCCTCCAGCCTTTACACTTATCCGTACCAACCCCCATTCTTTCATATTCCTTCCGTGGATCGTAAGCTGCCCATCCATTGTGCTTTCTTTCTGGGGACCCAGGGGTATAGAAGAAAGCATAGAGCTTCTCCACACTCTTCACAACTGACAAAGACTTTATGCTCTCGAAGACTTCTCTACACTCCCTATCCGTACGAAACTGCAACATTAAGAACATGAAATCACGATTTCTAAGTCTAATGTGAGCCTGTGAACCGGCACTCGGGGGATTGCGGTAAACATTGGCGATAATAGGATATGTTATCCATATCTCGGTAGGCCGTGTATTTGATTCTTCATCAGGATTTGCTCGGAAGATGAGGTGATGAGGGGTGAGGTGGATTGTTCCAACGGTGGGTTGACCACGGTGTAGGATTGTCACCTCTTCGACCTTTGTGGGTATCTAATAGTTAGCTTCAAAGCCGGTAAAACATAGAGAGTAAAGGGCAAGGGTAGAATACTTTAGCGACCCGGATATGCTCCATGTGTCGCGGGTGTTAAGAGCTCAAGGGTGCGGGGTTGGGGCCAAAGAGAATGAGGATGGATGTAGAGGGTTGAGATGTGAATCGTAGGTGTTTTGTTGAGGTGGCTTTGGATTTTTGGGGCTGACAGGAAAGTACGGGAGTGCCTTCTCTGCTTATGCCTTTTCGAATCTGTCATGAGCTACCAAAACAACTATCTCGAATAAAACACAAGTTGTTGAATATAACAAATACTATTATAATCATTTCCCAGAATACCTATATCTATCGCCGGCCGAGAAGCTCTACATGTACCTATCTCTCTCTCGCCCTACCGTATCACTGTGCTGTTGGCAACAACAGCCCGCCATACATACCTCATCTTGTCCCCAGTCAGTGGTCGGTAGCGCCACACACGTGACTGAGCAAGGCCATTCCCATTTTGGTGAAGCCGTTCGAATCTGGGGTTAGGAATCATGTATCCCGCGCGGCACAGTACGGGACAGTATGTACCACAGAAATTCCAGAGCAAGATAGAGCTGAGCAATAGTGACAGGGAAGGATGCAGTGATAGAGGAGTGTGAAAAGAATAGGACGCTACATATATACATGTTTAAACAAATATCGCACCCACTGCCTTTTCTCCCGTCGACATTTTTCCATCTTTCCCGGATTTTGTTTCCACCCAATGTTTATTCGTTTATTACCCCTTGGGGAAACTGTTCACGTTAAATTCTTGTTGTGATGACATGACGACCCTGATTAGCTCGTTCTTCTACGTCACACAATTCGTCCAACACCTCCAACACTTCCTACAGCCTTCTCTCTCAAATCCCCATCCTCTCCCTTATCTTCTGTCACCACCACCATCATCGTCACCTCAACCACAACCACCATAATTCCAAGCTTTTCCTAACTACTTGATCTCTCAAGCTATGCCGTCCACTCTACGTGCTGCCTCAGACGCGATCCCGACGCGCCTTAAACCTCCTCTACTAGTTCTCATGAACCTCGTCCTTTCCACAGCCTTCTCCTATTTCGCGTCTCCCTGGATATATAAGGATGTCACCGCGATCCAACGCCCCATGACCTCTCTCAGCGACTATATGGGCCTTGTAGGATGGCGAATCATCGAGCTTATGTGCCACTGGGTCGGCGGCTGGGATGGTACAACGCTCGCCCTACAGTTTAAATTGGTTACTGACCCGATTGCGCAAAACAGCGACCCAAGCAGCTTCCCTAGTAATGCTCTCTCTCGCGCCATCCATGCATTACATGCACACCTTCCAACCGTCACATTCCCCTTTGATACCAACCCTTGCAGTTGTCGCGGCAGGAGATCTTCTAAGTCTTTATCTACCACTCTTATTTCTTCGCCAGAGCCCCCCGGATTCGAAGTCAACTCCCGCAAAGAAAGAGAATAAGATCTTTGACACAACAAGACTCCTAACCACGCTATTAACAAGTACACTCTATCAATTAGTGCTTCACTCTACAGGCAAGAAGTTTCTCGTGGGCTGGCTGATCAGCTCCGGATGGGATATTGAAAGCGTTGTGCGCGTGCATGATGCCCCCGAGGGGGTGCTGCTGGCAAGATCTCTTCTGATGATTCCAATCGGATGGGCTGCATCAGAAATAATCTTCTACTCTCCTAACGATGCCACGGACTCCGCGATCACTACATATCCACCAGTGGAGAAGAATGAAGGGCCAGGAGAAGAAGCGACGGGTGTTTGGGCCTATATCCTTCGTCTGTGGCTGAAGTCACTTTCGCCCCGAGGCCGAAAGATCGTGAAGCGGACTCTGTTGGTTGCGGCCTACCAAGGTGTTAGCGCAACTGTAGCTTTGGCTGGGACAGTAAAGGGAGGGGATTTCAAGGGCGCTATGGGTATTAGCGGGGTTTGGACCCTCGCGACCGTCCTTGTAGGGGCTATTTTGGGATGGGTCGGAAATGTTTAAGAAAATAATATAAAGCATTGTTGAGGATATGTAGATGTTTCTTAGGATTGTCATTGGAATTCAGAAGGCGCAGAAGACAGTGATGAAGGTGGGGGGGAATGCTAATCTGGAGGATGGGAACGGGGCGAGGCGTTGACATTGATTGAGATGAGATCAATCTGCTTATTGTTTTTTTTTATCTTATTATCTTTTATTCCTTTTCTACTTACTCATCGGGTTATTTTCTTTCTTTGTTATCCAGCTAGTTACTTCTCCTTTGTCAACGCAGGAAATGGGGTAGGGATCAGGGATGGGGTGGGTGGCAGGTGCCGAAAAAGTGTGTATTCCCTCTTGTATGTGTCTGTTGCTAGTCAAAGTCAGTCAATTGAGGATTTGCGATACTATCATTGTAGTTTTGTATCTATTCTGGATCTAGATGGAAGAGGAGTTCGGGTCGTGGTTATTGAGTAGATTATGTACTTGATGTTAGTGTAGTATGGCATTTGATAATGCCTCGAGTACTAGAAGTTGAGTATTGACTATTGCCGGCGTGGGGCCGCAAACCATGCGTCATCGCATAGTAGAGTACCATTCTTTTTCCCGTAGTTAACGTTTCCTGCAGAAGATATGCCAACAATTGAATCCCGGGAATTTGCTTACTGACTGCATAAGCAAGTAGTCTCGTGCCCTGCCAATCTGCGGTTCCCCACATATGCATATACTTCTGAGAAGTCGACGCCGGATTGTGCCTTTGCTTCCTTTAAATATCCGGCTCTGTAGAGTAAGCTCCGCTGGGGATGGCTAATTGGCCAGCCAGGTGCGCGTTTGCTACTGTTTTTGGCACGCCCGGATTAATTTACCACTTCCGAATGAGAGTCGAAAGCTCGGCGGGGGCGGATCAATATCAGGTTCTGTTTAGGCACCAATTTTTTTTTCTGCGGGGTAGTTCAATACTTCTCTCCGGTTTGTCAGTTACTAGGGGTAATAATATGATAGCTCATCTGCCACTGTCAGTGGTTGAATGCACATTAGGCTCTGCCAATGTGAATGGCCAACAGGCCCCTTCAAAGAAAGAAAGAAAGCCCTTCTTTGTACCAGGGGAAAACGGCTTTCACGATAAAAATCCCAAGGCCAGGGAAAAAAGCAAGGGCGTGCCTTTTACGCAAGGTTCCTGCATCTGTCCGATCCGGGACTAAAATGATGTCTTTTGGCAGGACCCAGTTTCGGTTCTCCTCTGCCCTTTTTTTTTTATCCTTCCCGGAGCTCCGTTACCCGTGGGGGCTCAAAGGTGCGATGGGATGGGATTGAAGATGTTTTTTTTTTATAATTTGCATGATAGAGGTGGTGGGGTGGGCGAGGGAGTTAGGTTATCGAGCTATCTATCGAAGCTTCCCCGGATAGCAACACGATAGCGCAAGTCAGACCCCACTGCAGTTTTTCCTCCGTTCAGAACTTTCCTTGGAGGAGCATGGCCATGGCAGGAGGAGGAGGATGAGGGACAAGAGGAGTCAAACAAACCTCGTGATGAGTTTGTTCCCCCGCGTGCGCCTCTTTCCACTCCCTTCCCTCACGTGGGGCTCTCTCTCCACTTTCCCGACGTTCAACGCTGCATCCCCAATTTCACCCGTTGTTGCGTTGCAGCAACAGCAGCAAGTAGGTAAGAGAGCGTGTTATGTAGGTTGTTATAGTTCTGGCTCTAGGTACTGTAGGACAGGATGTTCTTAATCCTTACAATCAAGACAGTAAAGTAAATCAATCAATCAGTCAATCAATCAACCTGCCCCCTCTCTCTTCTCCGTCCGGCTCTCACGTCATCGGCAGATAAGGCCCTACCATCCGAGCTTCTTCTTCCCCTTCTTTTTCTTCTCTCTCTCTAGTCTTTTTATCTTTCTTACTTCTACAGTCTACTTGAGTGAACAAGCGAATCCGAACAAGTGACAGGTGACTGCAGCAGACTTGTACCCGGGTTTTCCATCGGTCTTCTGTGTCCCAAAACCTCAAGTCCTACCTCCTACCATACCAACTGCTTGCTTGCTCCTCGGATTCCCGCCGAGGTTACCTCCAGATACCTCTCCGCGCTCAGACACATTACTAGCTACAGTAGAGAACCGTTGCATTACTACAAAAGGCAGAATAAAGAACGATTGATCCCTTAACCGGATCGCTCCGCACTTCCTCAGCCCCGCAGCTACATTCCGAGCCGGGAGAAATAATAGTAAATACAGTTCTGGTTTCATAACCACACCTCACTTCAGGTCACGATAACGATTCGTTGCTACCGATTACCAGGATACAACTACTCGACGGCAACACGCAGACAAGAAAGACACCACCCTCCGTTCTAGAGTGCACTTCTCATTTCTACAACACCTGACCCGTTTCCGGAGAGATAGGGACCAAGAGGGAAAACAGGAAACTCAGTTGATCAGAGGAACGGCTTAAAAGCACGCGTTACCGTTCAAGTGGACCAAGAGAGCAAGCAAGACAGACTTCAATAAGCTTAACAATCAGCTACAGCATAGAACAAAATGGGCCTCGCATACAACGTTTACCTCAACTCAAGTCGTATCTACGGATGCAAAGACTGTAAAACACATCTCTCAAACCACGACGATATCATCAGCAGGGTATGTCGCTCCCCAGCTAGTTAGCTAGTTCTAGTTCTAAAGCTCGCATGAAAGCTAACCTAGCTCGCTTGCTCCTACAGAACTTTCGTGGTCAACATGGAAAAGCGTATCTTTTTAATACGGTCGTAAACATCAAAGAGGCCGAACCGGTGGAGCGAAACATGACGACTGGTCGCCACATCGTGCGTGATATTTCATGCAAGCAATGCAAGGTCATCGTCGGCTGGAAATATGACAAAGCCTACGAGACCCCCGAGAAGTACAAGGAAGGGAAGTTCATCCTGGAGGCAGAGCTTCTGGTGACTGTGCGTTAAGCGGTTTGAGATTTGCGTATGGGAGGAGCTGGTCGGGTGACATAGCGGGTAACAGGAGGAGACCTAGACGGTATTTCTTCCCTTTTTTATACGCCTTTGCCGGTAAGACACATTATTGTGAGAGATTCTATTCACTCTTTCATGGATCAATTTTATTTTACTGTCTTTTCTTTTGTGATTTTGTGTTAGTGGGGGGTTTCTTGGAATTGCAATTTTCTTTTTTTACTGGGAGGTTCATCTACTAGGAGTGCCGGGTTTGGTGAAGGGGGGTTATGATGGGTGTTCAATGGTGCAAAGATATCTTCTACACTCTCCCCTTTATCCATTTTCTTTCTTTCTCTTTCCTTCATGAACCATATAACTCCTATGTGTTATTTTGATTTTGATGTTTTCTTAAGGAGTTGCTGCGGTTTTCTTCCTTTCCTTTTCTTTACAACTGTTTCATTGGTGGGAGTTTACTGTTCTTTGGGGATCGGGCCATCATATTCAAGATCCGAAGCAGAGCTTGCTACAACGAGTGCTGTGACTGGTTTTAGACATCTGGCCCTGAGAAAATGCAGGCCAGAGAGAGAGAGTGGTGTGAGTGAAGAGTCGTGCGTGGTTCTCGGGTTCTATCTACCCTCCCCTCTTATTATTATTCGTCCGCATTCTTTTTATCCAGAGTCCCCTTTTATTAAATTAAATTTGCAGATATGTTCATAAACTCGGACTCTCCTGGTGTCAGCGCGCCCAATACTTTTGTGGTAGAGATAGAGAGGTGTTGCTAAGAATATATGAGATGGAGATCTATCAGATATTGTCTTGCCGAAGCCTTGGAATAGCCGATCTAGTGGATCTGTTCTGCCCCTCATCATGAACAGACTACCCCGCTATCAGGACTCTTGAATTATGCAAACGGACAGAGGGGACCATACATAAACACCCATATGCAGAAGTCCCTTCCTACAATATGAACCAGCCTTCCCAGAAATAGGACTAGGATAGTTAATTCTACCGGGACAATCACCACTACTTATCTAGCGCAAGAATCACGCAGAGTATAGACCTCTTACAGTCCGTTACTGATCTGGGAATAGAGGCGGCGTAACATCGCTTCCCGCTAGTAGTGTGCAGCGGTGTAAAGGTTATAGATGTAGCGCGAGGGGTATGTATGATCGTGGGGGGGGGGGGGTAGTCATACTGTGAAATGGCCCGGATAATACTATCTATAGGGGTCGCTTGTGAGAGGTTCAGGATAAGATTTTGAAGGAGCTGCAATACTGGTACCTTATCTCTGACTACATGTATCCATGTGACGAGATTGGGATTCTCTTTCATGTGCTGTAGGATTTGTCAGTTATTACTGCGCTAGGCTATTGTCATGAATTATCACTCGCTTACATTTAAGCGCGTTACGTATGAGTATTGATTGATTGATTACTTTATTAATTGTATGTCACGCATGAGTAGAAACCACGGAGTCTTTACTATCGTTATCGAGGCAACCCCCCCCTCTCCTATCCTTTCCCATCCTCGCTCGCAACTACCATTACCGTCGGTGACGTCTTCCGTAAAACATCTTACAGAAGCACCTAGCAAGAGACACAGCTGCAAATAGAGAGCGCCTACACATTGTTCATGGGTTTTGGGGAACCCCCATAACAGCAACCGCAACCAGTCCAGGATCACGAGATATCACTCTCACCACAACGGCTCCACCAGATCCGCTACAATCGGCAAACCCATAGCTAGGCCTACGCTATGCTCACCTTCTATAAGCCATAGAGCGTCCAGAACGTTTAGGGCGACCGGATCGAAGATTGTGGTTGAAGGAAGTGTGTGATTACTTATTCTTGGTAATAATGAGAAGATCTCTAGAAGTAGTAGATTCATGGTCCTGGCCCAAGCACTAAGAGCCCCTTCCGTCAGCGGGCCAAATCCTATACCAGGCCTATCAGCCAGTCGGTGAAGTCCCTGTAGTGGACGTAACCAGTATTGTAAGGTTGTGTTCTTAGGAGATAACTACGATACTGGGAGAGGAAGCCCCCCACTACTACGACGCGGGAGGGGGATAGGTAAACAGTCACGCAGTGTCTATCAACAGATAAAGAGTAGTAAGAATTTCACCCTCCACTAACTTACAGGATAACCTCAAGTCTATCTCTTCTCCAGTCCCCAGTTAGTGAGCGTCACACAATATCACTCGGTACATCTTGCCTATGATTTTTTTTTTTTTGTTTAATTCATTAATTGCATGCAACCTTACAGTTATGGCAATATCCCCTGAACTACCCAATCTCCTCCCCCTCCTCTCGCGTTTGCCTGACATAGGAGATATATAAAAGTAAAAGTCCTGAACTATTCCTCGTCTCTAGCGTCTTTCAATGTCCCCCACCCGTATCCCAGTTCTCTTCTTTCCTCTTCCGCGTTATCATCCTGTCCGCTCCTCTCATGTCTCCATAAAGCGGGTCTATACACCTACGCTGGGTGCGGAGGAATGGGGTTTCTTTATCTTGGGAGAAGTGTAGAGCATGGTCTACTGTTTTGACAGTTATTTATCACCCATGCTTGGTCTGTGGGATATCGTATCTAAAGATGACCACCGAAACGCAAAAAAACCGAATGCAATCGATATGACAAGTATTATGTTCCATTAATAACATAACCACAACTATTCGAAACCGACAAATATAGTTTTTAAAGCTCATCGAGCCTACCGTCCTTCATAGGTTGATAATACCTCCTAAGAACAGTAACTAAACTCCAAACTACAACACAAACAAAACATAGCATCAAGAAAACATGAAGACGAAAATAAGTCTATTCTAGGTATCTACTTACTCCTAATCCCGCTATTACTTTAAATTTCTCTTGCCTAGTCCACCTGCAACACCCATCCCCACCATCCCAGCCACAATTGGCGGCGAGCTCCCCACTTTCGCAACGTTATAAGTACTTGACCTACCCAGCCCCACGCCACTTGGCCCCAGCGCGCCTAATACATCTACCGGTCCACCAGTTCCTACTGCCAGCGGCGTTGTTGGCGCTCCAAACTTTCCAATCCTACCAAGCCCCAGCACACTCCAATACGTATGCTCCCTACGCTCCTTGACCTCCTTTCCGAGGCCGTCCTCGCGCTCTACATCAGTCTCATACTCAACCCTGACCGAAACGGGCACCTGTACCAGATAATCGTCCTCGGTCGGTGAGTCCTTGCCTCCGGCCTCATCGGTCGTATACTCGCTCGGCAGCAGCGGGGGCACTATCTCGATCACGACGGTGGTCCAGTTGCGGCCTGCGTCCCAGACAGTCCCGGTATTACCGGTCTTCTTGCCCTTGCGTGTGTTCTTGCCTCCTGTGGCGGCATCCCCGGTCCCGAGCGCTTCATCCCATATGTCACTGTTGGCGCCGACCTCAAAGTCTGGGCAGAGAATTGTCACGGTGGTGCCGAAGCGCCCCGGGGTCCGCTGTGGTGTTGCCAGTGTCACATTAATCGCGTCGAACAGTGGGTTCGTCACCGTGAGCAGGAACTGGTGTGTCGTTAGCGGTGTCAGAGAGTTGTAACTCACACTCCCTGGATCAAGCCGCGAGATAGACAGCGATGGGATATAGTTCATTGCCACGAGCTTTATGCGGAATCGCGTGGTGGTGACTTTGCTCTCTGGCTTAACCAGAATATGACGACAAGCTCTGCAGCGCTTAGAGCGCTTCGTCCGTAGAAGTACCGCAAGCGGGCGGACGTCCTGCGTGAATAGCGGGCCGGGGACACCTTGGTTGAGTCGCTGCGCGGTGCTGGTGGTGCCGGCAAAGCCTTGTTTACGCAGCTGCGCGATTGTGGTGTCCTCGTTCTGGATCTCGAGCGTGTGATCCATTTCGCTCCACTCGGACTTGCGGTCTCGTCCGATCAGTGGTTTCGAGATTCCAGACCCGCCGCTGAACGAGCGGGGTTTTGGGCCCCCGACGGTGAGAGAAGTGGAAGAGTATAGCCCTATCAGCCGTGAAAGAGCGTTTGAAGAGCCAAACTCGTCTGTGCCGGTAGAGGCGCGCTGAGAGGCGTAATGGACCTTGAGACGCTGGTACATCTCTGCTGTTGTCGGGGGTGCGCGAGGCGCATCGTTGGGTGGGAGGGATATTGTAGGCGTGATGCTGATGGTAGGAAAGTAGGAGTCCGATGGTGCTGATGGCGCAGGAGTTACTGATGGCGTAGAGACAGTCTTGAGCTTCTGTGCAAGCTGTGTAGTGATTGAGGTAGGTTTTTCGAACTCAATGCCAATCTCGGAGGAGCTCCAGTGGCAGTGGGGGCAGAGGAGGACGTATGGGCCGCTTTGGTCGTCACGGGTGGAGGCGACGACGAGAGAGGCAAAACAAATGGGGCAGGAGAAGCAGTTACGGGTGCAGCTATGTATCCGAGTAAGCATGGCCCAGATCTATGGGAGAAAGAGTCAGCCAGAGGGGTACATACCGGTTTCCATCAGACTTGATGGCGGAGCTGGGGACCTCGAAGAGACAGCTCGGACAGAAGTAGCAGACAATCTCGTCATGCACGCATCTGGGGCACCGTATCTGGTTGCAATCCTCGCAATAAAGCAAGCTTTCGAGTGGGAATAGACTGAAGTTGCTCCTGGCCGACCTGGGGTCAAACCGCTCCTCCTCCTCCGACTCTTCTTCTTCCGCCGCTTTATGGGATCGGGATTTCTTTTTGGCAGGCTTAGGGGTAATAGAGATTGAATCGGCGCATGGACATGATATGTGGATTGTGGGGAACACCATGGTGGCCTTGGTCTGTATTTGGTATAGGTATCAGAGAGCACCTGGACTTCTTGAGGTTGACGTGGGGTGAGGCTCTGGGATCCGTGCCCTTGGTGCATATATCGGCTTGGCGGTGAGCTTATTCGTTATTCGTGCAGGCTAGCTGCATGCAGGAAACAGTTTGTGCAATTCTGTGAGAAAAACTCGAATGTCTGGTATGTAGTATGGATTAGTATTGAACCACTGCCAGAATATGAGTGCGAGATGCTAAGATCACATGCGCCATATATGCACTTACGTGGGAGAGAGTGACACAGTTGGTAACGTTAATTAACCGTAAAGCAAGGTTGCTCAATTCAAGTGTGGTAATATCTGCTATGCATTCCTATAAAGCGAATACCTCCGAGTCGATGAGAGATGATATCACCTTTCGGCAGTTATAGCTAGACCGACTCAAACTCAAGTCAGAGAGGAAACAGAAAGACATAAACATCGGTTGGCCATGTGCTAGAAAATGTGAGAATAGTAAACTTAGAGATTCAATCTTTTAGACAGTGAGATTATGTGGTTGTACTCTAGTTGACATCCTGGGCGAAAATATATGACGCCACCTATCATAACTTCAATATTCTACTTAGTACATGTAGATATATACATGCCTGTAAACTAATTAACCACCCTCCCGAGCCTATATACGGTTAAAGCGTTGAGCTGCTCATTGTTCACTGCGTATACGTGCTGCTGTAGGCTTGTACTTAGTGTAACTACTGGAGGAGCTGGAGGATTTTCTTTTTGATGTTAATTGATGAGATCCTTTTCTAGGGGGTGTTGAGGGCTCTCCAATGTTGGAAATGTTAATTTTCGGGGCCCAATTTACATACAAAATTAAGGTTTCCTTTAGACTCCGATATGACAATAAAGCTTATAATGGGTTTTTAGACTCCGAAAGTTAAGGTTTATTTTGACCCCGATATTTCAATTCAGGCAAATTTGCACTCGGGCAGGAAGAGCTAGAGGGTGTCAGGATTACTTCCCGACATTTGTCAGAAAATCAGTGCTCCAGATCCTACAATGCGCAGTGATCTGCTCGTAAGCGATGGGTACAAGACTACATGCACATATGTAGTGCTACTGGTGCCAGCATGTGACTTTTAACAAAATATTTGATTAAAGTTCGAGGTAACGATTAGTACGTTAGTAGGCTGTCGATAACAACCATCCCCGCTCTCTTTCTCTCAGTATCACCATATGCGCATATCAAACTGCTTATCACTTCAGTATAAAATTACAAATTACTGTCCTGCACGTTTCAACTTTCGGAGAGTTTTTCCAATACACTACACTGGCTGAATTGGCGATCAGGAAAAATTCCGAAGTTTACAATGTTCTGGTGCGACGTGTGGGACGAGTGATGGGGTGTGACGTTACAGATCACAGGGGTGCGGCCGGAAAAAAAGCGGCGAAAGTGAAGACTGTGCTACGGTCTTTGAGGAGAGTCCATTGCCATCTACTTTATCGGAGTTTCCAGGGGTGGACGAGAATAGTAATCGTGGACTACACCCTTCTACATAAGACGTATATTCTTTTTTCCGCATGAGATATCACTCGAGAAGAGTTTCCGTGAAATAATGGGAATAGTTGCGTCTCACTAACAGTTTATGGCTAGTGTAGATTTGGTTCATTTTGGCAAAATAACCACCAACAAACAGTTCTCCGTGGCGCAATTGGCTAGCGCGTTCGACTGTTATTTATCCCATCTGTGGGATTTGTTGCAATCGAGAGGTTGACAGTTCAAGCCTGTCCGGGGAAGTCATTTAGAAGAAACATCTAGACCCAGTGGCATCCATCTTTTTTTTTTTTTGGCTTTGAAAGATACTTTAGTTTGATTTGATTTTTACTAAATATTTTTGTCTTCTTTAGGTCCCGAGTCATGGTCTACATATCTGCCCTGTGATACACTCAAAAAAAAAAAAAAAGTTCGCTTATTGCGATGCCTTTTAAACTGCAGAATTAGGACTATTGAGTACTTTATAATGCTAATGGATATAAAGGACAACTTGGAATTCACGCTAGCCCCGAAAAACAGCGGACAACAATTCACAGAGCTTTCCTCTAGATCCACGACCCTCTCTTTTATTTCTGCGAACCACTGTCGACTTCTCATCACCATTAACGCCTCGCCTCGCCTCGCCAAGCGTATGGTGCGGCTATACATGCATTTATATAAGTTAGGGCTTCATTTTACCTACTACTTACTTACATCATGTATTCACATTCATCAGTATTTCTATATCAAGGCCGTTCCCGTGATTCGCAGAGCGGAGATTACTACTGGTCGATCCATCACAATCTTCATCCAACAGAACCTTAGAGTTTAGGCGCCGTGTGTTGTAGCTCATCAATAAGTGAGACTGAATTGGAATTTCTGTTTGTCTGGTGCGGTTTTATCCGAGTTTTCAATGGCGGGGTGGCTTCAGGACGTCATGATGGTATGTCTCCCCTTCAAACCTCTTCCCCAATTGTAACGAAACAGAGACTCATGCACTTTGAGGTAACAAGCCCTATGGGTCTTTTGATTGGCGGTTAGGAATTTTTGGTCGGGTAGACTTGCTTCATGAAATATCACCCGGCTGCAACTTTTGCCGCTAGCCGTGGCTAATGATAAATCTTGGCTGTTTTACAAATTTAGTAGAAGTTTGGTGCGAGTACATACTTGTGTAGGTGTTTCTGCAGTGAAACTGTGGAGAGGTTGAGGTAAATGGTTTGGCGGGATTATGAGTCTGGGATTGGCGGGGATGTTCGCCTACAGATCGAGATGGTGGAGTGGAGTAGATAACCGCCATTGATATACTGGAGATATCTGGATTTGCGTACGTATATACCAACATATTAGCCTCGAGAGGGAGAGAGACTTAAGCATAGTACAATTCAATACGTCAATTGTTTCTTCTAAGTCTGCTAATAGCATTATCAACAATAGGACCAAATTAGCCCCCATTATAGGATTACGTGTCAACCTATTTCATTCAAGCGGGTTGTCACGCTATCGAGATTGGAGTTTTTCTCCCCTCTAGGTTGATATATTGCAGCCAATAGTATTGTTCACTGGTACCGTGGCAGTTGATGAATTGGCAAATAGATCCCCTGTCTACCGCGCGCTTTGTTATATGACACTCTCCATATATGTCTACCCGCAGCAATTAACAGAGATAACTAACAAAGGCTTCTCTATCTAGGTAATTAGCAGCACTATCAGCATATGTACTGTATAAACCCTGAAGCGCCTGGGCCTGGACATTCGGAATTGCGCAATGGATGACAACGATATTGTCAGCCAGGCTAGTAGGGAAGGTACAGATCAGAAACCAGCTGTGTTATATTTCATCAGTTGTATATGAAATCCGCACACCTTGGGATCAAGGTGGCGTTTTTTTTTTTTTTTTTTTTTTTTTTTTTTGTTTCCTTCCTCTGCAGTGGTATAAAACCCGTGGGGGCGTTTCCGATCCCTGATACATATCGCCAGAAATTACCTTTCCACGTAACTAGATATACCCCGTCTCGACATGCAACTCTTATTTCGTAGCCGAAGAAGAGTGGGTCGGATACCCGGCACGGTGGTTGGTGATTGATGCGCCTAGCAGGGACTCTTGACAGCCGCGCGGTCCAGGGGAAAGGAGGAAGGGGGAAAGATCGCTGACGACGAGGAGGAGTAGGTAGGAGGATTAGGAGTGAGACATTGGTAGATCTATCTCATCGTGCCTCGGGACGGTGTCCGTCAGGTAGAACATGGCGGCCGTTTATCACTGCCAAAGGAATGAACGAAAGTTGTGTCTTTTCCGGTAGGTTTAAGAGTTGCTGAGAGATCTGCGACGCTCGGAAGCTGCCGAACGAAACGCTGTAGGTCCTCCACCCTCCTTTGCCTGGTACTGCTTTGATCATTGATCGACTCTCCCTGCTCATCTTTAGTGATACAGTGGGCTGGAAACCTTTTTTTTTATCTGCAAAGAAGATCTTCAGTTCTTCTTATAGAAGGAAAGGCAAAAATTGTAGGTTCTATTTCGGTAATTCAAAATAAGTGCAGGAAGATCGTGCTCAGGCACAAACCGGTCAACATACCTACCGGTAGCACGATGGAAGGATGGCGGATGGGCGGATGAAGGCTTTGACCGAAGAGAACAGTAGCAAGAAGCAAATCGCTTACTACCATACACCCGCTCCATCAGCTTGTAAGTGTTTCGGAAAATAAACAAGGCTTCCAATAAGGTGGCGGCTCTAACGCGCTGACGACATAGAATGCGCAAAATCCACATTTTCAAGAGTGCTGGTGTCTGTCTAGAATTCCGAAACTGCGGGCGCCAAGTGACTTGACTGGTTCGGTTCGGTTATCTCGGTACCTTACATGGAGGTTGTGTGGTGTTTGGTTTTTTCCGCTTGGTTTCGAATTAATTGGGGGGGGAGGGGGGAAGAGAGTGGAGGTGCTCAGATCTTTAACACCACTCTACTAGCTGCAGCAGCCAAGTTTCATTCAGACGGACTGGTAATGACAGCTCGTCCAATTAATCAGATTGATTGTCTACTGCCTATCCAAAGAAGCTAATAGCGAGCAGGCAAGCCACCGCCGGGCAGGCAGAGCAGGGTTGTAGGCAGCCAGGCGTCTCGCTAGTGTTTGGAAATGCTGGGAACCGACGGCCATTCGCAGGGCCTTCTTCTTCGATTCCTTTTGCGTATGTCGTAGGTACCCATACCCAGCTCAAAGGTTTGATGTTCTACGCTGGAGTGCTCCCGAACATGCAAAAAAGTAATACTTCGCTTTCTCTCACGTTGTTAATTGCATGCACACCACCAACCACTGCTATCCGGCCCAATGGGGACGCATGGCCGCTGTCTAACAACTGCAGGCACATTGTTATGCACCTTACCCCCCAGAGTGCATATTCAAAATATCAAAGTGAATGTAAAGCTTAAGGTCCTCTCTTGCGAATGAAACCACATGTACTTGCATACCCTGGTGGGAGTTTATTTATGGCCAAATCAATGAGAGCGTAATGAACCAGTAAAGTAATACCCACGTCTTTTTTTATGGCAAGTGGTAAGTATAGTGGTCAGGGCTGCGCCTAATAACTGCAGTTTCTTACTGACCGGTACTTGGTTGGCTTGCTTCACCGCACCCCGGGACGGTAGTGAATCCCTGCAAACCAAAGGTTGCTTGCTCCCCCCGGTCCCAGTTATTTGTTTGTCGTAGCAAGCTTCTTGACGTCCACTATGCACATGTACTACTGGCCGCCCAATTAATCTACATCTTACTACACTCACTCACGGTACTGGCTACTTTGGCCCCCCCCCGCTCAAGAGTCTGACTTATTACCGTGTCCTTCCCTCTCTCTGTCCTTCCCTTTTCTTCTTTTCTTCTCACCACTTGCTCTCGCTCATCTTCACTTGTGGAGAATTAAACCTTTACGGCTTACTTAACCAGCAGTTCAAGTCGGCGCGGGGCGCATTAACATCCACTCTTTTTTTATTATCTATATTCTTATCCTTATCCTGTTTTTGCAGCTGGTCCGCCCATCTAACTAGATCGATTCATTACTATTTTGCTGGCAAACATGATTAACAACTTTGTTCCTCGATCTTTTGGAGCTCTTGCAGCTTCCGGGCTACTGTTTGCATCAGCTGCCGTGGCATCTTCAGCAGGAGTTCCTCCAGCTGGCGAAGATAGCGGGGAGCTTGTGTACGTTCTCACCCTAGCTATAGGCCCCCCACATATAGAGGTTTTCTAACCACACAAACATTAAACAGAAATATCGAATTCGGAAAATGGATGCTCGTAGCCCTCGGGGCTTTCGCCGGAATTCCATTAATCTACCGTCTTGTATCAGTTGTATATTGCCAGATTCGTCTCATGGCCTCACTGGGTCTCGAAAATCAAACCTATTTCTCCAGCCACAAGCACGAATGGGTCTCCTGGCTCAAGATTAACATCCTCTACGCCCCCTTCTGGAAGAACCGACACAATAGAGAACTACAGATTTCACGGGCTCTCGACATTGGTACTCTCCCAACTAGGTTCGAGTCGTTCTTTTTGATTGGATATGTGGTCGGCAACATTGTCTTCTCGCTGCATAAGATCGACTGGGACGGCCAGACGACTGCCATCCTTGGTGAGATCAGGAACAGGACAGGTGTGCTATCTACCATCAACTTGGTACCGCTTTTTTTGCTGGCTGGGAGGAACAACCCGTTGATTCAGTTGATGGGCATCTCATTCGACACATACAATTTGGTACACAGATGGCTGGGTAGGATCGTGGTAACGGAGGCATTCGCACATTCAGCGTGCTGGGCTGCCGCCAAGGTTATGAATGGCGGTTGGGCACCGGTGGGTGCGGCAATTCAAGGGAGTGTGTTCATCCAGATGGGATTCGTCGGAACTTGTGCGTTCGTCTTCCTGATGTGCCATTCACCCTCGTCACTTCGCCATGCATTCTACGAGACCTTCTTGTTCTTGCATATTGTTGCAGCTGCGGTGGCTTTGGGTGGATTGTGGATGCATCTCGACTACAAGAAGTACAGATGGCTCGTATACGTCAAGATTGCCATCGCCCTCTGGGTGTTTGACCGCAGTGTCCGTCTCTTCAGAATCATCTACCGCAATATCGGAAAGCGTATGACCACTGCCACCGTTGAGATTCTACCTGGCGAGGCCATCCGTGTCACTCTCGTAAGCTTCCACCTAAAACCCTTTCAAAATATCATTTCCACCCGCTAACTAATCTGCAGAAACTCGCCCGCCCGTGGAAATTCCGCCCCGGCCAGCATGTATACCTCTATGTCCCCTCGGTCGGCCTTTGGACCTCGCACCCCTTCACGATCGCATGGGGCGAGCAGCTCCAGCAGAATCACAAGATTGATGATGAGCGTCTCTCGTTCCATAGACAGGACCTGATGCATATTGGCGAGAAGACTATGTCACTGGTGATTCGTAGGAGAACAGGGTTCACAAATGCACTTTTCAACAAGGCGGACAGAACACCAAACAAGGTTATAACGTTGAAGGCACTAGCTGAGGGGCCTTACGGAAAGGTGGATAGTCTTGCGAGTTACGGGACGGTGGTTTTGGTTGCCGGAGGAGTCGGAATTACACACCCCGTTCCTCATATCAGAGAGTTGGTGGAGGGATATGCGAAGGGCACTGTAGCGACGAAGAGGATTGTATTGGTGTGGGTTGTTCAGAGTCCTGGTAAGTCTTTTTGTGTGGTGGAGCATGCGTTATCACTCGTTACTGACTTGGCGTTGCAGAGCATCTGGAGTGGATTCGTCCCTGGATGACAGATATCCTTGCGATGGAAAGACGCCGCGAGGTCCTTGAGATCCAGCTGTTCGTCACCAGACCAAGCTCAACTAAGGCTATCCACAGCCCTTCAGCAACTGTACAGATGTTCCCAGGCAGACGTAAGTTTCTCTAACTATCCCCTCACCAGGCGCTAACTTATTATTCTTAGCCAACATCGACACTATTCTCGATCGTGAGATCGACCGCCGCATGGGCACAATGGGTGTAACAGTCTGCGGAAGTGGCTCGCTGAGCGACGACGTCCGCAGAGCTGTACGTGCAAAGATGGATATCGCCAATATCGACTTTATCGAAGAGGCTTTCTCTTGGTAAAAAGCATGTTCGGAGGAGGCAGAAAGATATCTATGGAGTGATTTTTCTTCATTTTCTTTTTCGCTGGTGCGGATCTGCTTTTCCTTTTCCTTCTTTTTCTTCAATTTTTCACATTTTAAACCCCTCACACTCCTTTTTTTCCGAGGTGTAATGATTTGGGCTGGGATGGGAGTTTTCATGAGTGTTTGTGTACATTTACATTTCTTCTCAACGTATTGTACTCATATATTCCCATCATTAAACCTATTCTCTGTATTGAATTTTTGTTTCTTACTGCCATTTTTTCCCTGTCATTTTCTTCTTTTCTATCTTTTCTACATATAAAATCACAGCGCTAGTGCAGCATCTTCTGTTACGATCAATGGTTTTGATATACCACTGTTATTTTCTCATATTCTTCTGTCTCTGGGTATTATAGGGTTGGCGGATTGTTTATTTGCGAATTATCAAGAAGGGGGACACAGCTACGTCGGGGTTTCTAGTTTAAACTTTTTACACGAGAAAAATAGGGCTACGCATCACCCCCGACTGACCTGGTTCCCCCCTTTTTTCCACGTTTATATAGAGTAGATAGCAGCAGAATTAGAATTTCGGGATACTGCTCGGAATGTTCTGTTAGCTGGGGAAAGCATGTGCTGAACTCAATATCCATGTGGCAATTAACTTCTTCCCCCTTACCCCCAGATAGATGGCCGGGCCCCCCTATCATGAAGCACGCGAGAAAGAAAGACCTGGAAAGAAGAAGAAATTTTACTCTACATTACTCTCGTTAGGAATACCCTGCATGCAATGTACCTCTTTTCCCAAAATAATATATCCCCAGCGAGGGGGGGAAATAAATACTAATCACCTTCCCGATCAACCAAGCTTTTCCGCCCATAGGAGAAACCCGAAGGAGGGGGAAAAAAAGATTAATAGTAGTAGGCCTAGATATCTGCGTTTCGGAATAAGTTTTTTCTGTCTTGTTTTTTTCTCGGCTCGGCCGCGGGGGACAGGGATTGCTGGGGTGGAGGGTATATGTAGATAAAGGGTCGCCGAGATTAGGCACTTTATGATATTGTGGGTACTCGGCTCGGGGGTGGTCAATGTGTTTCTTTTGATTGATTGTGGGAAGGGAGGGGGCGTATAGATTAAGGTGTTTTGCAGATGTAGATTTGGGAGGTTGGTTACAGTTAGGTGTTTTTTCTAGAATGTTTGGTCTGCAGTGGTATCGATACATCACGTAAGAGTTAGCCTGATGGGGTTTTTAATAATTGCATGTATAATCTACGGAAAAGGTCTAGAATGAAACACTTTCCGGTACGCTTGATGCAGAGCAACACATAATGCAAAATGACACACTTCTAGCTGCGGTCCAAAACGACACAGTTAATTCAAAACTTCGGGCTCTTTTAGAAGAACCCGTTGACGAACCATTACTAAAATTCTAAACTAGAGGGCCTTTTTGAGCCGTTAATAGTACATAACCTATCAACACAAAACTCGGCACTGTTAGGAGTACCCGTTGACGAACTATTATTATAGCTCTGCTGGCAAAACAAATGGAAGACGGCAAGATTCCGGAAGTCATTACTTGTAACTACATGTAAGATATCCATCATATGATGTAGCTTGGACTTTATTTCGCGAAAGGGGATAAATTCTTCTAAAAGAGCCCGATGTTTTGAACTATGTCAATTTGGATCGTAGAAGTGTCATTTTGCATTATGTGTTGCTCTGCATCAAGTATACCAGAAAGTGTCATTTTAGACCTTTTCCGTTTTAATAATAATTATAATCTAATCATATCATATCAGCATATCAGCCTGCTACAATCATCTGAACCGAATTACCCCGATAGCTAGCGTTGTTTCAATGGTGTACAATATTTGGATACTTTTCACTTTTGGTAAACACTTGTATTATCGGTGTCTCACCGGCCGTGCAGCCAGCGGCCGGAACGTGCGTAGCAGTGTGGTATCTATAGTAATCATGGAATATCACTCTACGGCAACCACAGCTACATTGTTTACAATTACTCATCAAAGCAGGGAATTTATACATGAAGGAAAATGTAAGGCTTTGTTTGCATGGTTGGCATGGCCCGTGTGGCAGCTTGGAAATGCTGACAGAGCGCAATGAGCCACCGTCGGGCGGGCATCATCCTGTCGCCTAGCCCAGGGATAGGGGTGGTATGGGTGTCATGAGGTGGCGCTGGGATCCGGCGGGTGGGCAGATTGGAATTTGGGATTGCCACGCCCACGATGCGGTTGCTGTCCTGGTTGCTGATGTTGCGATTGTGCACCCCCGGCCCTGGACCCGGCAGGAAAGGCCGCGACGAAGTGATATTTGGAAACTGACAACCCCGAAACCGCCAACTACAACATCATGTAATATTGGAAACGCAGGGTGAGAAGAAAAGAAAGAAAAAAAGAATATGTATATATACAATCCAACCCGGAGTAAGCTACAGCCAAAGAGAATGAACAGATAGGAGAGAGAGAGGGGTACATTTAGTTAGAGAGAGATGACGGGGGTGTAGAAATGAAACTTTTTTTCAAGATCTAGGTAACCACTGATGCGAAGCGGCGGGGAACAAACACCAGGCCAGCCAGAACCAGAGCCAGAGCCAGAACCACCAGAGCCAAACAAGATCAAGTCGGAGGGGGGAAACATCTTTTTGATAATTACTATTATCGGCCCAGGTCCTATATCTATGCGGGCAGCGCAACCTTCGAGCTATCTGACGGCAACTACACACATCACACACATCACCAGTCAGCACACATTCTCCAAACCAGCGGGAACAGGATCAACAAACCGGCGGGTTCTGCGGCTGGTTGTTTCCAGCCATGACTCTGTTCAATCCGATACCAACACCCTCAATCACCGCCAGCAAGCAAGCACACCCAATGGCCGAGTTCCTCGCCGCCTTGACACCGCCTCTCACTGCCAGTGCGCCTCCTGTGAAGAATCCCGCAATGACTACAATCCCCCACAACCATACAATCAGCACACCGCACTGGGCAGAAACAAAACAACAAATAGCGGTTAATACGCACTGGCGTTGTAAGGGTCCTCCTTCTGCCGCACGCCCTTGACGGCACAATCAAATGTCGAGAACAGTCCTCCCCAAACACCAAAGTTGCCGCCGAGCACGGGGGCGCGGGCCTTAATTGCAGTGAGGGCACCGATGCGGCGTTCGCCCTGTTTCTATGTTAATATGGGTATTGAATTGATCGCCACTGGCCTTCCCTTCTCCGGGGGAGAGAAGAGGAGGATGGGACATACGGTTGGTGAATTCCGGAAACCCTTTACACCGTGCCAGATAGCACCACCGACTGCCTATACCTCGCGCAAAGCCTGTTAGTACTCATAAACCTAAAGCCAAGATCACTCGAATGCACCGGTAGTGGGTAGTAGGTAGGTAGTGAGTGATAGAGAAACATACACCCATGGAAAAAGCGCCTCCAAAGTCATTGAGAATAACCCACGGGCACGGGTCGCGAGTGTGATCCATGATAATTTGTAGATGTCAAAAACAAATTAAAAAATCTAGTTATATAGCTGTCGGGGGTGTATTGCTCTCGGCGGCGTCGGCGGAAAGGTTTCTATCGGAGGTGTCGTTGGGAGAGAGAGAGGCTGCGGAATAAAGCTTTGCTTGAAAAAATGATGGCGGTTGCGGGCTTGGCGGAGATCCTGGGTGTTAGCCGAGGAGGGGCAGGAATGCGCCGGGTTGGTGGGGCGGGATGGGGAATACGCGTGTGGGATGAGCGGTACGGTGGGAGTGGTGGTTGCGAGATTTAAATATCGTGTTTGGGTTTATAGGTTTTATAAGTTTTGTATTAAAGTGGCGTGACAAGCCAAAGTAGGTTCTACTTGTGCTGTCACCTCGGAGCGCTTAGGTTTTGGATTTTGAGGACTATTGCGAGTGTCAACATGCAATAATTGACAAGCGAACCCACACATGCCCAAACAAACAGCTTCTTTCTCGCTTTTATATTTTCCTAGTCCTGAAATATCTTGTGAATTCTGCCATGAATTTGAAACAACCTTCCCAGTCCTTACCATGAAACTATGACCGGTAGTGTGTTGATTCATGTATTATCACTCGATTGAATACAGAGCCTATTTTCGAAACATCTGACACGTACTATCAGGTATTGACAGTTGGACTTAAAATTCCATCTATAAAGGTTAAATAATAGGTACAAACGAGAAGGAAGGGCTGGCGATCTTAAGTCGCTCATAAAATCCGCCCAAGTCCTCCCCACCTACTTCCAGCGAAATGGGCGTCCTAAAGAGTCCTACAGTAGTAACATTACTATTAACCGACGATGTAACCTCTGTCGTTATGCGGTAACAAAATTGGGAAGGCTACAAGTTTGCTTATCTGCAGCTGTCTCACGTTAGAATCGATAGTCTCTTAAAAACGATGGAGCATGGAGTGGGAAAGATCTTATCCAAACCTCAAACACCATCGACAGAGAAATCAAGTATGCAATATGTTTCATCGATTCCTCGATGATCCATCTCAAGATCAGTGAAAAGGGCTCAAGCCCAAAAGGACTGTCGGCGAGAACATGGCTGACTAGAGGCCCTTGGATATACTCGTCTCCTGTAACCGCTGATTGCCTGGTGGAAGTGGGGAGTGTATGCTCTCAACCCTTGAGGCTCATACCCTCTACCTCCGAGAGTGGGGTGGTGTTCAAAGAAGATAGACGGGCACTACCAGGAAAGTAAACAAAATGCTTGAATACCTGGTGGTACAGGTGGGGAGCATTTGCAAACCGCCGCTGTGGTGAGGTACGCCGACGACAGTGAACGCAGTGTTATCTCATTTATGTAGATTCAGTGATGTTCTGATGGTTGATAGCTGCTGCTGCTTGTCGTGTGCGGCGAGGTAACAACTGGTAGTTAGCAATTAATAGGGCTCTCCTTGCTGCTTGATCAATTGATTCTGAGTTACCTCACCACTCGACTCTCCATTATATATATCGAGATAATATGCAGCACGCAGCACATCAGGACATCGGTGGGTAACCAACAAGTAAGGAGCGGGTAACAAAAAGATTATCTCTGTGCCTATAACGCTGACAACATTCCAAGCATCACTTCTCACCTCTTTTCTCTCCTCTTCCACTACACGCACACCCCCCCCCCCCCTCTCCCGCTCTCAACTTCATGCGGGAGATGCGTTATTGATAGTGCTTAATGGCTCCACAATCTCTGATAATACCCCCCCTCGTCTCACCCTACATTCCATTCACAAGTTTGTTTCCTGTTTCCTTACTGTCCCCCCTCGTACCCGACCCTGTGTGTTTTATACGAGGACCCGAGGAAAAATCTGTATGAGAAAGTTTCTCCAGTTTCTCATCCCTTATCCCCCCATCAAAATTCCCTTAAGGTTCTGTCTCTATACGCTTCTCTTTCTCCTCGGGCTCTGGCTTGGACCGAGGGGCTGAGAAAAGAAATTGTGTTCATGGAAGACATTCCCGTCCCCTCAAAATCGCTAGTTTGGAGACTTTCTTGCCTTTTCCCGTGGACCTTGGAGTTTTCACACCGAGAGAATTGGCGGGGGGCTTTGTTTGAAGGTTTGTGGTCTCCCAACTTATTCTCTCCCCCCCCCTTTTCCCCCTCCCAATGGCTAATCTCTATCCTCATGGTTCATCTTTAGCACTGTCCTACCCTTTCTGTCGCTTAAAGGCACCTAGAGTGGAATTATCGCTGAGTCTCACGTATATGCGGACTCGTGATGTTTTCATCTGCGGCCGGGCCGCTACACGATGCAACTTGCGAAATCTTGACAATCCTCTACCGCGAGCCCACATTCCGCGTTAGTCTAGCACACAAATCAAACCATTCAACAAAGGTTTTATAAGCACTCACTCAACTCCATACGTTTCAAATGAGAACTAAACCCACACACCAGAAGAGAGCATACCCCGAGTGATATTCCATGATTTAGATGGAGGATACATGCAAACAATTATTCTGAGAAAATGGCCAATTGGCGCAAATCCCAGCCCAAACTACTAATTGGGAGATGGATTTATGACGGATCATCATCCACAAACGACCAATGCGCGCCTGGCCGTGGGCTAACTTTACCGGAGGGGAAGCACCAATCTCTCTCTTACCCTAGAGATAGAATATTTATGTCTATTCCGCTCCTTTTCTGATACGGTCTAAATATCTACCAGGCTTAGTCCTACTTACAATGGAATGCATAGCCATATACCTCTTGTTCTGCTGAACCTCTCCGCGATTGTATCAAGTCCCCATATTCAGGTTGTTCAGCCAGCAGGCTCGAGACGATGATATGTCACAAGAGATAATGTTCTCTACCGTCTCAGTTGGAAAAAAAAAGATAGGCATGCACTGGTTTGCTTGGAAATGTTAACTCCTTGGAAGCTACCGAGTGATACTTTATAATTAAACTAACAAGAAATTCGTTTACCTTATAAGTACTCTAGGATCGCATCACATGACCACATGGTAGCAGAATTCACCAGTCTTATCTTCACGCCTTATATTAATAGACTTATTGATGCTTAGGTACTTTGGAGGTTTTTGGCGCGAATGTACGGACATAACCGCCACACCTTACAAGAGGGGAAAAGCCAAAAGACCCCATATATAGTAAACATATTTCTCTGGATTTAGAACCTTGCGTGGACGGTATATATATGGAACAATATTGAGCTACGCTATTATCCCCGCCGGTATAATATGGTCACAGCGCGAGGACCAATATTTGGGATAGAGATCTATCTCGCCAAATATCCTGTTGAAAACCTGCCACCGGATATGTGGTCGATCGATACTCTCCTCTGCGCACTTACGCAAGGCTTGGCTCCCCGCATGAGTCACAGACGTTATTCTAGCCTTATCCAAGAAACTCCTCGGGCAGACAAATCTAGTCAAAACAATTTGTGAGGAGCTGATGATACGTATGAGACTTTATTTTATTGAGGACGTTGACGCATTGTCTAGTTGATATAAGAATATGGTACGAGAGTGATCGCTATCACTTAGACAATCTACCGATTCCGCCGTATTTTGATTGATAATAGCATCAATTATGTGTTACTATAGCGGCCTATCTATCAACCGCATCTTTTTTCGCCAATATTTGGATATAGAGGGTGCTTGCCAGAGGCGCGCCATCTGTAAAAATTATTGGCGAATAACTACGGCTAGAATTATATTTCAACATAGGGGTACATGGTTTAACCCATTTGCTGCAAACACGCTTTGGCAGGACGGAAAAACCTCGAGCCATGCTTGACTTCCCGATTAAATTGAATTCCGGCCACACTTTCTCAATAAACTAGAGAATTAATGAATTAAACAAAAAAAAATTTCAATAAACTGGAGATCATCAATAACTGTCCATCTAGAGTGAGTATCTGAAAAGATAAGAGGATTTCTGGTTATTAGAGCTTGACAGTGGATGACTGTGCTCTAGCTTTATACTTTTATGGGTTAATATCCTAGGTCTTCAATTCCTACCTAGGACTCTATTTTAACTTCCTCTGCCCATGCCTTTAATGTGCTGTCAATCGAGAGGTCCAATTGAGGAAACTCGGATTAAGAAAGAGGCTCTCGGGGCCTTAATCATCCCGCAGGCGCAGGCACTTAGTGCAGCTCTTGATTCTTCCCCTCAGAACAGGGGCTTGGGGGGGCATCTATCATAAACAGCATAATATTCCCTGCCCCCCTCAGGAACGATTTCTATCAATTTCCATTAAACAGTAGAAAACCATAATTGCTATAGTATATATATAAATAATAGAGAACGTCTATAGCGCCCAGTCCTTGGTACCAAGCGGGCATTTATAGGAGTATAGTCGCATCCGCCGAAACAAACAGAGCTACATAGATAGAGGTTTCTTTTATCATGCTTACCAACTTACCAAGACCTCTGGATACATCACACCTACCGACTTACACATTCTTTCCATATAACTACATGTATTCCTTCTACGTTACATTTTACCTAACTTACACTACAGTTTGCATGATACTCTACCTGGCTTACGATACCGTTTTATCTACCAATTTACAACTTGACCATTGGAAATATACCCAAGCAGAATCTGTTAATAGATATCCCACCCATCTTGGGGTCTCAAGAACCGAAGGCTTGAGATTTACAGTTGCGAATTGATCCGGTATAATACGAGCATGATTTTATTTCACCGGGTATCCGTTACGATACTACTTAGGTTCCTACTTTGGTCATTCTAGATGTTGAGAGCTATCCGATGGGTTTCTGCACATGACCTTATTTTAGGCCAACTATGATCCTCCTCGCCGGAAGAGATCTAAGTATAGAGACTAGGGGAGTGAAAATCCGAGTGAGATATTATGAAAGGATACTAGATAAACACATATTTCCGGAGAACATAACACGTTAGGCGCAGATTTTCTCCCACGGGGGTCTTCTGACCTTGATCCTTGATAGGAAACCAACAGGATCGACTGCACATACATTAACTGCGAATCACCAATCCG